TCTTTCTATTTCCACCTAGCAATGTAATGACAGGCTTGTAACACAGTGTAATAATAATAATAATAATAATATGTCCTGTCTACCTAGCATAGCCTCATCAGTATTCATACTGTTCTCCCTAAGGGCCCTGCAATCATATTATTACCCCGGTCATCGGATTCAGTGCTTACCCGCACACAATGTATGCACATTCTCCACTCCCTGGGGAGCATTCCAGTCAGGCGTCATTTTTACATGAGCACACTTGCTAATCTAAGCACATTAGCTTTCGCATCCTATCGGGTTTGACGTCAAATCGATATGAAATACCAAATCTAAAAAATATTAGCTATTAAAAACAATTCGAGGAAAAAATGAATTCATATATCTACCTCATATGAAAATAGAAATAAGCATCAAACAAAGTAACCGTGATAAAAGAAAAACATAGAATGAGAAGGAAATTGAAGTTACCTAGAAACACGTACTGAAACGTTACATAGCTCGTCTAATACTGTCCCTTTCTTTGCACAGTACTTCTATTCACCAAGTATTATTTGCTTTATGAATGTCAGACAGGAATCAAAACAGGTCGTCGACACCAACTCCATTCAATGCTGTTTTCATTACCATTTTAGTGATTCTGTTTACAACACCACTCATTCATTTCAAAGAATACCTGTATGCGTTAACAAAGAGCTAGTATAAGCGGAGGGCCAAAGTCATATATCACTCTTAGTTTTTGAGTTGCCTACCACTACCACACAAACTAAGCACACCTTGTTTATTCGAAAGATTTTATCATGCTCCACAATATTTCAGAGTTTTTTTTTCTTCAATTTTGTAGTGAACACCCCTCAAATCACAGGGGCGTCCAAAAAAGCGGCACTTGTGACGAAAAATAGTATTTTGTGAACAATTTTTTAAAGAAAACTTTGAACCCCCATTTAATTAATTAAATACATTTAGATACTAATTTCAACAGAACTTAGATAAATTAATAACGCAATTGTTTTTATTAAACGAAATGTGCAATTTTATAAAAACCCATTAATTTCCATATGTCAAAATCTGAGAAGCGCCTTTTTTGTAACTTTCCATATTAAAACTTGCTCATGTACACGGATAATATTCTGTCTAAAGGAGTGGCTTGTATCCCTTTTCAGTAAACAAATTGTAGCAACCCAAAGTTATAGATTTGATTTCCACAAAAAAAAACGACATTTGTTGACGTGTTTGATGTTATTTCGTAAATCGAATGACATCAAACTCATGGTAGTTCAAGGTTTCCTTAAAATATTATTCACAAAATACAATTTTCGTCAAAAGTGCCGCTTTTTTTGGACGCCCCTACGATTTAGGGGTGTTCTCTACAAATTTAACATAAAAAACTCTGAAACATTGTGTATTATGATAAAGTCTTTCGAATGAACAAGGTGTGCTTTGTGGCAGGCAAACCCCTCTTTTCTGACGTTGGCCGTCAGCTTATTAATTGTTATTCTTATAATCCCTCTACAAAACAATGACTTGAACCTTCCACGACATACTACACGGGCTTTGATCCGCCCCAGGAATGGGAGGGGGTGTGTATATGGTGGGAGGGGTGGGAGAAGAGGCTGTTAATACCCCCTTACCTTCTCTGAGGCAACACAGCCTATTTTCGTAATTTCTTAAAACCAATTTGTTCTCCTATTTTTAATCTTCAATATTATTTATCTTGCTTGAAAAATATCCTTTCGACCACCTATTACATTCAATATTTATACCAAACAGAAATACTTACGACATAGATTTCTTCCGGATACAGGAAACTTGTTCTTCTTTTATTTTAGTGATATGTTGATGAATCTAACTTTTGAGTAAAACTTGTGAAAATCCAGCACATACAAGTCGATCCAAAATAACTCCTTTGAAAGATACCTCAATTTACCATTAAAGCTATTATATAGTTCGTCCAGTCGATCTTGAGAGATACGCCTATAAACGTATAGGTCTACATAATACATTTGACGAAGAAGGCCTACGTGAGACTTGTTCAAAGTTTATTAGAAGAAATATCGCTTGGAGCTCCGACAAAACTCAGACCTTCATCTAGCACCTCTTCTGCGAATCTTGCTTATCTACTTTTTAGTGAATGCGTAAAGGTCAATATAGTGTGTTATTTCAATGTATTGTTGATAGAGATGATGTATTTCCCTCGCTAGTCCCTCTTCAAGCCCAGCGTATGATGTGTCCAGGAATTATATCAATACACATGCAAGCCTTCATAGAATTACATACATCATAAATAAAACCACATCAGAGGCGCCGGAGCCGGGGGGGGGGGGGCACAGTGCGCAACTTTTTCAGATACTCCTAAAGTGCCCTTTTACATGGGAAAGATGCACCCTTTTACTTCAGACAAGTCCCCCTTATTATTTCTAATAGGTGCCCGTTCCACATTCCTGTAAGTGCCTCTTATACTCCTAATGCCTTGTATTGTATCAATAATATCTTAAATGTTTGATATATCAGGCCTAATGTTCATTTTGAACTAGTTTTTAAGTTGTTTTAGTTCTCTTATGGTATATGTGGTTATATAATGTCTTCGTTTTCTACAATGTATTCTATTTTTTGTATATCTTTGTATGTACAGGGCTCTTTTGTAAAGCAGGCCTCTGGCACTGAAAAGACTACCCTGTTTTTAAATAAAACTGCCCCTATTCAAATATGAGAGGTGCCCATTTTACTGTAACATGTGCCCTTTTATTTTGTAATAAGTGCCTCTTCCCCTTCTCGTAAGTACCCCCTTCTATTAATTTGAAACATGCCCCCTCTTTCTTTCTAATAAGTGCCCCTTTTCATTTTGATAAATGTCCCTTTTGTTTGTCAGTATTAAAGAGCTATTTCTCCTTCAGACAAATCTGATAGCTACCTTTATTAAAAACTCATAAGTGCCATTTTCCCTTAAACAAGTGCCCATTTTCCTTTCTAATAAGTGCCCCTTTCCATCCTCACAATTGCCCCAATTCATCTCATGTAAGTGCCCCCTTGTAAGTACAAGAAGTGCCACCTCGTCATCTATGATAAGTACCCCTTAACCTCTTTTAATTGCTTCTTTTCAAATTTGAGAGGTGTCCCTTATATCTTTTCCTTTTAATGCACTTGTTCTTTCTTATAGATGCCCCTTTACACTGGGTCTGCCTATATTATTCATCAGGTCTATGATGATATATCCGCCCTTACTATGATTCTTTACCAAGGGTGCCCCCTTTATCTCTCGTTCGCTCGCATTTACAGTTGATATAATTCAGTTTCTTATCAAAGATTTTGTTCAGTCATTCATGGTTCAATGGTGCTTAAAACCCCATCAGGGTTTTGTATAGTCTTTATAAGATGTAATTTTCGCACTGACCTCACTAATCTAAACATTTATGCTCACAAATAAATATACAAATTATCACACCCAACTGAAAAGTATGATGCTTAAAAGCAGTATACTGGACCATGTAAAGAGAGAAACTAACATTAAAATCATCCTTGATAATTGTGATCACAATGTAGGAGTGTAGACCAATGTCTAAAATGTGTATTTTTTCATTTATTTAAAGTCATTAGTATTATTACTTGTAGCTACTTTTAAGCGAATATTTGTCGAGATTATATATTTACCATCCTATCAAAGTGTTGTACGAGTATGATTGTTGACATAGTCATTGTTATGTCATTACATTACACTCTGTCTCAGTCTATTTTCTATGTCAATATTTTTCTCAACCCAGTCTCTCTCTCTATCTCTTTCTCTTAACTATTAACACATCACTATTATACATACACCTTATCATATAATTCCGAAAGCGGTTTGCAATAATGCTCCGTCTCCCGACCCATTCTCTCTCTCTCTCTCTCTTTCTCTCTCTCTCTCTCTCTCCCTCTCTCTCTCTCTCTCTCTCTCTCTCTCTCTTCTCTCTCTTAAAGGTAATACAAAGTTTTGGGAAATTTTGAAAATTGGGTGGATAGTGATCCTTTACAATTTTGATATATTTGGATGCCCCAGTGGATGTATTATAAGCACTAGAAAATTTAGCCCCTAAACTACTTCTGCTTTCGAGAAAAAGTGAAAATAAAAATTTACCGGTGATCCCGGTAAATTTTAATAAATTTCAAATAGCGCCTACGGCTGTACAATGGTAGCTGCGACCATGAAAATCTCAGAATATGTAGTCGTGATATATAATTTCCGAACGGGAACAACTAATCGGTAGATTCTAGTCAAGAAACATTGTTTTGTAGCTTAATTTATATCTTTACCTTGAGAAGGAGCTATACAACATAAAGAGTTTATTATTTACAATTTCATAACTTTAGACTCGATTTCAACCAGGACAATGATCACTGAATATTGCAGGACCGTATATGCGTCCAATATGTTCATTTGAACCAAATTAATGACCCCATACCAAAACTTTGTATTACCTTTAACAAATCACACCTTCTCGTATCATTTCGAAAGCGGTTCGCAATAAAGCCTACAAAAAAAATGTTGTATTGCCCTTTGCGACCGACCCAAAATTTTGGAAATCTACGGTCTGCTTTTTTTCTTTTTACTGTTGTTTAGAGAGGAAAAAATATTAAAGCATTCAAAACTGAGAAATATCAGCCTACAAAGGGAGAACAAAAAGAACAACAGTATTAAAAAAAAAAAAATTCCGACAGACCGACCAATGTTTTGGCACCTAAAGGGCAATACAACATCTTTTTTGTTATAGACCTAATGCTCCGTCTCCCGACCCCTTCTCTCTCTCTCTCTCTCTCTCTCTCTCTCTCACACATTCTCTGCCTCTCTTACCATTCCCCTTATTTTCTACACATACTCCCACTCTCATTTTGGTTCCTATATGGATCACAATTTGTTATCTAGAGCGAATTTTTTACCCTTTGTTGAGAACCACAAAGTCACATACAAGCAAACAAAGAGGCTTCGTGATGAATTATGAATCATCTTGCGGAATGGACATCAAGAAAAACTGACAGAAGGAAGCTACAGAGACGAAAATGGAACAAAACGTTTCATACAGAATGCCCCTTTATTTATTTAATTAAAAATGTGAATACAAACGAATATCGTCATTCATATTTAAAAAACTATCAATCATACTCCGTTCCTTTACCCTTAAGAGTGCTGTTTGGTAGATCAATTGGAATCATAAGTCTGCAGGTGCTCTATCTGTCATGATAAGAACAATTTGAAAACACATTCAATTAGTTTTAGCAGGACTATAAACGAATTTCAACCAATCCCCTGACTCTTCAATCTCCATTCTATTATCAAGAGAGAAACATTGCTTACACAAAAATCCTATTCAACAATTGTTTCCTGTTATTTCCAGATGATATCAAACCAATAGTTTACCAATATTTTATCTTGCTATTTTATAACAGTATATAACAAATATACTCGATAATAAACCTAGAAATTAATTGATACGTTTGTACTTGTAAAGTTATACAAGGTATAATGTAAACACTAATGTAAGGAGTTAAGAAGCGGTCAGGTAATTCCCTCCTCCCCAATCCAGTGTATAGTTTTCATTTAACAGTGAGATAAAAGGTAAGATAACTTTAATATTCATACTTTTCTATAATCCGTGATCTGGTCTGAGACAGAGGAAAGTCCACTAATTTGAAGCAACTTTGATTCTAGCCTGACATCTGTATGGAGCATGTTTTATGTCATAATGGTTAAAGGCGAGCCTTTACGACGCTAAAATAATGACGTACTGTACATCTCCCGCGTGTATGTCATAAAAGTAGGCACTCAATGTATATTTTTAAAATACACATATTTTAACTTTTCTTAATTCATCACTCCTCTCAATCCCTATACCGCAACATCGGTGTATCATCACTATGTATACTCACTTCCTACTCTTCCAGGGTATTTACAATGTCTATTTTATCAGGAACCTTTAATATACGAGCACTGCTTTTCAATAGGTTCCTCACATTCTACTCTATCATATGAATTGAACATCATTGAGACGGAATCATACTACATGTATATATATATATATAGACAAACAATTCCCTGATGAAAAACCGTACCAGCGGCAACAATATTATGTTAAAAGCAGTTTCAACTTTGTTATACATCAATATAAATGCACTGGTTGTCGATTGAGGTTCTTCAGCCACCTTAAACTATATATCAGGACTGTTACGTGTATCTTGCATCAGGCCTGTCTTGCATTGCCTATTTTCTTAAGTATCCAACATTTACTGCACGATGTAAATGTTCTCATAGTCATCAGTGAAATGTAAAAAAAGTTGTTAATTCAAGTGGACGTATACGATATAAAATAAGAATAAGTAAAGTCATGCATCTGTTATTTATGATATTAAATACAGTGGCATCAAATGATAATGTACAACGATCAATAAGATCTTTCTTTGTACCATAGACATATTTGAAAGAGGTGAATTCCTTTAGACCCTATATAAATTTATACAAAATATTAGTGATTATTTGAGTCGTTTATGTCATCTCCTCTTTATAAGCAAAAGTATAATTATTACCTACAATACCTTAATAATTATGTCCTACCACAACATCTTGTCATGTATGAATTTGTAAAAGATTACCATCTATATATATCAATTATCTGGCATTCTTCCTAGCGAATCAGTCATTCTGCCTCTGCCAGTTGTCATATGGTCTGTCACTTGTCCCAAGTATTTTAACGCTAGTAATGTGCCGAGCGAGTTACTCTAATCCGTTTTCAATAAAAATGACACTCATTCACATTAAATAACAATACAACTTATTCATTCTCGGTCCTCTCTTTTCAAAGAAGATCGCTATTAAAAACTTTCACCCTGTTCACGAAAATCTATCTTCTCAACAAAGTTCAGTAACACCTTTACTGTGATGAGAATAATTGGTGACGAAGTCAAAATCCCCTTTGGAGGATTTTCCGCGAGCCTCACTGCAATGTCAGTACCGATCTCACACATAGTACTCGGAGGAATGCTTGGTTCGTTTGAGCCCTTCTCGAAGCTCGGAAATAAGGTCACGTGGTTGAATGATCAGGACAAGATTGGTCTCACTTGATAGGTCTTCCAGTCTTTGCTTTACCTAGGATGAAGCAGAACGCCCAATATATCGTGATAACTAGACCCTCTCAACTACCAGAAGAGGGAATCCCTATCACGTAGTTTTAAACGGCTAGAGTGCTCCATACAAGCAAAACATTCAACTTGATTAAACTAACATTTACTTTGGAAATAAGAACGGATGAGCCTGAGGGGGAGCAAAATAGTCTTGTCAAGTTATGCAAAATACTAGAATTTAAGATTGGAAATTCTTCTTTGTAATCATTTTGTTTATTTGTTACCCGTGTAATTGGTAGAATTGGTTACAATTATAAAAAAGTCCATAACATCACGTTCACAATTTCATACGGTATACCGTTCTATAGATACAAACTCTGCTTCTCCCCAGTAAAAACGGTAACAAAAATGTACAGTTTAAAAAAACAGCTCATATAACTGAGAGGAAAAGCTATTCATTTCGTTCTAAATCTTAAGTGGAATTACCTCGTCCTGTGAGCACTTGACTGAGGGAATTCGCTGGTGTGCAAGTTCAGTGACGACCCATTCGCACTGTTTACTGCTTAGCACAGCCGATGTCTTGGGCGTGATACCGCCGTCAAGGGCTGGACCGCTTACACCCTTGATCTGAAATGGAAGCAACGAAAACAAAGATGACGATGAACACAACGCAAACAAGCAAAATAACACCAATAACAACAACAACAAAAACAACAACAACGGCAATTGGTTAAAATGGTGTTTGTATACACATGCGCAAACTACAAAAAAAGGAAACGGATAACAGAAAATAGCAAAAGTTATAGTAACTCAATCTATATCTTTCGTACAATTACTTACCAGAAATGCAAGATGATATATCGGTTACAAAGTCATATTAATATCTTGGTGTAACATTTTGCTTGGTGTAACTGCTAATTAATTTAATTGATTAAAATATCATTGAACATTCAATTCTGTTGAATAAATGAGAGAGAGAGAGAGAGAAAAAAGCAAATATAATAAAAATGTACAGGCTTTGAAAGTTGGCCTATATTAGTTCGTTGGTGCCGTTTTTTTTAGCGGCAATGATGACATGCAAGCAATGTATCATACTTAAGATTAAAACAACTAAATAAGATTTTATGTTCATAAAAACAAAATGAAATCTTACCTCATTTTTATGTGTCTCGAGACCCCAGCTGGTCTGTTCTGCTGTCTTATTCAGTTCCTTTATCGAGGCATAGGGAAGGCGTTTTATCACAAACGGGATCTGTGTCATGGTAAAAAAAAAAGAGTATCATTTAAGATAATAAAATAAATAATGATACATCAGTATCAAACCTCAGACACACCCAAACCGACTCCACAACCACTCCGAACCGCTAAATGCATGACCATTCGGAGTCCTGTAATTCTTTGCTAAGTGTGTTGTTGGTCTGTTGTGGATCTCGTTTTTGTGACGGGGTATCAAGTCGTCAAAAATGCAACAGATACGAATCACAACTATATCATGGGTTAGGAAACAATTATCATTAGTGAAGGGTAAAAATGGAAGCACGGGCCACACTGAATTTTATCTGACTATATACGGCATCACATGGCAGATTGAAAGAATGTGTGGATATTATAGATTAGGTCAATTGAAAATGTCTCATTCAATCTCATTCACCAAGCAAAGTCAGCTGTTAGAAATAGGAAGTTTGGATTCAGGCAGATAATACGAAATATCTGTAAGGCTTTTGCTTTCAGAGTGGGATGCAAGTTTCATAAACATGAAAAATTGTTTAGGTTAGTACATAGTACTTTCTTGATATAAATATTTGTTGAACAGTGCATGGACTTCAATAAACCAATGATGAGAACCTGTCAAATAAATAAATTATGGTCATTAGCCATTGATACATTTCGATGAGAGGGGTGGGGGGGGGGGGGGGGTAACTCAATTAGTACACCCCCCCAAAAAAAAAACGTGTCCCTTTTTAAAATTTTGACCTAAAAGGGACATGAACAATTATATCTTTCCCCTTTTTGCTTGCTTGTGAGATATATTTTGGACTTGCCCCCGCCTTAAAATAACCTAACTCCCCCTCGCCATTTATAAAGCCATACCTCATTCTTGGCCGATGAATTGATGAGCGCGAGTACGAACTCTGGACCATTCTCGTCAACCATGATCTCGTTGACCTGTAATATGACGTCACCAACATGGAACTTGCCGTGTAGTTTGTGTGAGACATCGTTCTTCCACCCTGCGATCCTATCAAGAAAAGATTGAAAGAAATAAGACATACTTGAGAAGGACCACTTTAAAAATGAGAATGATAACCTGGTCTGCCATTATTATTACCCCATCATTACTTATTCAAACACCTTGTTCGAGAGTGAAAAGATAGGGAAAAAAGTACAAATGGGAAACAAATTGTTCTGTATGTACATACTCTACTTTGACACTTGAACGTGATGTTGTTGTTATTTTCGTCGTCGTTGGCGTTGGTGTTTTTGTTATTGTTGACATTGTTATTGTTTTGATGATCTTGTAAATAATGATTTAGATAATGGTGGGTGTTCTTTTCTACTTACATTAATTCATCCTGGACTTTAACTAGAACTAACGCGTTCTTGACGTCGCTTTTGGGCACACTGACTTTACACGATCGGCAAGATTGTTCGTACACCATGTTCCTATGAAGCAAAGAGAAACAACAACAGCGGCATCATAGATGTGTGTAATGTAAGTAAAAAGACGATTGCAAGTTTGGGTATTAAGTAGACTTATTAACAACTTGTAAATCTTTAACAAAACAAAATCACAATGCATACTTTATTAACTCATTGCCTACAGGAATTGGGCGGTCCTTATATTTAACCTTATCATGCCCATCGGAATTGGAGAATACAGAATTTATTGGTATTTATTGGTATAACATAATGGGTGGACTGGTGTTTGATATTAGTGGTGGTGGTTATTTTACATGACTGCTAAGAAAGCATAAATGCTTGTTAGTAAGCAACCAGTGAACCGACGGATTTAGGTCCACTCCGAGGGACCTGGTAATGAGGGTTGATGCCTTACCAAAGGGCACTAGCGCATCGACTTGGTTTCGAATCCGGGTCACCGGATTACGAGACCACTGCTCTACCAACTGAGCTATCGCGCCTCTGTCGTAATGAAATTTATATCCAACACTTACCCTACATCTTTCCAATCCGTCTCCTGATTAGGATGAGGGAGAGGTCTTCTTCTGATCTGGCTAGGGTCAGTGTACAGTCTCTTTCTATCGATATCAGGAAGCGATTCACCTGAGGATCGTTTGTCCTCCTCATTCACCTTCTCGTCGTCATCCTGATCGATGCCCGCCCCATCGGTAAGATTTTTATCCCGTCGGAATTTAGACAGGCGATCGTACGGTGGTTCATTCTCGGGATCCTCGTAGGATGCTTCATCTCCGCCCTCATCCTCGTCGTCCTCATTACTGAGCCTCTTCTCAGTAATTGGTCGAGATTGTTTCATCCGCCTTTCTTGTACACTTCTACGGGAATGAGTTCCTATAGGCAGCTTGTCCCCAAGAACTTTCTCCAGGTCTGTCGAGTTAGGCACAAATACAGGAATAAACATCCGTTGATCGTATTATTATCGTAACAAACTGCTATTGCCCAGAATTGGTGCCCGCCCGTACGTGCACGGCGTCAGATTGCGCAAAAATAACCAATGACTTGTCCTAATTGAAATTGTTTGTGATGATATTTCTACCAACATAAATTACATTAGCCTTCAGACTTCCACCCAAGTGAAGTTAATCTTTAAAATGTATTGGCCTATTGAGTATTGGTGTTGAGATGACAACGATCTGGGAAAATCGGTACACGATATCATTATAGTCACCTGTAAAGTGTGACTGACTCTATACACATTCTGACTAAGTCTTTCTTTGTAATCAAACAGATGAAAATGTAGGATACAGATTTAAAGGTAGGCATACTTTTCAACACTCTTGGCATGGTCGTGCAAGTAGATGGAATTGTTATTTACTGTAGCTTCAAATTGTAGAAAAGCGTACTTGTATTTAAAAAAAAAAAAATACCTTAGAATATAGTAATTTAATCCTTTTAAGAAGCCTGTATAGGACTTGCTTTAATTTGCAATATTTTCACCAGTTATTCAAATTGCAATATTGAACTAGTTAACGTCAATGTATTTCCAATATTAGACAATTACTTTTGGCCAAGTCCATCGTCTTCCATTTAGCAACAGAAGGATTCCTTTTCGGTCGGGTGTTTGGGGAACCGTCTGGCTCGATGTCGACTACTTCCGGTTCACTAAGTTGCCTTTGCGTTTTGACGACCACCTTTTGATAGTCCGGATCTTTAGCCTGATCCCCTTCCCCACTCTCGGGTCGGTTAGGCCATGTGGATAACCTCATGGTGACGATGTTATTTCGGATTTCTTCCACGGTTTTCAGTGTTCGTGGTTTAGGTTCGGGTTTGGGTCCTTTTTCCTGGATAGGTTCAAATAATGACTTGGAGTTCTTGAAGGTTGACTTTGAGATAATGCTCGATTTAGAAGAGACAAACTGCTCTTCATAGCGATCTGTGTTAAATCAGGAAAATAGAAAGTAAAAATAACTTTCACATCGGGAAAATGATTGATTTAGCTTGGACAAATTGCTCTTGATAGAGATCTTTTTCTTACCAAATATCAGGAAAATAGAAATGTAACATAGACATAGGCACGATTTTTGGATAGATTGTAAAGCGAACCCTAACGAAATAATAACGTTCCTACTTCAGAACTATTAGAAAGACATGATCAGTCGGATATTGAACCTAATAACCGATATACCAGTGTGTAATGTCATTGCTATTTATTCAGATACAGTAAATGAAGATGGAGGGGGGGGGGGGGTCGATTTATTTATTAATGGTCTGAAAGAAATACTGAGAAAAAATAATTAGTTGTTTGAACCTAGTTTCTGAAGAAAATAAACACTTTAATTTCAGTTGATCATTTTTGTTCAGTTCAACCTAAACAAATTATTCTAATCTCGAAATGTATCAAATGACTACGTAGCACATTCTACATGAAAATCGTTATCTGACTGTTTCTGAATTGATATTTCAACATAATACTTAAAGCGTCACAATCTTTACCAAAACACAACATAGTTTAGATTGGCCCTACCGTTGGTCAGCACCATTCGTGAACGTCGACATGGCCCATCGTGATCATCGACATCGCCGCCTCCTCCCCCACCACCACCAGTGGCAGTAGCACCAACATCATCATCGCTATCTTCTTCAGGGATGTCCATTTCAATGGCCTCTGGTAGGATGTTGACTGGGGTGTCTTCCTCAGGGGTGCTATTCTCGGCTCCCTTCTCAGGTTGATCGGTTGACATGTCTGAAGCTCGAGGTGTGATCGGTGTGATATCAATACCACTGTCTTGGTCAGGGCGCTTCTAGGTACAGGTTAATAATAAAATAATAACGAAAGTTATGTAGTAGAAATAACAGTTAGGTGGAAATGGTAGTAGTGCTGGTGCTGGTAGTAGGGGTAGAAGTAGTAGTAGTAGTAGTAGTAGTAGTAGTAGTAGTAGTAGTAATAGTAGTAGTAGTAGTAGTAGTAGTAGTAGTAGTAGGAGTAGTAGTAGTAGTAGTGGTGGTGGTGGTGGTGGTTGTAGTAGTAGCAGCAGCAGCAGTAGTAGTAGTAGTAGTAGTAGTAGTAGTAGTAGTAGTAGTAAAAGTAGTCATAGTAGTAAAAGTATCAAATATATTGATTATTATTTCAAATAAAGATAAATATTTACCGGTTTATTTGACCTGCTAGTGACCTTGGTATCATCTTCTGAGCTTGACCTTGGACTCGGGGTCAATGAAGCTCGACGTGCTATTGCATTAGCTACCTTCTGAAAACCCTGTACCCAGTTCATCATCTCAACACTGCAAGAAAAAAATCATAAATTACTAATAACACAGGAAAGATTTGTACCCTTCGTTAACGTAGTTTACTTTTACTTTTACTTAATACCAGCCTTGTTAAAGGTTCATACTACATACCCCGGGTAAAGGTTACAGTATCTTATCAATAACATATTTGTCAAACGATATTAGGATGGGAATTGTAAATCAATCCCTAAATGGCTTCGTAAGAAGAAACCATTATATTTTCTTGCTGGGAATTTGCGCGACCTCTCAAATCATTTTCTCAAAGTGTTACATTTCACAGTTGTCTATGAAAACGGTTGAATAAATTTGGTTTTGAACATGGCGTTAAAAAAGGTTGGAGCAACTTGGATATATGACGTGAAGATAACCAAAGAGATTTTGGTCACTTGATGCAAGGGAATGTAGATGAGGGGGAGTTCAATTGAATGAGTTTTGAAAATATCGACGGCACTGGCTGTTTGTTGTTTGTATACGAGTAAAGAGTTTAAGTCTACCCGCTGGGTTCAGCGATTGAACTCAGCATATTGAAAGGCGTTAACGAGGACATGTGATTGTCATAATGGATTGGATCAACAACAAAACAATCTGAACAAAAGTTCACACAATGGTATAACCACAGCAAGAATACAAAAAAAAGAAGAAATTCAAATACGACATATTATTTTCGTAGTAACGGTGTCGTAGTATTTTCGATAAATTTTAACTAGAGATAGGGAGGTAATGGGTTCGATTCCCAATACTACATGATTATTAAAATGCTTCTCATGTTCGAACTGAAGTATGCTTACTTTATGGATGCATTATACAAAACTGATTTAAACAAAAATATGTTAAGACTATATCAACACGACTGCTTTAATATAATTACATTACGTGCTTAAATATACACATTGGTAGCAGGCTCTTAATTCGATAACAAAGGAATGTTAATGTATTTTCACATTAAAGATCTATCTTTAATGTGAACATACATTAACATTCCTTGTCATTGCACACAACTTATGAACTGTACGGTATGTTGGATGCGGTGAAAGATGTGAACGAAATCAACTGATGAATTCACAGACTAATGACTATTCATCCAAATATATATCAAACAAGTTTGAAATGAATACCTAAATGGGCGTTGGATGAAAGTGGATATTAGACAGACTACACGTGTATTAAATGTAGTAGTAATTAGAAATTGGGTGTAACATGATTGTGATATGAAAGTATAAAAATACAAAAACAACTAATTTGAGTAAAATCAGCTCTAGGGTAACTTCATGTCCGGATTACGTAAGACGTCATTATCATGTTCGCACATTTCAATGTTTGAATTACAAGGCTAATGAAATTGCCTTAGGCCGACTTTTCGAAAGTACAGGGTGTAGTAGATATCGTGTTATATAAGAATATTAGAAAATAAATTAACATTGGGCTTTGGACAAGAAAGGTTAAAGGGTGAATAAATTACGAATTCATGATGACTTGTGTTGATGTGTTATAATGTATAAATTACTTACCTTTTGACTTTTTGATGCCCATTTATGTCATATATTTTATATAATATTTACTATTACTTTTGTTCTAGATGCTAATCATCGTGCCCGTTATTTATCAGTCTGCTAGATGAGCAAAAGACATTCGTATGTCACTTCCCATCAACTGACCACCCGTTCACAATAGCATTGTATGTTCTTATACAATGCCCACTCACAAAACTCAATTACATTTTAAGCAGTTGCTATGTCAGAAATACCAAAGCAACACCATAAAATGAAGGGTTTAAATGGGCTATTTCATGAAAACATGCAATGATAATGCAATAAGGTACTCAGTGGTTTTATGACATATCACTGTCTTTTGTCCGTCTAGCTGACTGACGAATGACTGGCATGATGATGTCACAATAGTCATTTGCTTTTGGAAGTTTTTTTTAGGGGTGGAGCTTAGCAGGTAGAACAAAAGTAAAATAAAAAAATTATATATAAATATATGACATAAATATACATCAAAAACCCTATGGGTTATTGATGTAGACAAATCCTCATGTACGTGTTACAGCTTATTTTAAGTATGTTATTATCAAAGAAAAAAATGAAGTTAGTCACTCATTTAATAGTGTCTGACAGTGAAGTCTAGAAAGTAAACGGGTTTCCTCACATAATCTGAATACTAGGACACTGCTAACGTTTACATTTTCCAGATAGGAACATACGTGACATATTCACGATGTTTGCTGCAAATGGGACATAGTACCTTTAAAACTTTACTCTCAGTATAACGAATTGTTGAAGAGCAAATGACATGAGACAAACTGCCTGGCTTGAGACTAACGACAATCTTCGAGCTAGTACTGAATGTAATGGCAGGCATTCACTTCTTGAGTTGTCTGAATACCGAATTTCGGGGGACATACACCTCCTGTAGACATTCAAAACGCGAACGCTGATTTCTTGTAAGGGTATATTTTGTGATCTTGTTCATTAGTCTTATTTAATGTAGAATAATAGGGAATTAATATTTTCGTAAAAGCGATTGCTCTTGAAGTGCTCTCATACGCCATTTAACTTCAAGAAAGTTTCCTGTTATTACATGACCCGTGCTCAGCAACGTTTTAAATTATAAGCAGTAAAAAACACAAAACAAAAAAAAACTCGTATTTGAAGAGTTTTAGTGTGGAAATCCATAGCAACCCCCTCACACACACACCCTCACCCACAGAGAGAGAAAGGTCTTGTAAAGCCATTAGTCATATCCTAAGTGTAAATCAATATGACTGATTGCCAATGAGTACGCTATGGCTTTGACAATTTTGAAGCACAAATAACTATTTGGGAATAAAGCAACATGCTAAGGGAGGTGATATCTGCGTGTTTAGTTACGTGTGTAATGAAAAATGATTAAGAAGTGCCACATGAAAGTTGAAACAAATGGTTAACAAATATGTAAAGTGTTTACAAATATATTAATCAACTAATTCTAGTGCAAAAATGGTACACTCGATATACACAAACTCTATTGGGTTTGAACAAAAAACTTACGGGTTTGATCGGATCAACCTATGGGGCCTATATATAAAAGGGGGAAAAATGACATTATTATTATAACTATTATTGATATTATTAGAGATCTAGGGCCCTGTCTGATAAAGAGTTGATCCTCATCGCAGCTTATTTACGATTGATATTATTCACAACATACATAATAGATAGGGTACTGCAAACTTGCGATTGATTGGAGGACTTGCGATTGATTTGGATCAATCGCAACTGTTTATAAGAAGGGACACAGGTCTCCATAAAAAAGTGTAACATACCGAAAAAGACCAACACAAACAAACCAAAAACAACAATAAGGCATTAACCAGAAGTCAACAGATGAAATTCAAAGTGTTTGCGTTGTAATGTTGAACTAAGAAGCGATATCAAAGCTAATGATGTGTACTTTCCTAAAAACTGACGTAATTGGTGGCCTTTGAGCAAAATAAATAGATCTCACTGCTATTTGTCCTGAAAAGAACCACAAGAAATATATTTTGTATATTTTGTCTTTGTTATTGTCGATATTTTGATATGAACTTCCTCTTATATCAAAATATCTACACCATGGTCATTACTTTTAGAATTAAACACCTGACAAATCGGAAAATTTAATATCGACGTTGTTTTTATAAGCATTTTTAGGATCAGTAGTTTTGCAAAAATGGAACTATGATATTATATAACAACGTTTTTTCAGGTTGTATAAAAACATTGCAGTTTCCGTCTTACAGTTCTACCAATGCAGTACAAAAGCTTGTAATTGAAACACAGTAAACTGGGACTGCCATTCAAGAGTATTCTGAAAAAAACTCTTGTATACAAAAAAAAGTCATTATAACTACATGATATTCTTTATCCCTTTATCTATCATTATATGAACGACATGGCAAAAGCACATAACCGACTGCACGATATCATATGTGACTTAAGAGGATATTATAACAGCAAGACCCACTTTTTTAACCTGGACATCGAGACGCGATGGCTCAGTGGTACATGTAGGTCCGGGGTTCGACACCAAAACGATGTGCTAGTGCCCTTTGGTAAGGCATTAATCCCAATTACCGAATCCCTAGCGGATAGGACTCATAGCCGTTGGTCCTCTAGTTTCTTTATTCTTAATGTTTACCTAGCAGCCAGGTTTAGTAAACTACCATATAGCTCACAGGTTGCTGAAAGTACCATTGTCATTGTAGCAGACTTTTATAATAGTGAAGGAATAACCGTTTTATAGGATTTTAAATAGAATCATGCAGATAAATTGATAAAATAGATAATAGACTCTTCAATGTAATGTTTTAAATTGGTATATTATTGGTTTATTTGTTTGTACATATTGTATATTCGTATATGAAAGGGGTGGGGAGAGGGGGAGAAGCACCCCCTTTATAACAAAGTGCTATACATAGCATTTTACCCCTACTTCATTATTATTTCAGTAAAGCAAGGAACTTATATGCATAACAGGATTTATAAGTCCATGGTAAAGTAAAGCACTAAATCTCCTTTAGGTTGCAAGTGCATATAATCATTTTAATTGTTTCATATAAGACTCACCCGTTAGAAGGTTTGAAATAGCGAGGCATACTACCATGTACGATGATGAATATATTCTGTGGTTTTCTCGATTTTCCAATCATCATCTCCAACGAATGAATTTTGATGTTAGCCGTGTAGTGCATCTCAGTGACCTTTGAACTCTTCTTCTCTTTCTTCAGGAAGCTTTTCTCATCCTTGTACAGACTAAGACAGAACTTTAGAGGGCCTGTGTTTTGTAAGACTGCGTAACGTTTCCCATTTTTCTGAGGGTTGGAAAACAATAAGAAACATTTACATATGGAATACTCTATTATTATAAGATCATGAACAGTAGGTTTCAACTAACAGACAACGACAATACCAACAAGAACCACAACTACTACTACTACTACTACTACCTCTACTACGACTACTACTACTACTACTACTACTACTACTATATACTACTGCTACTACTACTACTACTACTACTACTACTACTACTACTACTACTACTACTACTACTACGACTACTACTACTACTACTACTACTATATACTACTGCTACTACTACTACTACTACTACTACTACTACTACTACTACTACTACTACTACTATACTACTACTACTGCTGCTACTATTACTACTACTACTACTACTACTACTACTACTACTACTACTACTACTACTACTGCTACTACCATAACTAATAGTTCTACTAATACTACTACTGCTACTACCATAACTAATAGTTCTACTAATACTACTATTACTGTAGATATGTCGAGGTCAATTGGAGACGTCTTCTGCATGTGGATTTACATGGTTCGCCGTTCGACGGGGAACTAATATCCTTTGGAACGATATTAATCTACATTTTTAAATTCCCCACTCAGGTTTAGTTATATTTACATTTCCATTATCCTTACCATCATCATTACCATTATCATTATCATTATCATAACTACTATCATTATTTTTGTTAATGTTATCATAAGTAACATTATTATTAACATTACTTATTACTTATAAGTAATAAAAAAGACCATCACAACCACCACCACTGCCTCCACCATCCTAATCAGTACCGTCGATACCACTGCCATCAGAACCATTCTTACTCGATTTGATTTATTTCGATTAATGTCATTATTTTTTTTGTCAACTATACTAATGTCCTTGAAATATGATATCCTTGCCGCCAGAAATATCACAAACAAAATATCATATGTATATTGTTTTGTCTCTTGTTGTACTTACAGGGAATACAAGGGTTAATCCGCCTTCCACTGTCTGATTCTCGCCTTGAATTAGATATCCTCTGTGGAAATGATTCCACCTTGACCGTCGTTTTCAAGAGTTTCCGTATCCTCCATGATCGAATAAACTATCCAATACTATCCAATACTATCCAATACTATCCAATACTATCCAATACTATCCAACACCGTGGAATAAAGAATACTTAGGCACATAGCTGAACAGCGTTAGTTTCTCATAAGATTATGTTCAGAAACGTACAACTTATTTCGTGGTACGTTTGTTCGCTAACTGTGTTGAATTTACACATCGGTGTTCCTCATTTTGTTATATGCTTGAAAGATTCCCGTAACTTTGTCCAACAAATATTATTGTGAAATACACTGTAGTCAGATCTTTGATGCAGCACATGTGATCGTTTGCGTGTGCATCGAGGGGTGGCCGAAGGTTAGCCTCAATTTGGACTAGTTTGTTCCTTTTTGAGGGGAATTTTCATCAAACAAGCAAGAATGCGAATTTACTTTGGTATTTCGATCAATCATAGAACCCGATTGATCTAATGCATGAAATATGTCAATTAATATATATCCCAGTATTAAAACTATGGCATGGGGTTGCGCTACATCGTTAAACGCTAACTTCGTTTCTGTGTCTCGAATGAAAAATTAAATGCTAAATAAACGGCATTTCTCAAACATATTCGATACACTACTTGGTGAATGATGAACCGATGGGCCCAACTTTGACCATGTTTCATGGAAAGTGTACATTTGCAGCTCTCTTTGATTACCGTCGTCGAGTGTTCATACATGCATGACAGTCCGAGAAGGAATAAACCTAGAAGGCTAGAGAGGTTTGCGTCAGTTTCGCTGCTGGTTGTTCCTCATTCTTTATAACTTAAATTGAAGAAGAGGAAGTCAGTTGCAAAAGTGAAGTAAAATAAGAGAATTGATAAAGAGTAGGCCTTATCATTCTGGAATATTTGCTTGGTTTAAGGTAAAGAGTGTAAAGGAGATTTAAAGGTATTTCTCTGTAAGGCCATCGTATAGAAAGTAAGTTATCAAAATTGGGTAAATAATTGAATGTTTTGAGCAAAATGGTTTTAGATTTAAGCTATGTTGTGAGAAAGAAAATCTATTTAGTTTGTTATATCTTGGCATTTACATCGCTTGATGAAACGTATGCTATAAACGTGACGGAATTTGTCGTAAATATTGACAATTTTTCATTTTGGATTGTCTGTTTGTTTTCTTTGTTATCTTGCTAGCCATAGCATATTGTAGAAATATTTTCGCAAGGACATTACAAATTTGCCTTTCTATGACGTCATACCCCTTGTCACACGGCTAAACTGAATCCACACCTGTCAGTTCTTGGCCTTTCGGTGGTAATGTAATCTTAACTTTGGTCTTTCGTTTGGTCTGATTCATGTGTCATCGGTGTGACGTGGGCCTAGACAGCATTTTTTTACCTCTGTTCTCTGTTCTGTTATCAGAGTCTACATTGGTAATTTGGTTTCTGTCTGCTTATCAGCTCGCGGTTTATATCATGGTTAGCCGCATTTGACAATCTAAGGCCGAACTTACACAATATCGTAGGGAAAGCCCTATTTTTATTTTAAACTATGACGCAATATAACCAGTCATGCTAGTAGCCAGTGTTTATAATATCATTGGTTAATTTTACTCATAGGCGCCTGATAAATAATACCAAGTATGTAAAGCATGGATTGAGAAAACTAATTTACTACTCACGTGTATAGAGAGAAACTGTTGTGTACAAAATGCCATGCTCTGTGGTATTAGCATTTGGTTTGGATTTAAATCCTGATTACCCCCCCCCCCCCATACGCGGGCCGCGTATTTCTATTTTACACGCTAGCAAGGGGAATTTCTCGATTAATTCAAATGAAACCGCTCGCGGATAGCCTAGACTGTATTTTAAACCTGATAATGATAATGTACTGAAATTGTTTTGTCGATGGGTGTTGTGTGTACATGATGCGTGTGTATGTTTACGCTCGCTGCGCTGATTTCTGCTCTCATATTCAACAGCAAACTGCAAAATAAATACAAATATTTTTTATAAATATCTGTAACTGCTCGGAATCTTGTGTTTTGTTCAGTTGGTTAAAGTGGTATCAATATGACTAAATTGTTACAACCATACCTTTTCCACAGGACTTCCCTTTCCCTCTTTCTCTATCTCCCTCCCCCTCCACTAAATAGAGATTCTTGGCTTTCTTATATAACATTATTACCTTTCTACGCTCCAGTGATATCGAGGCAGCAGACAGCAAGCTTTACATTAAACAAAATCACATTCTCTCCAACCTTATACAACAAAAGGTTGCCTTGGAACCACTTCTATCTTTATAAATGGGTGCAGGGGGGGGGGGGGCTTTGCTGGGATTCTTAACAAAGATAAATCCTTAACTCAATAGGGAGATTGCTATACGTTGTTACATTTATTCGATCCAGTGATCTCGAGGCAGCAGACAGCAACAAATTATGTAAATATTAAAATTTCCGTTGTTAGTGGCTGTAACAGGTGCATGAGTATTTGTCTACATCAATTACCCACAACTTGCAATGGCCAATATCAAACTGATTGACTCTTTGTCCAGCACAAAACGTTTTTTTAAATGTTTCTTTAAAAAATTCCTTGACACTATCACAACTCGGTATTTTTCTTAAAATAAGGTAATTGGAGACTCTGTGCCAGGCGGACCGGTTTGGCATGCCCTGTGGTCCGGAACTTGAGAAGCCCTGGCGTAGCTAGGCCCTACTACAAGAAGAACAGTTAAAGGTTTCTAATTTATGCACAAAATAAAAGAATACAATTTTCTCACTTATGATGGCAAAGCCATATCAATATGGCTATGCCATCGTAAGTGATATTACATATGGCATGTGTTCTTAATGTGTTATGGGTGATATACTTTTACTTGTTATTATGTCCCCCCTGTAAATGAATATCTGTTCCATTTTTTCAAATTCCAGACGAATCGACAATTCGTGTAATTGTGTGTACAAATCAAATGGGAGATATCTTTGGAGTGTGTGACATGCGTAACGCTTGCGTGTGACATCGCACATAAATGCCAGTTGGAGATACCCCATCTAGTTACATGTATTGATCTCGATTGAAGAAAAATTTACTTTATCATTAATTCTATTTCCAATTTTTCTAATACTTACACTAATTTCACTAAAAAAAAAAAAAAACGTCGTCTACTTCCTCTCAAGACAACATTATATAACGGATTCATTCCCATATAACTGATGCAAGGCTATCTCGCGAGTCATCTCTTGATTTTAATAACTTGTTGCTTCCCCTCATCTCCCAGTCTCTCTTGCTTTAATATTCCTCGTTACTTCCTTCCAATTCAGCTCTAACTTGATTTCTCCACATCTATTCAAATATTACTCCAAATCCATTATACTCAGGATACAGCCAGCGACAAGAACTGCTTCAGTCCATATTTTACATGTATCATTAATAATGATTAATGGTTTTACAATGGCCATGGTGATGAGATGTCTAGGTAATATGTTGATGCGTTTGTTAAAATGTATTACCATGGTGCACCTTCTTGGTTAAAAAAGTATATTTGTATGTATTAACGTACGTTCATGCATGCCTTTACATACCACAGCAGAAATCAAATATTCTATATTTGATGCAGAATAATATTAATATTTGAAGATTAATGACACAAATAGGTTCCATAACCAGTCAAGTAAAGCAAAAATTTTATTGATGTTAATTCACACTTGTCTAGCACTATATAGCGAGCTCTCCAATCCAGTCTAGACTCTTCGCCAGCGGTTTCATTGGAATTAATCGAGAAATTCCCCTCGCTAGCGTGTAAATAAAAAATACGCACCGGACAGGCCCCCAACCTTGAGTAAAATAATAGAATTAATAATTGAGTATACCTTACTATTTCGGAATATTGTTTAGTTTACGGTACATTGTGTACAACAGATTTAAAGTTATTTCTCTGAGAGGTATTCGTATAGAAGGTGTCTACTCGCTATTTATAACAGGTCTCTATTCATTTAGTCACGTGTCATGGATAGCGGTCCTTACGAAGAGCGGTCCTCGTGAATAGCAAGCCTGACCCGCATAGAAAGTAAGTGATTAAAAGGGGGGTAAATCCATTGAATGTTTTAAAGTTTCTTATATATTGGCTTCTACCATCGCTTGATGGCACATACGTCATAAACGTGACGTGAAGTTGCCGTAAATATTGACAAATTTCTTAATCTTAGATTTGTTTAAATTTTAATTCCTGCGAGCCATAGCATATTATGGAAATCTTTGCCCAAGGACATGACAAATTTGCCTTTCATTATGTCATCATACCCTTGTCACACGGCTAAACCGAATCCGAACCGATCATTTAAATTATTGGGACATTCCGGGGACATTGTTATTATATATTCGGTCTTTTGTTCGGTCTGTTTATCAAGGTCTACATTGGTAATTTGGTTCTTTTCTTCTCATCAGCCCGCAGCTTATACATTGTATGGTTGGCTGCATTTGACAAGCTAAGACCGATATTGCGCAAAATTTTAGGGAAATCCCTATTTTTATTTTTTCTAACTACGACGCAATATAACCAGTCATGCTAGCAGGCAGTGTAAACAATTACATCTGTTAATTTTACTAAAAGGCACCTGAACCATAGAACCCAGTATGTACTGCATGAGATTGAGATATCATGGCAAAGTAAGAATTAATTTACTACTCCCTTATAGAGATAGACGATTGTGTGCAAAATCCCATGCGTTAGCATTTGGCTTGGATTCGAATCCTGATTACCCCCCCCCCCCACACACACACACACATACGCATACGCACCCTCTTTCATCTCTCTCTCTCTTTCTTTCTTTCTCTCTATGTCCTTTCTATCCTCTCTTCTCTCTCTCTCTCTCTCTATCTCTCTCTTATTTTCATCTTTATACTTGTCTTTAATATTTATTATAGAATAACTTATTTCAAATGAGTAAACTGCAAACCTACAACCGATAGAACATTAATAGAAAAAAAAGAAGACAAAAAAGAATTTTGAAGTGAGGTTGACTATCAGTAATTATTATGTGACCTCAGCGGCTAGAATTCCTGATTCACGAAGAAACTGCCACCATTTCCAAAGAAATCCGAAACCATATCGTGGATTAATGAAAGTTTTATTTACTTATAGATATTTTCTTTATTAGTTCTCCAAGCTTCCAGTTTATACGATCAAACTTAATCTTACAAAAAAAGGCATGACATGGATCATGGATAAAATATGACATTATTTTTGTAACCGTATATTAATAAAATTATCCTCTCTAAAAATGTCACACTTACTCTCGAAATCAGGTTGTGTTTTTTCGCTTTAAATGAGACTATATTCAAAAGAAATGAGACAAACAAGATTATATCCACATATTGACATATCATTTATTGTGAACCAGCACTTTGAATACAAATGATTACATTGGCCTTTTTTCAATCAGTTCAGATTTGTTATAACAAGAAAACTACGCAACCCGGCATAAGGGTGGAAACGGATGCCCGCCAAACAGATTTACATTTCTAAAAGTGCACATTGACCTAAAGTATATATATATAGACTACAACTAGAAACACATTCAGTCCTCATATCGTCAAATTGTGTCACGATAACAGATTATAGTTTATCAGCCTCTATATTCTTAATCCTTTCATTACTAAAAACAGTACATTTTGATTAAAATCCACCCCCTTTATGACTTGCAAACGACTATGATAAAGTGAAGGTTTGTACAATGGTCTGTACAGGCATTGAACTCAACATTAGAATACACACGCATCACTTACATCATTTAATACAGTGGAATATATAAACAATTTGACTAGGCAGTATACTCATTTACATGCACGCTTTACATAAGACAGTTCACACTCTCTTCTTTAGAGAACTTAGTAATTTGCCCCTTCAGACTATTAACAAGTTAGACCTATACCTATCGTGTACACTGTCATATATTATTATTAACAAGCTTGATAACTTCATAAGTAAAGATACTTAGAGATTCTAGTTGTTATGAATAGTATCTGAAATTTGTCGAGAGTTATTGTTGCATTTACAATCAATATTACGTCTCGGCATTTACAAGGGCGAATTGGCAAATAAAAAATCTATAAACACATGATACAAATATTTACAGCAACTTATTGAGATCTACAAATAACCAAGATAAGAGAATACATATATATTTAGACGAAACAATTTAACCACTGATATATAGTATCAATATATTGGTAAATTTCAAAACAGAGAACAAGATATTTGAAGGTCACTTATGCATTTACACTTTCATGTGAGGGCCATTCTGAGACACTCAGTAAATCGTCATTTTGTGCCAAGCAAGGTCATTATATAATGAAGCTTAAACATATGGATTTTGATCATTGCAACAAGAAAATCGTAAGTATGCCTCTGTCCGATTCTACTCTTGAAGCAGTAAAAAACAACAACTATGAAACCGATGCTCATATTGTAATCAATGTAGAAAAAAAAACTCTTCAGATTGGCATTCATATTCATATTTCAGACTTAATCATCAATTAAGGGTAATATCTCATTACTATTTGTGCATTATTTTTCACATTGAATAGCCATGACTCTTCGTGTGATCGGGAAGTAGCAAGGCTGTTAAATAATTGTTGTTTTACATGATGTTTTTCGATGACATACACAATAAATATTGTTGTGAAAATAAACAACAATCTTAATTAGATGATAATGTATTGAATTGAACAAAATATAAGATCAATTAATATGACTCAATTAATTGCACTGTGGCTGACAAGACAGAGTATTTCGAAATAATACGTCTATTTTCTTCTAAGTTTGCCACTCTGTTTTTCAAGGATATGAGCACCAGAAGAATTAGAGTTGGCATTTTTCTGTAAACAAATGCCCTCAGTTAACACTTAATCTGAGCACACGGTGTAACAGTATGTAGAATTTAGTCTCATGCGGCTTGGAGATATGTATTAAAACATATATCAACCATTAAGTCCATATTTTTCTTTACATGATTACGATACACAGCTTCAATGTTTGGATTATGTGACACATTGATAACAATGAGAACATTTAAATTACAGGGACATGAAACGATATGAAGATTTATGGTATTTGCTACTCTGGTATGTTTGGAATTGACATGGAAGGAGAAGTCCACCCCGCCATCAGTTTTCTGGTAAGTGAAAGTTTTTAATCGAATTGAATTGGATTGAATTGGTTTGGTTTATTGCGAAATCACATCAAACAGGCAGCTCGCAGGCTGAAAATGTTCAATTTACAAACAAGTTAAAAATATAGAGAGATATAAACATATAAAAAACTGAAATACATATTGTAAGTCATTGTTAGATGAAATCGAAATTGCAAAACAAAGTTATACGTTTAATGTAATAATATACTTTCATGATGAAAGACCGAGACGGTGGAAAGGGGAGAATGGAGAAGAAAAAAGGAAGTCGTTTGAGCGAAAGAGTTGAGAAAGTATTTAACAATTGCTAAACAAACATTTCTATTACAAAAATTGAAATTAAGCATTAAAAAAAACCTATTAGATGAGATGAAATTAAACCGTATGAGTCAAAATGACAGCCTCTATTCCGTTTTCCCCTTTAATATAAATATTTATCTGATATTTTTAGTACATATGGGGGGGGGGGGACCTCGCAAGATACGTCACAGAGTTGACAATTTGTGTTTGATTGATCTCAACTATAAACAATAACAAAAATCTTATTTTTAATCGGAATTTGCTCAAACTTTCACTGACCTGTCCCTCTCATTTTCTGCTTCTATTAAAAACCAACTTAATATCAGAGTGGACTTCCATTTTAAGACCTGTAAAAATGTCAAACTCTGTAATTAAAGATATGAACATGTTTATATCCACACTATCACATTCTGTGATCTATTCAAGATGGCAGATATAACGGCAATGTAAGAAGTAGCTCTGCTTCAAGATGGCAAGGAATGCCGCTGAGGATGTCGAACCCATGATCGCTTGATTGAGTCGTAGGGCAGTCGAAGGTGACGACTTTCAGTAGAATTGAGAGCCCCGTTTCTTCTCAATAGCTTCAGCAAGTTTCTTGATGAAGTCATGAGGTTGTAGTACCAGTGGGACTTCTGAATGGTCCGCTTCGAGTTCAGCTTTCACCAAATCCTACACATTTGTCAACAACGACGAGAAAAAAAAAATACGTTTCATAAATAATAGTCCCAATGATCACCATACAAACAAAATTAAGAGATTAAATAATTAGAAAATTTTCGACCAAGGCGGAAAAATATGTTTAGTACGCATGGAAGGGAACAATAACTCACTTCAGATGATCCACAGTTGATTGAACTGAAAATTTTGGTTGCTCTATTTTGTTGTCTATATTCTAGCTTTCTGATAGAAAGTATTGATTCCCTTTTTCAAAGATTGTTAAAACGATTCGACTGGGAAGCCAAACAACAATAAACGATCCAAGAAAAAGGAAGGGGAACCTATATTTAAAGAATGTAGGTCCTACTATAATGCTATGTTTATTCCCTTGGTAATCATGCGAGTTTATTTCTTAAAAAACTAATAAACAGTACTAAGATCAGTATATTTACACAATATTATGATGGAAATGAATGCTTCTCATGTCAATCGAAAATGAAATTTTAATGATTGATAGGAATTAGTAAATTTGATCCCTTTATGATACAGTAGTATACAGTTTTGTGAATAAATTATTGAAGGTGGCAACTGCAGCAAAGACGGAAAGGTGTATGTTGTGAGGGAAATGTTTTAACGCAAGATACGAACTAATTGAAATTCAACTGTTCAATTCATTCTATGAGCCTCGGAACTAGTTGACTAGATTGATGGATTGCTATAAATGCTCTGTTTTTATTGTATGATTTGTTTAAGATTAACCTAGAAAAAGGATGATACATTTTAACTCGATGCTGACACTTTGGATTGAGATAATTTGTAGCTGATAAAGTGTAGCAGAGAAGATGCCTAGTATAAATGTTTGTGCTGCATTGTAGGCATATTGGTTAGATACAGGTAGGGTGTAAACGAACACGATGTGATCATAATTTACATCATTTATCAATAACTATGGTATGTTTGTATTAAGTTTCATGGCAGTCATGTTAATGAATATTATGTTATTCCATGTGACTTATCGATAAGTAATGTATTAAATATATCTAAATATCACGTAACAATGAAGGCGTGTTTACCTGATTTTTTCCATTCCTGACGAGAGGAACGCGTTGGAGATTTATCTCGGTGATGACCCAGTCACAAGTTTTCCCCGAGAAGGAAGCCTTAGCTTTAAGTCCCTCTGTTACAGCAGGACCATCCGTCAGCGATTTTATCTGCCAGAGACAACGATTGAATAAAATAAATTTTGTATTAATGGCTGAGCTCTTATAAACATTACTTATACACTTTTATTTTACCAAAACTAGCACAAATATGACTCGTTGTATTTCTAATTGACATTGATTTATTTTACAAATTAAAAGTCCTTCTTTTTCAAAAGTTTTCTTTTAAATAGCAAACTCTTCAAACGCTCATGATGTTTTTCTTTGGGTAAATTGATGGGTAACATTTCACAAAAGGCCTCATCCACATATATAAAAGGATATATAAACGGTTGTATAACAAGAAACAAAATATATAGTACAATACGATTTATAATAGAAATCACAAAAGAGGTATTGTGGTATATTCTTGAAGGCATTTGACTCTCAAACATTGCCATATCAAAGGTCTACTATTCGAACCTTGCAATGTGCTCACATCTTTGTATGGACATCTTTGACAAGATTTTTTGCTCATATTTGCTGCTCGTGACCCATGAGTACTAGGGGTACCTGTCAATGCTGTGGTAATAATGATTGCATGACTCCCTCAGAGAGCAGTATTATCAAAAAGTCTGTGGTTACCCTTGGTAAATAAGACCCCCCCCCCAACCAAAAAAATAAAGTAAAAAAAATTGTGCCTACCTCGATATGAGACTTGAGATGAATGCCCCACTGGATATTGTGATCAGATCTGTTAAGGTTCAGTAGATGAGCATGTGGTAGCCGATACAGTGTAACTTTTATCTAAAGGATAGAAACAACACATTTCAATATTATTCTACCTATAGAAGTACATTTAATGCTGAGATTTATCCTGGCTTGTGACGAGTGAAGAAAAAAAAAATCATTCTACAATGACAATTTAAAGCCTCACTGCACTACTTATAGCTACTTGCGCCCTCAATACAGCCAACAATGTCTAAGCGGTACCCGTGGCTCTTTTTCTTATGTTAATTGAGAGCTGATTTGATGAGATAACTACCTGCCGGTGACCTTGCAGGGTGGTCTGATCCCTCCATGCCAAACTATTACACAGGGGGGTTAAATGTTGAATTCCATAGTGTCCAGTTATCATTCCGGAAAGGATAATCAGTATTAGTCCTAAAGGAAAAGTGGGAGACCCTAATGTCGTCAACCCCCTCGAAATAAAGAATTGCTTCATTTTAAATCAGTTTAAGCGAGGTTACATGGTCACAGCCGTCCCAATTCAAGCCCCCCCCCCCTCACTCAATATTCTTCTGTAATTGCGTCTGGGTAAATAAAACATCATTTTCAAACTCGAATTATTACCTCATCGATAGCTGTTGTTCGGATGATTTCCAGGGCTAGTTCTGCCGATGTCACTACTTGGGAATTAATTAGATGCAGTTTATCACCCACATGTAGCTTACCATACAACTGGCTGTTCAGGTCTTTCTTCCAGCCAGCAACCCTGAAAAACAAAGAATCATGATTAGGTTAGCTTAGGCTAATAGTTTTGCTTTATTGCTCTGTAATAATGAGGGAAAAGAATACAGATCTAATTATCCTTATCGTTTGGTGTGAAAATAATTATTATAGTATAAGATTTACAGCTTAAACTTAAAGCTAAACGGATACCTAACCGAATTGAGGACAACTTTGAATTCTTGTCCTTATTGCCCTTACATAATCCAGATTTCCTTTTCTTTAAGGCTACTGTAGTTGAAACGGTAAATGGAATGAGTATGTTCTCATAGCCTCAAATGTTATAGCTATATTCTATGATTATAGAAGTTTAGTATATCTTCTTTTGTTATTCTCTAACATGGCTTACATGATTTTTATTATATCACATGGTCTGACAAAACATCACACAATTAAAGGAATGTGTCATAAAACGTCTATACTTCTGTCTAAAATATTTAACACCGAAATGCGTGATAAAATAATTGCTTTATTCAGTTTATTCTTTGTCCAATTTCAATCTGACAATTTTCTAATAATTCGTTTCGTTTTCTATTGCCACGATTAATGTACTTTTTTTTCATGGCTTCGGAGCCAATGATCCTTGAATTCCATAAAGAACCGAAGTCTGGAAGAAATTCTGCTATTGTACCAATGCATCAATCATGTCAATTCAAACACTTTGTCATGCTACGAATAAAAATCACCTACTTCCTTGTCCGCAATCTGCATTCATGTTCGTTTCAAAAACCTCGCAATACAGTTATACAATTTAGGAACGTTTTTATATAACGCTACGGGAAGGTGACAGAGTAAGAACCAAAATCCTAACAAAATTAAATTTTAACGGCAAGTACGCCGTGTGTGAGAAACAGAAGAAGAACTGAGGGTCCGATGGAAGAGTTCCTATCCAATAATAATGAAATGTTAAGGATAACAGGAGACTTACAAAATGAGGACACCATTAAAAGCTTAATCAAACAGTTAGCTTATTTCAACCTTAGGATTTTTTTTTCTGATTCAAACAAAAGGTTTCAATATGAAAAACATACCATACTTCATTATTGATGGTGATTAGGATTAGTGAATCCAGTAACTCAGCTTTAGAGAATTCAACCACGATGCCATCCGCTACCTTTGTCTGCTCCCACATCAAACGGCTGTAAAAGGCGAGTGGTGAAGTTAGATTTGTTTAATCACTATCACAGCACGCTGAAATATTAGACCTGTTAAATTAACTTATGAAAATTCCTCGGAAAACAATTATCATATAAATTAGGCAATTCGAATATAAATCTACATAATGTAGCGTGGCCATATTCATATAGATATATGTCAACAATTATATAAAGAAAATCTGCTGTAGCTGTACAACAACGCCTACAATTATTATGAGATATATCTCAAACATACGTCATCTGATCGACATTTGTTTTGATATTAATTATTTTCTTGACAGCTTACGAAATATTAAACTTTATAAAGAAGGAACATTAATTGATAATGAAATTGTTACTGGAATGGTATATTGATAAAGCAATTTATTTCGGCTGTTTTAAAATATGTTTTCCAGGGGAAAAAATATACAACGTGTACAACCATGTGCATCATAAGTACACAGGCAATACGAGAAGAACATAATCATGAAATAATAATACTAAATACTACTAATGATAATGAAATAATAATCCCAAATATACTTAACTAGCAATTTGGGAAGTTGAGTAAAATAAAGGTGAAAACACTATGTTCAGGCATAATGTAACCGGATTTTTATATCAAAAGAATTATGGTAATACGGGCTTGAAATAATGTGAAGAATCCTATTAAGCGGGGAGGTAGTGGAGTAGCGCTTTTAGAGATTGTTTAAATATAAATTTGAATGCAAGAACGCCTAAGCCCCCAAAGCATCCCCTTCCTTTTTTTTCGAGAACCATTTCTGAGCTGGTGTTGGGTAGACCTGAGTATACATTAAAAATGATATACTACAAATTAAGACAAAGACAAAAGGAATGGAAGAGAGGGGCAGATATTCGAAGAGAGGGAAATAAATACATAGATATAGATGTAAATCTATGTTTACACAGTGTATTTATACTGACCCGATGTCTTCTTTTACTTTACACTTTTCGTAGACAGGTTCAGAATTGACGTTTGAGTAATTGAATGAAGGGTGTTTGTCTGGTACTAGTGGGGGAGGAGGGGCTGGCCACTCGGAGGTTATTCCCCTGTCTAGGTTGGGAGAATGGCCCTGCTTATGACGATCACGAAAAACGTCCGGTACCTGTAGATCTAAAACGTGGAGTTAGAAATTAGATTTTACCACATTAATACTGCGTGCTGTAAATTTATTGTTAACATTTGTTTCATGGGTAGTAAAATCATAATATGCCACCCTACTAAAAGAAGACTAATACATAAATACATAAAATAAATAAATAAATATGTAAATTCATATCTCGGTACACAATCGAGAAACCAAATCAAGTAGTTGCACTTTTGTCTGAGTAAAACATTAATCAAAAAGCGTGATTGGGGCAAGTCCACAGTATTTAAAATATATATATATATATATGTATTATCAACATCCTCTAAGAAGAGAAAGAGAGACAAGGTGTGTGTGTGTATGTGTGTGTGAGAGAGAGAGGGAGAGAGAAAGAAAGAGATAGAGAGAGAGAAAGAGAGAGAGAGAGAGAGAGATAGGGAAAAGAGAGAGAGAGGCAAAGAGTTAGAAAACTAAGCCATGTTAAATTTCCTACTTGGTTCTGAACCGCGACGACCTCTTCTTTTTTGTGGGAAGCTTGGAGGAAAATTGTCATCGTCATCGACAATGAAGCTTGTTCGAATTACAGCATCATAGACCTTAGAACTCGCCTCGGTATAGTCATACTTCTTCTTAGATCCATCAGACGAGTCTAGGAGAGCGAAGACAAAAACATTTTGTAATGTTATACCCGTCCTTTTTGTCATTAAATTGTATTAATGCTTCTTTTATCAGCAAGTGTAATTTGTAAAGGTTGAATTCAATATCAACTGCAATTTTTTTTGTCAATCATTTACAAAGTTGGACACGACACCAACAAAATTACAATTTGTTTTGCAAATGTTTCTTTGAGTCAGAAGATATTAAAGGGATAGTTGAGTTTTGTTGCAGAGGGCACCCTACACAAAATTATTTATTTGTGAGATGATATAAAACTGGGTGTCAAATTTGAAAGAATATACAATTAAAATGACAAAATCATCTTTGTTTGATCGAAATCGGTTCAGAGACGGCTGACATATCCATAAATATAACCAACTTTTTTAAATATTTGGTAATTTTGAATCAGCCGTTGAAAAACGAAATACGTTATATACCACCATATACGTTTTATTCCAGCCAATGACAATATTGGCTTTTTGATGGCTTTTACGTGTTGGTTATAACACGCAAAACCAGCCGGTCCGTGTATTGTAATTATTAATTAATTTATTAATCACACATTTTGGGGTCTAAAATTACCTTCATAGCTTTTGTAGGTTCTAGAAGGGCACTAGAAATGTCTCAAATAAAGAATAAGAGCAATAACCATGCACTTTGAAGGCATTTGCGGTCTTAAACAAGAACTCAACTATTCCTTTAAAAGTCGAATTTACTGAACATCCACAATATTCACATTTTTCAGATAATCTTCAGTCATTTTTGTGGCAATTATTAATCGGAATACGATTGATATAAATAGTATGATTTTTCATTTGTGTGTAATAACTGTTCATTGGATGCTATAGTTTCTGACGTTCATATTTTATTTGTTCGTGCATTAGCAGTATTTTACTATTGTCATGTCATTATTCGGAAATTTAGTTAAATTTTGTTTATTCAGTGTAAAATTCGAGATTTGTAAAAGAGAATCTACATGTTATACTTAATGAGTAGAACCTACTGCTTCTTTCAACACTCTTGTAGATAACCGAATTTGTGAGTGTTCGTCGAGCTTTCTGCGCCGATGATAACGGCGTGATGTGATCCTCATCATCGTCCTCCCCGTGGTCCTCCGTTTCATCCATCTCGAACCGGATGTTATTCGGCATGAACGATGGTGATGGAGGACAGCTGCTCATGATGTCACTATTCCAACTACCAGACGAACCTTGCGACCATCGCACGGAGGATGCATCCGAACTTCGACCACTGTCCCTACTCGCCGTGCTATCGTGGTTCTGAAATTGAATAGTTATTACAAAGGTTTTTTCAGTTAATGAGGTTTGGAACGTTTGCTCCCCTGGTATTAGCTACGATATTTGTTGAACAATATTATTTGGGAAACCCGGTCACAATTTATCAACGTTAGCCCGGCGGAATTCAATCAATCAAAGACAAATCGCCCTCAATTTCGAAATGTACCCACAGGAAAAGGTAATTGTTATCAGGAAGCCCTTAAAATATATTCCACCATCTACACAGATGTATTGTATGTGTACTTGTAGGGTGAAATTATCGAACTGCCCTATCGACAGTGAGGTTTTAGCTAAGGTAATATATAATGCTACCTGATTAATTATCTATTTATTATTTATTCGGTAATTCACAAAAAATATAACAATGTAAATATGAGTAAACAAACATTAAAGGTACTATGTCCCTTTTGCAGCCAACCTCAAATGCTGTAGAACTTTGCAGGAATTATGAATATGTCATGTATGTCCTATCTGTGAAACTTAAACGTTAGCAGTGTCGTAAAATTCAAATTATGCAAGGAAACCTGTTTACTTGCTAGACTTCACTGCCAGACACTATTCAGTGACTGACTGGCTTTTCTTCTTCTTTGGTAATAACATACATAACATGAGCTGTAAAGAGTACATGAGCATTTGTCTACATCAATATCCCACTTCTTGTGATGGCCGAAATTAAACTGATTGAATCTTTGCGCAGCATAAAACGTATGACCATTCGGTACAATGATCTGAAAATCAAGACTATTACTTATTGGCTCTGTAGCTCCTAAGTCGATTTGACAACTGATAGTCGTTATTTTCCCACTTGAAGACATTTTCAAGCCCCATCTTTTTAGGGAAGTTCTAAATGAGTATTATCTTTCAAATGCCGTTGCAATTTAACCTTTTCATTTTTTGGCCTGCAAATGGGACATAGTACCTTTAAGAGAATGTCAATTATAAAAGGACAATTTTTCTGGAAATGTCATTATTATTATAATTATCATTTTCATTATTATAATTATTATCATTACAGACAAAGTTATCATTATTATTAATATCATTGCTTATTATTATTATTACCATCATTATCATTATCATAAAGGAAACAATGCAGTTGACTCACAGGATTTTTAGCACGAAGGACCACGTCTTCCGAAGGATTTCTGTCTGTATTCCTCGTCTCCATATCTTTAGAAACACGAGAAAAAGCTTCATACCAAGGCTTGATGTCTTCCCTATCGAGAAATAAAAAAATCAAACAAAAAATCAAGAATAACCGTCATGCGAGTTCATTCCTATATCCCTCCACCACCACCAACCCTCCACCACCACCACCACCACCTCTCCTCCACCATACCGACCCTTCACCACATCCACCAATCCTCCACCACCACCACCACCGCCACTACCACCACTACTGCCACTACCACCACTACATCCAGCTAAAATTCAACAAGGGGGGGGGGGTTATCTTGTTTTAAAGGTTTTTCAAAGAGAACGGATAACATACCTAATATTATACAAAAAGAATATTATAAAAATCACAAGAAAAGCGAGAGGAACCTGAGAGTAATATTTAGGTGAAGGGATATTTGTTTCTACAGAAGACCCCGTCATACAATCCTCAAAATGAATCCCCCGACAAAAAAAAAAGAAATCAAAATTGTTTGATAGTCAGGATTTTTCTGTATACATTTCTGATTGAATAATGATCAATTTCATAACGTTGAGCAGTGTTTCATAAAATCATTAGAAGGCGTCTAGGTGGAAATCTACATTGCCATTCCAAATATTTTACTTAAAGGTACTATGTCCCATTTGCAGGCCCCAAAAATGAAAAAGTTAAATTCCAACTGCATTTGAAAGATAATGCTAATTTAGAACTTCCCTAAAAAAGGTGGGGCTTGAAAATGTCTTCAAGTGGGAAAATAATGACTATTAGTTGTCAAATCGACTTTAGGGCTATAGAGCCCAAAAGTAATAGTCTTGATTTTCAGACAATTGTACCGAATAGTCATACGTTTTAATGCTGCGCAAAGATTCAATCAGTTTAATCTTGGCCATCACAAGAAGTGGGTTATTGATGTAGACAAATGCTCATGTATCCTTTACAACTCTTTTCATGTATGTTATTACCAAAGAAGGAAAAAAGCCAGTCAGTCACTCAATAGTGTCTGACAGTGAAGTCTAGCAAGTAAACGGGTTTCCTTGCATAATTTGAATATGATGACACTGCTAACGTTTAAATTTCACAGATAGGACGTACATGACATATTCATAATTCCTGCAAAGTTCTACAGAATTTGAGGTTGGCTGCAAAAGGGACATAGTACCTTAAAGCTGAAAAAAATTGCTAAATGTCACACTTACTCTTTCAGTGTTTTGAAGTAATAGGGGATCTTGGCGTGTATGAGAATGATCACGTGATTTGTCTTTCGACCTATCTTCATGTCCATACAATGAACGTTGACCTTTGATGTCAGCATGTGAGATGGGATCTTACTAGAAGTGATTGATTTCCTTCTTCCTCCAAAGACATTGATGGAGCTCTTCCTCCTTCCTTTGACCTTCGATTCATTCTCGAAACCTTCTAGATTGTAAATATGTTTTCCACGCTTCCAGAGAATGAAGTAGACCTTATTCCGTTTCTATTTTGATAGTTATAAGTAAAAGAAAGAGACAATATGTCATATTGCATGAGCTTTGTCCAGGCGAATCCGACATGGATGTGTTGTAGAGATCGGGAGTGGGGCAAATTTGAAGGCAGGTTATAGGCTATAAAATATAAGCACAATATTTCTTTACATAATATTTCATGTATTATGGTGATGGCTACAGAATTTACCTCTGTCGCTGTATTAACAGAAAGAGAGAGAGAGAGAGAGAGAGAGAGAATGAGCAATAACCTGGCATGATTACAAAAATCCTTTGATTACCCATTTACCATCGTCCAGCATGCTGATGTACTCCCCCAAAAAGAAGATAAAGAGACCTAACTGACTGGTTTTTAAATCCAGTTAGAAGGATAATGTTTATTTAAAGGAGCTTTTGATATTAAATATTCTTGTGATATCGGTTAGACCCCGAAACCTCAAAACATTCAAAATATAACCACCAGCTCCTTCACACTCATCAGTTGACCTTATGCAATATTACAATGCAGGCATTTTTAAATAACAAAAAAATTAAAATAAAAAAACAGACAAAATATTAAAGTACAATTCAAATAAAAAATTAGAGACAAAGTCATTTATGCCATAAAGGAGGTTAAATAGGCAGCGACCATCCAAATATAAAAATCTAATACAAAGCTGTGATGGGAAAGGATGCCTCAGAAGCTCATAAAAATCCACTGAAAGACGCCTCCTGGATGGTGGCAGAAAAAGCAAGACATGTTATCTCCGTACACAAAAGGTGCGCGTCAGGAAAAACATCACCATCCAGAAAAGGTGTGCTTGTGACTTTGTCTGTTAAAATTAGACCAAAAAAAAACCCCAAAGGAATTCAGCATATACTGAACAATTCATATTACATGTATATATAGAAACACACATGAGAAAATTTGTTTATCCAGAATATATCACACAAACAATTTAAAATCCAAAAGGACACATTTCTTTTTTAAAGAGTCAAGTCTATCGCGACCGGTAGTAATTTGATTTTTCAATAGCATGCACAACTTAATTTTAATTTACTAATAAAGTGATAGATATCGGGCAATGTCTTATTACATCGGCAGCAAAAGAGATAATATTTGGCATGAGAAACTGCAAAATTAGCGAGATCTATGATGCCAAGATATTCATCTCTATTGGTAATAATGAAACTATTGTGCATTTCCTTGTGTAGTATGTTTTTCTGCACTTCTGACCGAAAGGAATCAACAATTCTGCAATTCTCCCAAAAGATGTTAAAATGTCTCTTCATCATGTTTTACACCACGAACAAAGTTTTGAATCAATAGATTTTTTTTAAAAATTCATTCAAAGGGAGGTATCGATGAATGAATTGAACTTGGAAATATCTTAATTAAGTGGACAAGGTTGCCTTGAAAGTAAGACGGTAAGTAATAATCCAATTCAGGTTTGCCTCATTCATGTGCATGGCCCATTTCGTTTCTGAATTTGGAGTCTTACAAATTTGATTGACACAAAAGTGCTTTGCGAATTTGTTGTTTCCAAATAGAGGGAATTTTATGAATCAAAGAAAAATAATTCATAACATCACATGTTATCCCAGGGTAATTTAGACAAAACTCATTAAAAGTGGGTAAGTTACCAATCTCATGAAGTAAATCCTTATGATATTGAATACCATTGTTATACCAAATGTGTGCTTGTACTGAGTATTGTTGCTTATTTTAATGGAGGGGTTATTCCAAAAAAATCGGGCCATGAGAAATATTGATAGTTGCCTCATAAGCAATTGAACACTGTGAACTGACAACAATCCAAACAAACAAATGATTGATAATACCAATACATTTCTCGGACTGATCCATATTACAATGCCATAGGAGATTGCCATTAATTTTCCAATTGTATTAGCAACAGAGTACTAAGTCAAATAGTCACAGGATGATACTAAAATGGCTATAAAGTATTGTATTGTATTGTATTGGTTTATTGAGATAAAAATCATCGGACATACAGCTAAAAGCTGAAATTGTTCAATTTACAGAGTAAAAAGTACATGGCATAACATTGCATTGATAACATTTAACAAATATTGTGTAAATTTAAATACGATTTGTACGTATTGTACATCATCCTAGTTCATCAACGTTAACATCACCATCATCATCATCATCGCCGTCGTCTTCGTCGTCGTTCATAGATCATCAATGAATCTTTAAAGTTATGGAAAAATGCGCGATGTTATAAATGTGGGTGGAAAAAAGGATAAACCTAATTTATTTATGAAAGGATGATTTTTTTTCTGTGGGATAGTCGTACAAATACACACCTTTACAATTAATAATGGTCCTAATCTACATCAAAATAACAGAATCCCTGAAAGGGATCAAATTTCAACATCAAAAGGTTCACATTTGTCCCCAGGACGAAACCTTAGTTAAATAGGTGCAGCATTGAACCGCGAGATTCAGGTGGCAATATTAACCTCTACTGTCATGAATAACTTGTCAGAGCTGCACCTGAACAAAGGTTCAATGATGCAGCTACCTTGATGCTTCTATTGTAGCGGTTTAGTGAGCAATTTTGAACCAGTATGGCGTAGAGCCATGAAATGAATAGGACCTAAAATGTCCCTGGTGTCATCAGGCATACTTGAAGCGATTGTCTGGGATGTTGTTTTGAAGGGTTACTTTATATCTTAGATATTATTCATCATACGTATAATTGCCAAATGATGTTATTACATAGGTAGTACAAATATTCAATTATAAACTGTAATATACAGGCCGAGTCACAATACTTAAAAACGGTGAAATGACAAATGTTCTATATATGGTTTTCTTTGAAGCAATCTTGAGTCATATTCAAATATTTTTGATCCATGAATCACACAAACCCTGTGGTTTATCTATTGTTCATGTGGTCAATAAATCAGCTAGTTCGTTATAGACCTACTTCCCTCTGTAGCTCAGTTGTTCTTTACATAACCCAATGGGGAGGTCGAAATGTAAGTATTTGTTTAGATGTCAAATAAAAGGTATGTAATTTTATGAGTATCAATTTAATGAATATAATTCGAATTAGTAATGGCAGATTATTTATTTTTCATTATTTAGACAATAAAAACACCCATGGTGGAATGGTACACTAATACTGTTTTAATATGTCGAGAAAGAAATACATTGAAGTAGAATAAGTGAACTTTTTTTTGATAGATGTTATCAATTGTATTACTTTGTGATGCTTGGACTAATTATATAGATACAATGAAACGTCATCAAATTTATCAAATTACATCAAAAATGAATTTATCATCCATGAATCATACATGGCCTTCATTATTTATATAAACTATACTGTAATAATAGATGAGCCAAATACTTCAATTTTTTGTAACATGAAATGGATTAAAAGGCGGAGTAAAATTCTATTATACATGTATACTATAAATACTTAAAGAAGTGTGTAGTGATAATATTGCAGCATTGCCATTAATCATTGTTCTCTTTCGGTTTTGTATTTACTTCATCTTCAATATTTCTGTTTTCATAGAATAGAAACAGAAAACTTCATGTATCCGCTTTCAGTTTGCGCGTTTGGATTTGGAAAAGAAACACGAAAAAATTATCAACTTTGTCATTTTTTATTTAAACCCTTTCTGTCTGATTACTTTGATTTACAAACAAAATAATAAACATCTTGATATTGTTTTTAAAGTAAAATTTCATCAGCATTAGTGCAAGTGGGCATCCGTTAAAGGTACTATGTCCCTTTTGCAGCCAACCTCAAATGCTGTAGAACTTTGCAGGAATTATGAATATGTCATGTATGTCCTATCTGTGAAATTTAAACGTTAGCAGTGTCCTCATATTCAAATTATGCAAGGAAACCCGTTTACTTGCTAGACTTCACTGTCAGACACTATTGATTGACTGACTGGCTTTTTTGTTCTTTGGTAATAACATACATGAAAAGAGTTGTAAAGGGTACATGAGCATTTGTCTACATCAATAACCCACTTCTTGTGATGGCCAAGATTAAACTGATTGAATCTTTGCGCAGCATAAAACGTATGACCATTCAGTACAATTGTCTGAAAATCAAGACTATTACTTTTGGGCTCTATAGCCCTAAAGTCGATTTGACAACTAATAGTCGTTATTTTCCCACTTTACTTCATCATCAAGAGTATTCAATATATGGCAACTTATAAACTAGATTACAGAGCTATTCCCTATATCACCTTTCACACATTTTTTTTTTTGAAATTGAAAAGGTATTTATTGTGTTAAAACATCTTCTAAGCATTTTGCACTGATAGCAGTAAAATTTACACTTCACATACAATGATTTACGTTTTGCTCCAGTTGTGATCAAAATTATGAGATGTTGCACATTGAAATTAACAATGGAAATGTAAACAATTGTACCAAAAACACCTTCTCAGCCTTTGCACTGCTTGCAGTAGACTTTACACTTCACATACGTGATGTACCGGAACATTCTGATCTTGGCTGCCTTCCAGAATATGACCTTTCAATTGACATGTTATTATATTCAAAATTTCATTTTTTCATCAAGTAAAGTTGAAAAGATAATCAGAGGTGCCTAAATTTGGGTGATTTCGAATTTCTCGGGAGGGGGCTGCAGCCCTCCCCTCCGACACACATACACAGACACACACACACACACACACACACAAATCGCACATACGTACACTAATAGTTTTTTTTTTATTGATTCCAAACAATACAAACTAATTTTTAGAAATAAAGTACATTTTTTTTTCCCTTGACATAATTCAAAATATTTACATTACATACATTGTACAATTGATGAAAACAAAAATAAAATCAGTTGTATCATAAAACAAATAACCCCATCCAACCAAACACACTACTACTACTACTACCCCCTCCCCCTCCCCATCATGCGACCACACTCCACATTATTCCTAGCCCCCTCAGAATACCCCAAATTGGAGCGACAGACAAAACCGAAACAATCTATTTAAAACATTTAAAACAAAATCATTTAAACGAGGCTACAATAATCCAGTGTAAAAAATTCATGAAAACTTTACTTGTTCCCACTTCTGTAAATGTAAGGCCAATTTACCCGCCCTCCCTGCAATATTCTTTTCTTCTTCCCTAAATTCTAACAGTTCTTTTTGAAACTCCCCCAAAGACAATATTACGGACTTTCCCCTGCATCTATATATCCAATATTTCAATGCAAAAATAATTGTATTAAACATTTTTATTCGTGGGGAGTTACCGCTTCTCAAAATAGCTTCCCCAATATTCCATACATCAACAATTTTGTTTCCTTTTAACCCCAAATTTTGAAAATGAGATATTGCCCGCATGCCAATTTGAGCAAAAATATCTTGAATAAAAATTATATTGCGTGTAAAAAACTCCTCATCAAAAATCATTTTCTTTTTCAATAAGAAATCTTAATTGTTAAAAATAATTTGATTATTCTTTTCTTCAAAATTCCTACAACCTTCTAACTCTTCCCATGCTTTGATCATTTCTAAATAGAACTTAGGTACTTTGAAACTGAATAACTTGGAATCATACATACATACACACACGCACACGCACACACACACACACACACACACACGCGCGCGCGCACGCACAGACACACACGCACATACACATGAGTTCAATATTAACATGTGTTTAATATTAACATGAGTTCAATATTAACTTCATGTTTCTCTTTTTTGTCTTATATCAAATTATTCAATTGATATCAAGAATTTTTGTCAGTAATTCATTAATTCAAATATCAATTTACTGGTGCCAGTCACTCTTTTTTTCATTTGCTTCCATTAATTTCGTCATGAATAATCGTTGTAATTATTACTATCGTTTTGTTTTTAATTATTATAATTATTATTATCAATATTGTTATTATTATTATTATCGTTATCATCATTATTTTTCTCATTATTTTCGATAGTCTTATTTTGTATTGATTAACATTAATTCGATTTGTATTGTATATTTTACAGTGTTGAATTGACAAATTCAAACTGATTGTAAACTTCTACAATACCCCAATGTGGGTGACATGGGAATAAATTGTCAATGTCATTGTCATGCGCACGCAACTTTCCATAAGACCTTATATACGGTTCAAGTGGTCCTTGGACAAACTAATCAGAATAGTAGTGATTGTTTTGGAGAAAGTATCATATTGGAATAATCGTCCGGATAGAAGTTTTCCTGAAATTTGTCCGCTTGTAATTCTCCGATTTCATACATGCTGGGACCCCCTTTCTTACCTTGAAATCAACAGTGGATCCCCCATCGACATTCTTCTGCTCTCCTGTGATGAGATATCCCTCATGGATTTTATCTTGAGTATCGTCCTCCATTGTCTCACGTTACACTCCTGCAAGAAAATTATGGGTTTCACTTTAATAGCCATAGCAAATATTTACTTGAGATTAGTTGTTAGAGTGTCACTGTAATTTGTTCACGTGATGAAGATAATATATTATGCTTATATAGCGCATATAATACGATAGTAATAATAATAATGATTATGATGATAATGATAACAAAAAAAATATATTAATTATAACAATTATTAAATAATAAAATTAATAATAAAAATCCTGATTAAAATAAAAATAAAAATAATAATGTTACCCAGGAAAGCCTCATCAGCATCAATGCTATTCATCCTAACGGCCCTGCAATTGATATGACATCAACAATTGCCAGGTTCTCATTTGCACCTGGCTTTATGGATTGTCAAAAGACTTTAGTGCCGGCTGGGACTCGAACCATTAAGCCAAGTAAATGACTAACTATACTATGAGAAAGAGAGAGAAAGAGAAAGAGAGAGAGAGAGAGAATTTCATAACAAAGGACGGTTGAAAGGGTATTTCCCCTCCATTCCCTCCGTATGGTATTTCATGTAACCCGTGTCATTTCTATACACATAAATCACATTACGCACTGTATTGTGAAATTATTTCTGTTGTGTCGAATAAAATCCAGCAACTTCCGTTTCGGAATTATAAACTTGTAAATAAGCTACAATAACTCGTAAAATATTACTATATCACACTGTTTATCGTCGATATGTACCATTATGCTCATCTGGTTTTCGTTGAAATAATCTTGAGTCATATTCAAATATTTTTTTCATCCAGGAATCACACAATTTCTGTTGTTTAATTATTGTTCATGTGGTCAATAAATCAGCTAGTTCGTCATATACCTACTTTCCTCTGTAGTTCAGGTGTACTTGACATAACCTAATGGGGAGGTCGAAATTTGTGTATTTGTTTTGATATCAAATAAAGGGAATGCACTTTTTGAGTACCATTTTCAATTAGTAATGGCAGCCAATTTGTTTCGTTATTTAGACAATAAAAACACTCATGATGGCATGGTATCCTAATACTTCTTTGATATGACGAAAATAAATAAATGATATTTTGAGACAAAAGAACATAATTTTTTCATATAATTTGAGAGTCTGGTTTGCTGGTCATAACGAATTTCAACATACCTTAATATATGTCATTACTAGCGCCCCTCCCATTCCCCCAAAACCAGGAGGGGGTGCGGGAGGTAGTCCAATTGTTATTTTTTCTCTTCTTTTTTCCCTTCTCCCTTTTACTTTTCTCCTTTCTCGCTGTTTATTATTTTGTCACCTCTCGAAGGAGGAGGATGAGTGTGCCCTCCAGCGCTTTATGAAAATTGTTATACTCTTACTTGATTTTATTTTAATTTTTTTTACCAGTCACACATTTTCAAGGCTCTACCAAATTAATTAAGAAAGCTTCCTGACGTCCCCTCTGATTGTCATTATTAATATTGTCGTTACTTAATATAAAATCAACATAAATATGTCAATTTCCCTTTCAACGGAAACAGATTCTACTATGTCTTTCAATTATTGACACTTTTAATCAGTAAGATTAAGTTAGGTTGGTAAAGTTAGGTGCAGTCAGTTTGGACTCTAGTATACCTTCTCTTCTGGTTAAATCTACTTGAACAAAACAAATATAGCTAGGTGCAGTAACTACCCTAGTCGGATTTAGCGTCTAAAATGGGTAAATCTGCATGCAATTGAAAAGTTTTCAAAAGCCGGGATAACTATCCCTAATCTTACAGCTCAGAGGCGGCTCAGACGACTATCCCCAGATAATTTCCGATGCGAGCATGCGCATGTCTGAGCAATAAAAAAAAAAAAAGGGGGGGGGTAGCAGGTCCAACCGATTATCTTATCTGGGACAATATAATCCGGACAACCTAATATCGCTTGGATGATGATTGATCAGGGTATAATACGCTCCCCTAATATATCCGGTAGATGGTAAACAATAATAATTGCTGTCATCATGGTTGTGATTAGCAACAATACATCTAGTGACCCTAGTATAATTAAATCCCTCAATGCGCTTTATTCAGACAAATATTTGAGCTTCACAAGGACAAAACTGTGTGTATATTTTGGTAAATCATTTTTTTGAAACATTTATCTAATCGTAATTTTATTTATCTTCTGCTCTAATTTCATGTAGTAATCTCACGAATCATGTGGATGTTATTTTTGTTGTCACTGGACGCAAATGTTCTGTTTACCAGCTATTACTTCCTTTATTATTTATGTAATAATAGAGTGTGCAGATTATCGTTTATATTTATTACCTTTATTTTCTTCTTTATGATCATTCTCATCATAATTTTCGTCTCCATTATCATCTCCATCATCTCCATCATCATAATCATCATCATCATCATCATCAATATCGCACCATCATCATCCTTATCAGCTTCACCATCATCAATGTCAAAAATATTATCATCATCATAACCAACATTAATCATCATCATCATCATTATCTTCATCAACAACAAAATCATCATAATCATCTTCACCCTACCATCATCATCACTATCATCATCAATATGATTTGATTTATTTACCAACAGCAATAAATACATTCCATACAATGATTTTACATATACAAGAAGAGAAACTATTGGTTGGTAAAAGGGCCAGATAATAGCACATGTGCTAGTCGAGCCTAACCCCTAAAACAGCTAAACGAAGTATATTGGTACAAATCAGTTGAGAAAACGTAACAAAAAAAAAATAATGAATTTACTCTATTACAATCGATACTTTAAAAAGCAAGAATACTCAACAATGTCTTGCAATATACAAACTAATAATGTAAATATATCATTGAGCAAGTCAGTAATTACATATACTTAGGACAAAATATCACATATGATGCCAGATGCGAAGCAGAAATAAAAAGAAGAATAGAACTTGCTCGGAATACATTTCTGGCAATGAAAGGATTATTCACAAATAGAAAGGTAAAATTTGCGCTTAGGTTGAGACTAGTAAACTGTTATGTATGGTCTGTCCTATTGTATGGAGCAGAAACATGGACAATAAGCAAGACCGTGGAAAACAGAATAACATCTTTTGAAATGTGGATTTAAAGAATAATGATGAAAATATCCTGGATTCGAATGAAAACCAACAAAGAGATATTGCACATGACAGGGCGTAAACAAATTGCACTAGTAGGATTAGTTAAGGAGAGAAAAATCAAATACTTTGGTCACGTTAAAAGGCACCAAAGCCTCTTAAAGGGTGGATTGGAAGGAAGAGTGGAAGGAAGTAGACCCAGAGGGAGACCTAGAATCAACTGGGAAGAGACTGTCGAGAACTGGAGTGGACTTAAAGATAAACTTGAGTTCTGGTAAAAAAAAGAAAATGAATTCTCACAGAATCTAACGAAACTTACACTTACACAAATAAATGTCATGTGCCAAACAATTTTGGAAGAAAATGTATACTGGCTGAGTAATGAGCATAGAAAGATAAGGAAATCAGGGTAGTACTAGCCCCGACACCATGTGTGTTGTCCCATATACATCTTTCTATGTAAGGGATGTCCAAATATTGATTCCAAAATGTACTGCCCACAAAAGACAATGAAAATTGACCTTGTGTCGTTCTCAATTTTGGAAGACGTAATTGTCTAACATCATGATCATCATCATTAGGACCACCACTATCATGTTCACCACATCATCATCATCATCATCATCATTGTGAGCATCATCAACATCATCATAATTATCACCAACACCTGCATAATGATGATCATCATCATGAGGACCACCTACATCATCATTTGTGTCATGATGATTACACACTGTGGTGGACACTAATCATTTTTTTTGCTGCGGGGAAGATGGTGAATAGATTATCTTTCACTAATTACACTTAAATTTTTGTTCTACTTTTTTTCTTCTGTGCATCCATAATTATCAGTTTTATCAACCAGCTCTGATCACCAGGAGTGCTTACTATTTTACATTATTGTATTTGTATAAGTCAACCCCTTAAGCATGCTGAACCAAAAATATAACTTGCTATGCCATTCATGTTCTCTTTCTCTCACTCTCTCTCTCTCTCTCTCTCTCTCTGTATGCGACTTACGATGTGTTTATAACTTTCATTTCCTTTTAATATAATTAATTCTTATCACAGCGCCTGCAAGTGAGATTAATCTCTAGAAGATTAAGTAAAATTATTCCGTTGAATTAATTTGTAAGCTTACCCCTATTTTAGCGACAGAGATGCCCTGAAAAACCTTCAAATCGGCAACACCTAAAGCTGTAGAAATCTGAACTCAGCATTGACCCTCGTGAGAGTTAAGTGCTGTTGACAAAATACCTCCAATAAATTGATTAGTTGGTAGTTCGAGCGATGCGTGTCTTGAGGTTGTTACTCCATATCTGATTGTGAACGAAATGAGAGAATTTTCCCCTCGAATGAGGTTTAAGGAAGCCTCCCAGGGGACCGTTAAAATTATTATGCGAAAATAACATATTTTTATTTGTACTCGTTCTTGTTCACTGCCCTCGTTCAATAACTCATGTTTGTTCACACAGCGTAGGTGGGCGGTTGTGATGTGTTCAAGGGTAGAAACCTAGCTCTACAGTTTCCTGATCTGTAATGTTGCCCATACATTTGGTATACGTTTTTATTACCTCTATCTAAGAAATGATTGCGAGAATATAATTTATACTTGAAAGTGAAACTATAGTTTATTTCTTCTCTGAATGTTACTGATCACTCACTGTGACTCTTTACATTGATGTGATATATACATACTATACACTTCATCTATCATGAATAAACAACGTTCTCACAATCACTTCATTAAAATAGATAAGAAAAATTATTCCAAGTTTATGGGCAACAGTATAATGTTTCATAAAACTTACAAGCTACTGTTATAAGCTACTGAAATCATGAAATCTGATTGGCTGAGAGCAAATTTGTCATAGAAATCTAGCATTTGACATTGATAACAAGTTTATGAAACAGGGCCCAGAAATGAGGCCTGCTTTTTTTTTAAAGAATGGTATATTACCTACTAACATTTTAGGTCGACATGTATCCTGCGGATCACCTATTCGACACTTGGCAACAACTACCTTCGGAAAACTAAAGTCAGACAAAAAGAGATAGCTGACAAAAACATGCACTTAGGATGGTCTATGTCAAGTTCAAAATGTTAAATTGACATCTACATCTCTATTTTTTTAAGGGAGGTCCCTTTTCCCTTTTCAAAATCAAATTTGCTGCATATAGCTGATACCGACTGCCTGATCTTTTTTTGCAATCTAGTGTTAGATGCGGGTGTTCTTTTATTGAATAAGATGTGAACATCAGGTTTGAAATGAAGACAATGATCAGTGCTTTGCCAGTCAAAACTAAGAGAATTGTAAAATAAGACGAAAGGCAAACAGACATTGACCTGTTTTCGTTATTTCCTTTGATCATACTAGGCACATATTATGTTTGGTTCAACACTCCTTTCGCCTCGTTTCGCAGAGTATATAAGAGGCATAACAATATGTACAAATAAAAGTCAATAAATGATACATAGTATTTGCAATTGAAGATTGAGCCGTAGGATAAGTAATACGAAAATGATGGTTTTGGTTTAGAACAGTCAAATTGTATACAGCCTCAGATAGAATGAATGTCAATGAAACAGGGAATGTTTTGGTTAGATTTAAAACATCCATTTACTACAACTTGATACAACTATAATTAGATAAAAGCAGGATTTATTAAAACTAATGGAGCGTAATTCATTGTTTACAGGAGCGGTCTTTTTGTCACCGTATATTAATAATATTATCGTCTACCTCTGAGATGTCACAATTTCTCTCGAGATCAGGTTGTCTTCCTAAGTCTCAAAGGAGATATATTCAAAAGAAATGAGACATACAAGATTATATCCATATATCAAACTATTATTTAATGTGAACCAGCACTTTGAATACAAACGATTACATTGGCAATTTTTGCAATCACTTAAGATATTTCTACAAATAAATCCAACATTGAAATCAACGAATTCAACAAAAGTCATGTACCCGCCGTAACGGCTGAAACAAATGCCCGCCAGATAGATTTGCATTTCTATAACTGCACATTGACCTCAAGTGTAAGATCTGACTTTTGACCTGTCTTTACAGACTACATCTACAAAACACATTCAGTCCTCATAACTTCTAAATATGTCACAATGACAGATTATAGTTAATCAGCATTTATTATTCTTAATCCTATAATTACTAAAGAAAATGAAAATTTGACTAAAATTCGTTCCTTCTATGCCTCTTCTCGGTGATCAGGAAGTAGCCAGGGTTTTAAATAATTTTGGTTTTACATGATGCTTTTTGATGCTATATGCAATGAATACTTTTTTTCAAAAATTTCATTTCCATAAAAAACACAGCAAATGCAAATAAATATACAAGTATATATACATACAAGGAATGGTCAGTTATTACAATAGTTTAAAATGAAATTGGAGAACAAAGGAAAAGCCCATGGTGGCTTTGTATAAAAAGTTCCCCGAATATTATAATTCATATTATTTATATCATTATGTATTATTTATATTATTGAGCATATATGAGCATATACTGTATGCAAAATAAATAAAAATCATAATTACCACTATAAATAAGATTAGAATGCTTCGCAAAGAATTACTCAATATCAGATCAAATAACATGACTCAATGAATTGTATTTGTGAAATGATATGTCTAGATACTATTTATACTATGCTACTTTTTCTAAGTTTTCCATTCTGTGGATTTTCAGGGATGTTAGCACCAGAAGAATTAGAGTTCGTATTTTTTCTGTAAAGACATGCAATCAGTTAATCTGATTATACAGGATGTACTAGTGTGTATAATTTAGACTTATGCAGCTTGAAGATATGTAATAAAACATACATACACCAATCATTAAGTTAATATTTGTCTCTACATTACAACAATACAATGCTTCAATATATAGATTATGTGTACACATTCATAACAATGAGAACATTTCAATTACAGGGACATGAAACGATATGAAGATTTATGGTATTTGCTACTCTGGTATGTTTGGAATCGATGTGAAAGGAGAAGTCTACCCCGCTATCAATTTTTGGTCAGTGAAAGTTTGCTTTTCTGATTTTTTTAAAATGTATGTAGAGCAAATGGGAGGGTACCTCGCAAGATACGTCACAGAGTTGCCAATTTGTGTTTGATTGATCACAACTAAAGACAATAATTTCTCATTTTTAATCAGAATTTGCTTAAAAGGTCCCTGTCCCTCTTATTTGTCTGTTCTATTTAAAACCAAACTAATATCAGGGTGGACTTCCATTTTAAAGGTAATTCAAAGTTTTGGTATGGGGTCATGAATTTGGTTCAAATGAACATATTTTTTTTTTTTTTTTTTTTTTTTTTTTTTTTTACTATTCAATTCAATCCCGGGCATTCTTTAATTGTCTAAACATAATACATGCTCTTAATATAAAAGACATCAAGATTTCTATGGGTCAAGAGACCTAACTATTCTATTGAATCCCGGGTATTCTTTCATCGTCTAAGACACACCCTAAATATAAAAGATCTTTACAGACCAAAACAATTATTGGACCTTTGTATGAAGTAACCAAATCTATGAATTTACATGTATGTCACTATTCATGCTAGTACTTCGACCATCACAATGAAACCTTTCTTTTCTTTCTTTTATTTTCCTTCATTTAAATGGAAAAACCCTTGGCAATAAATCTTCAAACCTGACTACTCAAGATTCCCGGGCATTCTTTAATTGTCTATACATGCTCTTAATATAAAAGATCTCAAGATTCCTATGGGTCAAAATACCAACCAATACTAATCAATCCCAGGCATTCTTTAATCGTATAAACATAAAACTCTCTCTTAATACAGAAGACCTTCCTTAAACCAAAACAATCATTAGACATCTTGGATGACGTAACCAATTCTATAAATGGATGACAGTGTGCATAATGGTATTAACCAAAACATCCATTAGAAACCTTGTATGGCTTAACCTTTTCATCAAAATGATAAATATAAAAGATCATGCTTGTATTCGAACCTCCTATTCTCGCCTCCCCCCCCCCCTCCATCAGAGTAAAATAACCCTTGGCAATATTTTTGTCATATTACCCAATGTTTCAAATAAGTCAGATACCATCGAAATGAACTGCGGTTTACTTCTTGCTTATCCTAAACAAAGCATAACATTGACACATCTCTTGCATTCATTAATAAACCGCTTTTTTCCTACAATATTCAGTGATCGTTGTCGCGGTTAAAATCGGTTGAAATCGGAGTCTAAATTGATGAAATTTTAAATGATAAACTCTTTATGTTGTATAGATCCCTCTCAAGGTCAAGATACTAATTTAGCAATAAATCAATGCTATTCGACTAAAATCGACCGATTTGCTATTACCGTTTGGAATATATATATATCACATCTGCATATTCTGAGATTTTCATGGTCGCAGCTACCAATTGTAGGCGCTATTTGAAATTTAAAAAAATTACCGGGAGCACCGGTAAATTGTTATATTCAATTTTTATCGAAAGTAGAAGTATTTTAGGAGCTAAATTTTGTAGTGCTTAACATACATCCATAGGGACATCCAAATATATCAAATTTGTAAAGAATCACTATCCAGCCAATTTTCAAAATTTACCAAAACTTTGTAATATCTTTAAGAACTGTAAAAGTTCAAAACTCTATAATTAAAGATATGATCATGTTAAAATTTCAACGGAAGAGATACACAAAACTTTGAAACAGAATACATTATATAGCATTATATATACAAAAAGACAATAAGTTCATCCAAATAATTTCTAAATGCCCAATATTACATAAACACTATCACAATAAAAGAATTTGCCTAAAACAGAAGAGATACACAAAACTTTGAAACAGAATACATTATACAAAAAGACAAAAAGTTCATCCAAATAATTTCGAAATGCCCAATATTACATAAACACTATCACAATCAAAAAAATTGCTAAAACGGAAGAGATACACAAAACTTTGAAATAGAATACATTATATAGCATTATATATACAAAAAGACAAAAGTTCATCCAAATAATTTCGAAATGCCCTATATTGAACACTATCACAATCACAGAATTTGCTTAAAACGGAGGAGATACAATAAAACAATACATTATATAGTATTGTATATACAAAAAGACAATAAGTTCATCTAAATCATTTCTAAATGCCCAATATTACATAAACACTTTCACGATCAAAGAATTTGCTTGAAATGTCCCTGTCCCTCTTATTTGTCTGTTCTATTTAAAACTAAACTAATATCAGGGTGGACTTCCATTTTAAGAACTGTAAAAGGTTCAAACTCTATAATTAAAGATATGATCCTGTTAAAACTTCAACGGAAGAGATATCAGAAAACTTTGAAACAGAATACATTATATAGCATTATATTTACAAGACAATTAGTTCATCCAAATAATTTCGAAATGCCCAATATTACATAAACACTATCACAATCGCGTATGACTAAACTCATAACATACCAAATACACTGTTCCCCATGACGGTGGAATGAAGTTTGTTTACTTTTTTCATGCGATTGTGAACAAATGGTTTATTCTTAATATCTTTTCAGATCTTTATTGATCAATCTCAAGAATCATAGAGATTGATCTCTAAAGTTCTCAGACAGAAGGTATACCATTTATCTATCAATACTAAACCATACTATACCAATCATATCATGAAATGATGTAAGATTAAAAAACATGCCCACTTTATGGACGACAGTGTACACTGTATGTAGACTTTTTTACTGTCAACTATATAATGTACTGAGCCTTTCAATGTTTTTAAAACAGAAATATGACGCAACATGGATGTTTTGAACCATCATGCATTGTTTTTCTAACATTACAGTGACAAAACTTCCAAAATGTAGTTACCTTTATCACAAATATGTATTGATGGTATAGGGAAGATGTTGTTTGTGATAACAGTGATTCATCGCGAGATGATAGTTTTATTGGTATAGTACTAGTCGCAATCTGCAACTGGCAAACCACCCGAATGTGCTCTTACTGTAAACATTGTCAAGTAAGAAAGCACATTTCATTAACGTGGGAAACCAACATCACAGTCACCAACATGTGGCACAAGTTGCGACTAAAATATAAACGTTCTGAGATCAAAAGCAGTATTGTCTGTCTGCTAAAGGTAATAACGAAGTTAACTTTCGTATCACCACCAACCCTGCTGATGTCTCTGGTCATCAAACGTTTATATCCACATTATCACATTCTGCGATCTCTTCAAAATGGCAGATGTAACGATAAGTAAGACATAGCTCTGCCTCAAGAAAGCGTGGAACTCTGCTTAGGATGTCGAGCCAGCGATCGACTGTTCACGACTTTCAGTAGAATTTAGAGCCTTTTTTCTTCTCCATGGCATCAGCAAGTTTCTTGATGAAGTCATGAGGTTGTACTACCAGTGGGACTTCTGAATGGTCCGCTTCAAGTTCAGCTTTCACCAACTCCTACACATTTGTCAACAACAACGAGAAAACAAATACCTTTAATAAATAATAGTCCCTAAGTATTATCACGTAAACAAAAAAAAATAATACAGTAAATTTAATACAGTAGTACGAACACATTCGATCAAGGCGGAACAATAGGTGTAGTAAGCATGAAAGGATACAGTAATTCAAATTCAGATAAATCACAGTTGATTGAACTGAACATTTTGATAAAGAGATGTTTCTTTTGTTCTGTATATGCTATCTTTCCAATATATATATAACTTGTTCCTTTTATAAAGATCGTTAGAACGGTTGGACTGGGAAGCCAATCTATACAAATTAAACAATACAAAAAAAGGTGGGGGAAACCCGTATCTAAAGAATGAAGGTCCCACTGTAATGCTATATATATTCCGTTTGGTGCTCATGCAAGTTTAGTTCCTGACAATTTTAATAAACGGTACTATAAAAAAAATTGATGATGGAAATGAATGCTTCTCATGGCAATCAAAAAATAAATTATTTTGATTGATGGGAACGATTAAATTTGATTCCTTTATGATAGTATACAGTTCTGTGAAAACATTATTGAAAATGGCAACTGTAAAGGTGTAGATTGTGAGGGAAATGCTTTTAATGCAAGATACGAACTGATTGAAATTAAACTTTGTAAGCCTCAAAAAAGTGGACTAGATCGATGGTTTATTATAAATGCTTTGTTATTATTTTATGATTTGTTGTAGAGTCAGTCTAATTAGTAAAGGGATGATATATTTTGACTCGATGTCGACATTTTAGACTGAGTATGATTAGGACCCGGTCATTTATATATCATTTACTAGTAAATAAAAACAAATGTGTGAGTTTAAAAGAGATGATGCCTACTAAATGTGTATGCTGCAATGTATGCTTATTATTAAAGTAGGGTGTAAACGAAAACGATGTGGTCATAATTCATATCATTTGTTTATCACTATGGTGTTTGTATAAACTTTTAGGGGAGTTATATTGATGAATATTATGTTGTTTAATGTAAGTTATTTGATAATAAATTTATTAAAAGTTATCTAGAAGGAACGTAAGGATGAGGGCGTGTTTACCTGATTCTTTCCACTCTTAACGAGAGGAACGCGTTGGTGATTGATCTCGGTGATGACCCAGTCACAAGGTTTTCCCGAGGAGAAAGCTTTAGCCTTTGGTGTAAGTCCCTCTGTTACAGCAGGACCATCCGTCAGCGATTTTATCTGTCAGAGACCACGATTGAATAAAACAAATTTCATATTCACGGTAAAGCTGTTATGGTTTAAACAAGGAACAAGCCAAAATCATACATTGAATCACAACGTGACGTTAGCATTTTTAACATTTAGCTGGTATAAACAACTTGAATTTGTGTTTCTTCTTATGAACCTACATACCTTCCAATATCATGTTTGTACACCTTTTGAACACTTTTGTTTCACCAAAATTAGCAAAGATGTGACTCGGTGTATTTCATATCGACATTGGTTTACTTTACAAATTAAAAGTCCTTCTTTTTTAAGGAAAAATCAACAATGTTCATTTTATAGTAAACTCTTTAAACACTCATGATGTTTTGTTTGGTAAATTGTTCGGTAGAATATCACAAGGGCTTTATCCACAAAGATATATAAATGAATAAATAACCAGCAAACGAATACAGTACAATGACATTAATACAAATCGCAGTAGGAGCACTGTGGTATATTGTTGAAGGCGCTAGACTCTCAAACATTGTCACATGAGAGGTCTACAGTTCGAACCCTCGCCAGTGCTTACATCTTTGGACAAGATGTTTTGCCCACATTTGTCTCTCTCGACTAGGAATACTTAAGGTACTTGCCAATGCTGTGGTAATAATGATTGCAGGGCCCCTTATAAGATCCCCCAACAAAAAACCAGCAAAAAACTAGAAAACAAAATGTTGTGCCTACCTCGATGTGAGACTTGAGATGTATACCCCACTGTATACTGGGATTCGATCTGTTAAGGTTCAGTAGATTGGCATGTGGTAACCGATCCAGTGTGACATTTATCTGTAGGATAGAGAAAAAATATCACACTTTCTTGTAATTCCAATATTATTCTACCTATAGAAGTACATTCAACGCTGAGATGGATCCTGGCTGAAATTTGACGTGTGATGTTAAATCTAACGTGAACAGTTATCAATCCGGAAAGCATAATAATTCTAAGGGGGAAGTGGGAGACCCAAATTCTTCAAGCCTCCCCCATCCTCAAATTTTAAAGTTGATTCATTTATAATAAATTTAAGCGAGGTTACATGGAATAAATGAATGCAAGAACAAATAAGTTCCCCCAAAACTTTCACACCCGTCCCAAGCCCCCCCCCCCACCTACCCAATTATTCTGCTATATTTGCATCTGGTTATAACGTGTGGGGGGGGGGGTAAAGAAACTGCTTATTTAAAAAATAAATGGACGATGTTTAGCTATATGTATCTGTGTATAGAAAGGAAAATCATTTTCAAACTTAAATTATTACCTTATCGACAGCCGTTGTTCGGATGAATTTCAAGGCTAGTTCTGCAGATGTCACTACTTGGGTATTAATTTGACGCAGTTTATCACCCACATGTAGCTTACCGTACAACTGACGGTTCAGGTCTTTCTTCCAACCTGCAACCCTAAAAAACAAAAGAATAATGAATAGTTAAGCTTAGGTTAATGATCAGGGGAAAGAATACAAATCTTATAGTACAAGATTTACAGCTTGAAGCTAAACATGTTGATGGGGATGGCTTCCTCACCGGATTGAGGATACCTTTAAATCCTTACTTTCTTTACTGTCCCTACATAGTCGAAATTTGCTATTCTTTAAGCATAATGTAGTTGAAAGGGTACCTGGAATGCTCTTTTGTTGTTCACCAACATGTCCCACATGAATATTATTATTTCACTTGGTCTTTTGACAAAACATCACATATTCAAAGGAACGTGTCCTGAAAAAGTTTGTACTTCTGTCTAAAATATTTAACATTGATATGCCTGAATTTGTTTCAGTTTATTCTTTGTTCAGTTTCAATCTGGCAGTTTTCTAATAATTCGTTGCATTGTCCATTACCGTGATTACTGTATTTTTCACGGCTTCGGAGCCAATGATCCAAAGAACCGAAGTCTGAAAGAAATGTTTTCATTGTCCCAATACATCAATCATGTCAATTCAAACACTTTGTCATGCTACGAATAAAATCAAACTACTTCCCTATCCGCAATCTGCATTCATGTTCGTTTAAAAAAAACCTTGCAATACAATTATCCAGCTGCTATTAGAAAATCATGACGAAAGTTTCTCAAAACTATTTTTCTGTTATTTGATCCCAAATTTAACATTTTAATTTAACGCTACGGAAAGCTAACAATGAAAGTAACAATCATCTTCCTAACGATATAATATGTTGACGGCAAGTACACCGTGTGAGAAAAATAACAAATAAGCGTCTGATGTAAGAAAACAAGGATAAGGATAACAGGAAACTGACAAAATGTGGACGTCACTTGAAGCAGCCTAAATGGTTTATCAAATATTTAACTTATTTAAACCTTGGTATATATTTTTTAATCAAATATTTGAGATAGCAAATGGCAAAAAGATAAAATACCAAATTCAAGCAAAAGGTTTCAATATGAAAAACATACCAAACTTCGTTATTGATGGTGATTAAGACTATTGAATCCAGTAACTCAGCTTTAGAGAATTCAACCACGATGCCATCCGCTACTTTTGACTGCTCCCACATCAAGTACCTATTTATAGAAAGAGAGTGGAGAGGTTAGGTTGGTCAATAGTTAATATCACAGCAAGCTGAAATCTGAGAACTTTTAGATTTACTTAAGAAAGTTCGCGGGCAAACAACTAACATATAAATAAAGGAATGGAAGAGAGGAAGAAATATTCGAAGAGAGTGAAATAAATATATATAAATAAATGTAAAATCTATTTTTGCACAGTATATATACTGACCTGATGTTTTCTTTTACTAGGCCGCACTTTTCGTAGAGATGTTCATGATTAAGTGAGCTTGGAACAGACCTCCTGGGACCCATGGAATAGCTTGAAGGGGGTCTGGCTGGTAAGGGAGGGGGTGTCCCATCCAAGGTTCTTCCCCGGTCTAGCTTGGGAGAATGGCTCTGCTCACGACGTTGATAAGATGCATCCCGTGCTTAAATATAGAAATAGAAAGTGAACTTAGAAATAAGAATTGCCACATTAATACTGATTAATGAACATGAAAAGCATTTGTTTCATGGGTAGTATATACAAAATTAAAATAACAAAAATTGTATTTTTGTCTGAGTAAAACACTAATAAAAAAGCGTGATTGGGGCAAGTGTACAGTCTTTGGTTGTTTAAATATCAAAATCATCATCAGAGAGAGAGAGAGACAAAGTGTGCGTGTGTGAGAGAGGGAGAGAGAGAGAGAGAGAGAGGGGGGGGGGGAGATATAGAGGGATATAGAAAGGGGGAGAGAGAGGGGCAAAGAGATAGAAATTAAGCTATGTTGAATTCTTACTTGGTTCAGAAACTCGACGACCCCTGCTTTTTGGTTGTAATCTGGGAGGAGCATCGTCATCGTCATCGATATTGATGCTTGGTTCATTCACAGGATCACAGACGAAAGGACTCTCCTCGGTAAATTCATACTTCTTTTTACATTCACCAGACGAGCCTAGGAGAGCAGAGACAAACACTATTCTGTAATTCCATTCCCGTTCTTATTGTCATAAGATTGTATTTATGTCATCTTTAGTTTTAAAAACAATATTGTTACTATTATTTGTGAGAAGTTCACAAGCACAACTGAAATCGGCGCCTTTTTTTTTGCCGATTCCCCCCCCCCCCCCCACCTGGCACTGTGCCGGCCAGCCGAAGCTCACCCGTAACCGGAAAAGCACCGGCAGGGTACCGTGAGTAAAAATCCAGTGCAATTTCTTTTTTTGTATTCATTGAAATAATTGGGCACGACACCAACATGATTACAGTTTGTTTTGCAAATGTTTCCCTGAGTCCGGGATATCAAAAGTCGTATTTACTGAACATCCCCAAAATTTGCAGTTTTCAGTTATTTTTCAGTGATTTGTGTGGCAATCGTTTATCGGTATACGATTGATATAACTAGCATGATTTTTCATTTGTGTGGATAACTGCATGGGTTGCTTTAGTTTCTGACATTCTTTTTTTGTGGACATTCAAAGCATTTTCAGTGCTCACATATTCTTTCGTGGAATACGATTGATATAATTAGGATGATTTCCATTGATGTGTAATAATTATATATTCCATGATATAGTTTCTGACATTCTTTTCATGCGTTCGCACGTTAACAATATTTTGCTATCGTTATGTCATTATTTTAAAATTTGGTTAAACGAAATATTTTTCATGTGTAAAAGTAGAGAGTTGATCTAAATTCACATGTAATACTTTATTGAGTAGAACCTACCTATTTTTTCTACCCTGCTGTAGATAACCGACTTTGTGAGTCTTTGTCGTGTGTTCTGCCCTGGTGATAATGATGTGATGCGATCCTCATCATCTTCCTCCCCGTGGTCCTCCGTTTCATCCATCTCGAACCGGATGTTATTCGGGATGAACGATGGTGATGGAGGACAGCTACTGATGATGTCACTATTCCAACTACCAGACGAATCTTGCGACCATCGCACGGAGGATGCACACGAACCTCGACCGCTGTCTCTACTCACCATGCTACTGTGGTTCTGAATTGGAATAGGAATTGTGTTTATTATTATAATTGCTATCATTATCATTATTGAAATCATTGCTATCTTTGTCATTATTACCATTGTTATTATTAATATCATGGTATGGTATGGTATGGTAAATTTTATTTATTCACGGTTAAAAACAAAAAATTCAATTGTGTCCGCATTCAGCAAAAGCTGTTTTTCAGCGAGGCCGTGATTACATAATTAGAACAAAATATAAAACAATGAAAATACAATTTACAAACAAATATGCAAGTTATAATAAGTGAACATAATATACAGAAATTTAAGTACAAAATAGAGTCATAGTGATAAAATGAGGGGGGAAAAAAATCATCATTATCATCATCTTCATGAAAGAAAACACTGTAGCTGACTCACAGGGTGCTTAATGCGACGAACCACATCTTCTGCAGGTTTTCGGTCTGTATCCATCGTCTCCATATCAGTAGATACACGAGAAAAAGCTTCAAACCAAGGTTTGATGTCTTGCCTATCGAAGAATCAAAATATGAAATTCAAGAATAACATTCAATCATGCGAATTCAATGCCTTGTAGAAAACTGGAGCATTGTGATATCAGAAAAAAAACAGTTAAAACCCGTATTTGGAAAAAAGGGATGTTACTAAATTTAAGGAAGCCCTTCTCATTGGCCCCTCTCCCTCTAAAGTCCAACACCACCATCGCCAGCTAAAATTCAACGAGGGGTACTTTAGGAGGATCATCAATCATGTACCAAAATTCTTCCCTTCAGAACTCATATCTTTAATATTTGAAAGGTTTTTCAAAGGGAGCAGATATAACATACCTGTTATAATACAACAAAATTATTTAAGAAATGCGAGAGGAACCTAAGGGTGAAGGCATATTTGTGTCTACAGAAGACCACATCGTACAATCCTCAATATATATCCTACAACAAAATTCAAAATTTGTTGATTGCAGGATTTTTCTGTATAGCTTTTTCCTGGTTGAATCATCATCAATTGTATTAGTTGGTACAGTGTTTAATTAAATCATTAGAAGGCGTCTATATAGGCGGAAAATTACATTGGCATTCAAAATATTTTACTTAACCCGTTGACTACTGAATTATCTAATTCCCGTAGACTTAACAGAGGGACCACCGGGTTCCAGTAAGCAATAGGTTAAGCTGAATAAATTGCCAAATGTCACACTTACTCTTTCAGTGTTTTGAAGTAATAGGGGATCTTGGCGTGTATGAGAATGATCACGTGATTTGTCTTTCGACCTATCTTCATGTCCACACTTTGAACGTCGACCTTTGACATCAGAATGTACGATGGGATGCTACCAGAACAGACTGATTTCTTTCTACCTCCAAAATTATTAAGAGAGTCCTTCCTCTTCCCTTTGGACGCCGTTTCGTTTGTAAAACCTTCTAGATTGTAAAACTGTTTTCCACGCTTCCAGAGGATGAAGTAGACCTTATTCCGTTTCTATTTTAATAGTAATAAATCAAAGAAATACAAAAATCGTCATATTGTGGTAGCTTTGTCAAGGCGAAGTCGGTTTAAATGGATGCATTGTAAAGATCGGGTGCGAGGCAAATGTGAAGGCAGGTTAGGGTAAAATCCCACGAAATATAAGTTTAATATTCCTTTACATTATATTTCATGTATTATGATTGTTCTGATGTAGGAATCAAAGTAGCTTTTGATAAATAATATTCTTCTGATATCGGTTATGCTCGTGTTATAATTAAAAGATACTTATTGAAGTTATTATTATAATATTATTGTTGTTATTTTTATGATTACCATTACTAGTATCATTGTTATGAATATTACTATTATTGTTATAATTATTATTATAATATTATTGTTGTTGTTGTTATTTCTATTATTATCATGTATTATTATTATTATCATTATTATAATTATTATCATCATTATTATAACCATGCCCATCAGGCAAAAAGGAAGATATATAGATAACATCCATTTGGTTTCAATATCGTAACTACCCGGAACAGAGTTTGTCAAAGCGTATGTACTATTTCTGGCCCGAATTCACAAAGGAGGCTTGTCGACAAACCTCCTTTTGTTATTTACAAACCAGGTTTGTAAAAAAACGCGTCAAAACGCGTCATATGACGTACATAAACCTCGGTTTGTCGACAAATCTCCTTTGTGAATTTGGGCCTCTATGTCTGACATAACACCACTCAGTGACAAATCCTCTCAGATAGCAACCTTTGGAATCTTAAAGCTTATCTGCCATAGTTTACAGGAAGGATTAGAGCACCCTGCAAGGTCACTGGACAGGTGGTTATCTCATCAACTCAGCTCTCAGTTAACATAAGAAAAAGAGGATCATGGGGGACCAATGGTCACCGATTAGGCATTGTTTGTTATATAGAGGGCGCAAGTAGCCACAAGTAGTGCAGTGGGCCTTTAATATTCCAATCATTGTCCTATAGCAGTAGCCATTCCACATACATAACTAATATATGATTGAAGTCAGCAATAATTTATAGAAAATATATGTGATAACTAATTGTATCCAATGTTTAACTTTCAACATCAACCGTTGATTTCTACGATATGGTTATCGGTTATCGATTAAAAGATAGATATACTGTTGCCCATGAAGCCGGAATGCATTTTCATACCTCTTTTCATTAATGATTGTGATAAAATGATTTATTATTGATAAATAAAGTTTATATCTTAACAGAACTTTGTTATTTAAGCTATTAAGAGTCATAAACATGGATATGTAAGGTTATGAGAATATGGATGTTTTCTATCAAGAATAAATCATATAATCACAAGCATTTCATGTAAAGAGTTAAGACAGATATATTCCCATTTTATTAGCAACAGTATACTAAGCTAGTGATACTTTAATGGCTTTAAATGATTGTATATCATCATTATTATTATCATCATCGTCGCCTTTCTCGTCGTCGTCGTCGTTCATAGATCATGAATGAATGATTTTAATTTATTAAAAAATGTTATGAATTTCAGAGGAAAAAGAATAAACCTAGTTTTTTCAAAGAAAGGATGATTTTTTTAAAAACTGTTGGATAATCGTATATATACACCCCTTTAAAATTAATATTGGTCCTGATCTACATCAAAATAACAGGGTCCCTGAAAGGGATCAAATTTCAACTTCAAATTGTTCACATTTGCCCTTTGAATCGCGAGAAAAAGGGCAATGTGAACCTGTACAGCCATGAATAGGTTGTCAGAGCTGCACCTGAACAAAGGTTCAATGATGCAGCTACCTTGATGCTTCTATTGTAGCGGTTTAGTGAGCAATTTTTGACCCCTATTGCGTATTGCAGGGACCTGAAATGTTTTTGGTCTCGTTAGGCATACATGACGTGATTACTAAAGGTTACTTTATACCTTAGATATTATTCACCATACGACATAATTGCCAAATGATGTAATCACACAGGGAGTACAAATATGCACGCATAAACTGTAATGTACAGGTCAAGTCACAATACTTGAAACCAGTGAAATGACAAATGTTCCATATCTGGTTTTATTTGAAACAATATTTCCACATCTCCTGTTGTTCATGTGGTCAATAAATCAGCTAGTTCGTTATAGACCTACTTCCCTCTGTAGCTCAGGTGTACTTTACATAAACCAATGGGGAGGACGAAATGTTAGTATTTGTTTTGATGTAAAATAAAGGGAATGCACTTTTGTGAGTATCATTTTGATTTGAAATTAATAATGGCAGCCAATTCTATTGTTTAGACCATAGAAACACTCACTATAGTGGCATGGTACCGAATAATTGTTTTAATATGTTGAAAATAAAATACATTGCAGTAGAATAGGTGATTATTTTTCTAAAAGTTATCAATTGTATTACTTTGAGTAACTCTTACTAATTATAAAGATACAATGAAATGACATCAAATTACATCAACAAATACATTTACAAATATAATCATACTTGGCGTTTATAATTTATATGGACCATACTGTGTAATAAATGAGCCAAACAGTTCATTGTTTTGTAACAGGAAATGGATTTAATCGGAGTCAAATATATCATGTTGGAATACACGGACCATTCAACGCTTTAAATCGATGTTCAAGTTACCCTAATAAAGCTCAATGCATCTTTTTATATCTACATATTGTTGTATACTTAAGATACCTTTAGCAGTGTGTAGTGATAATATTGCAGCATTGTCATACAACATTGTTCTCATTTCAGTTTCGTATTCAATCAATATGTTTTTTTGTCATGAAATAGAAAACGAGAAATTCATGTTTTGATAGTCAAAATTCATTAGCATCAGCGCAATTGTACATCCTTGAAAAGAATGTTTATTACTTGGATGGGAGTCTAAGAAGGACGGTTACGTTCGTAATGCGAATACTTCGGAAATTTGTCCACTTGTAATTATCAGATTTAAAAAATAAAAAAAATAAAAAATTCATGCAGACCCAGGTTTATGTGTTTCATGCATCTCCTGCTGGTCTAGATATAATATATTCAAGCAATGTAAATGTCTTGTTCCTTGCACACGAGGCGTCATTTCGATTGCGCAATGACCTGCGCTATGACCTGCGCTAATTGAATTCTGTGCAAACAGTTAGTGCATACGTTAGTAATTAAAGGCCAGTATTGCACAATGTCACGCGCACAAAGTGCGTCAACTACCGCGACAGTCTATGATGCAGTTCTAGGTCTGAAAATAGGGACTTTTCGATTTGCACGTCGACATAGTGGACTGCTACGTAAGACGTCAACATAGTGGACTGCTACCTGTGACGTCATTTTAAGGCCTTAAAAGGAAGTCACACGTAGCGGTCCACTATGTCGACGTGCAAATCTAAAAGTCCCAATTGACGCCTCATTTGAAACGAGAATAAGGTCTTTAGCGCAAGAGGCGTCATTTTGCTGACGGAGTACTACGTCAGTCTGTGACGCGCCTCATGACAGTGCTGTCGTTCCAAGGGTAGATGCAAAGTGAACAGTGTAAATCATTGCTTTTAATTGATGTACGTGCAATATATTTCTTATATAGGCCCTATTGGAACAAGTGGTAATAAATTTATTAGCGAGGGGGTGGCGTGGGGCTAGGACCATTTTCTTACCTTGAAATCTACAGTTGATCCTCCATCGAAATTCTTCTGCTCTCCTGTGATGAGATATCCCTCATGGATTTTATCTTGAGTCTCTTCATCCATTGTCTCACGTAACACTCCTGCAAGAAAATGATGGGTTTCACTTAAACAGAATACAAATCAATTAGCAAATAGGTTTAATTATGTGGTTCATAACAACATCTAGAAGAAATTCACTTGAGATAAGTTGTATAAGAGTCACTGTAAATTTGTTTAAGTAGTTAAGAATACGAGATGAATAATAATGATGATAATGATAATAGTAACAATAAAATACAATCATTCAAACATATGACCCAGGGAACACTCATCAATATCAATGCTATTCTTGTATTATCTCAACAATTGCAGAATACCCACTTGCACCTGAATTAATTGGATTGCCAAAGGAATCGGCTGGGATTCGAACCATTAAACCAAGTGAATGAATGACTATACTGTGACACATCATTCGGTTTGCGATTTTCTTTTCCACTTGAGGTCGAATACAATTACATGAAATTGCTCATTAATCGCATGTATGAAGGAACTTATTCGTTATCAGAAAGGGAACAAACATTGGAGGATGTGGGTTTGCGTGTGTGTGTCTTTGAAAGGGGGGGGGGGGGGAGGGAGAGAGAGAGAAAAAAAAGAAAGAGAGAGAGAAAGAGTGTGTCATAATAACGTGCGGTTGAAAGGGGGATCATTTTACACATTACACAATCTATTGTGAAATTATTTTTCATGTCATTAAACAAATAAGGACCATTGTGTTGAATAAAACCCTGCTAGTTCCGTTTCAGAAATATGAACTTGCATATTGTGATTTTTGGACAAATAGCATATCATTATTGATAGACACATCCGTCGTCTGGTTTGCTTCGTATTATAATGCTGCATAAAGACATATCAAATTAAATGTCGGTCATATTCGTGTAGTTTGATGGACGAACCTGAAACAGAATCAAAACCACAAAGGAAAATGTCCCCCTATTTTCCGTCGGGAAACAAAGATTTATTCCTTTGATTAACTTCCTTTTTTACTTTCAAAAACCATATGTGCGTTAAGTATACATGCTTCGGAATAGGATTATATACCGGGTCAATCTTAACATTCAAACAAAGATAATGACATAGAAAGATATGTTGAAAATTAAAAGGAACTATTAAAACAGACTACTGCTACCTACGAAATCACTCCAGCTGTTTCATGCCTGCTGATAGATTATAAAGCTGGTAAAAGCTTTTCGTTGGAGTAGTTTGAATTTAGTTCATAACAAGATGGTTACAATTCCAATTTTTTGGGAAGACTAGTCAAGAACAAATAGTTCCGCACTGTTTCATTATCTTTGTTACCAAGAAAGCTCTCTTGTTAATCTGTGTGCCACCGTTCGAAGGAGCAGGATGGAGGGCCCCTGTGCCCCGTTTAGCTACGACACCGGCTGCTAGTCAGAGATTTTGGACACATACAGCGCTTTATAAAAATTGCTTTATTCTTACTTGCTTTAAGTTTTTTATTTGTTCACATATCACACATGTTAAAAGCCTCTACCACATTAATTGAAATATAAATCCCCACGTCCCATTTGATTGTCATTATATTATAATTGTCATTACTTATGTATTAATTTCCTTTTTAACGGAAACAGATTATACTTCGACTTTTAATTCTTGAACACTTTCAATCAGTAAGATTATTTTAAAAACTAACTTAATTTTCATTATTGCAAAGTTGAAACTTTGATTCGACAAGGCTTTCAAAATGCAATGCTTGGAAACATTCGAAGTAATGGTTATTATAAATTACAGAACGCTCAAACACAACCCCGGCATAGCACCTGAAGAGCTCTCCGAACGCTGCTGAGATGTGAGATCACAGGATGGACATGATTTGCACAAGCAGACGATGTCCTATGACATCTCACACATTTTCTGTGCCTATTTTTTCATCTTCTCTTGAGTTCTTTCTCAGCTGCACACACCGCGATATGTTCGGCGTTTCAAGAGGGAACAAATGCCGTCCTTAATATCATTCCGGGGGTTTTCAATTTGAAAGTCTGGTTTCTTTATTTTTAAATATCCCCTATCCTGTGTATTTACAAACAAAAGATTTTAGTTATTATAATCGGTTGCACATCCCCTTTTGAATGGTTTGAAATGCCATCACATTTATATACACTAAACTCATTATAATTTGAGAAACAATAGCTTTGCAATTATGTTCATTCTTTATGGGATGTCGTCTGCTTGGGCGGTATTGGTCCCTTATGCGACGTCATTAAAAACATCATTATTTTTTCTGGCGAATCTCTCGTATATCCCAGATGCTACGGTGGTGAATGTATTTGTATTTTTATAAATCACCCGATATGTACTTGACCTAAAACTAGTACGATGGCCATCTGTTAGCTTACCAGTTTCTAGTTATATATTAGTTGACATATTTGTGATTTTCTTTGAATTTCCACTTTAAGTTGGTAAAGTTAGGTGCAGCCTGGGATCTAGTATAGCTTCTCTGTTGTTTAAATCGACTTGAAACCAACATATATATATATATAGCTACATATAAGTGCAGTAAGGACCCTAGTATTGCTTCTCTACTTACTAAATCTACTTGAAGACAAAACAATATATAGCTAGGTGCTGTAATGACCCTGGTCGGATTTAGCGTCTGAAATGGGTAAATCTGCATGCACTTAAACAGACCAATGACTTGCTAGTGGTCATTATCTCCCACAATACAACCGCCCCCTCCAAAAAAAAAAAAAAAAAAAAAATATATATATACTTTAACATTTATTCCACAATTGTTTTCTTTGATCTTGATTCATAAAATGCTATATAATAGCATTTTGTGTGTTTGAGTGTGTGTATGTGTGTGGGGTGGAGGGGTGGGGGGGAGGGGGAGGGGGAATTAAATGAGATGTTTATTTTAACCAAATTACCTTGGCCACTATTGATTATTTCCCACAACCGCCCCCTTCCCAAAAATATACAAAAATATATATATATACATTAAAATTGAATTTACAATTATTTTCTTTGATCTTGATTCATACAAATCTAGTAACTAGCATTTTGTGTGTTTGAGTGTGTGTTTGGGGGGGGGGGAGGAGGGGGAGCAAATGAAGTGTTTATTTGAACCAAATTACCTGGGCCACTATCCGCAAAGCACCACCGACAAAAATCCCCTCCAGTTTTGTACCCACATGTATTTAACTCTTCAGACCACCATTCAACAAATCAATCCGGGTAACTATCCCTTAGCTTACAGCTCGGAGGCGGCTCAGACGACTATCCCCAGATAACTTTGACAATGTCTACTGCGAGCATGTGCCTGTCTGAGCAAGTGGGTAGCGGGCGGGTCCCACTGGTTAGTTTATCTAGGACAATACGATTCGGACAACTTAATGACCCTTGGATGATGATTATTAATCAGGTTATTAAATGTACACCCCTGATATATCGGGTAAACAATAATAATTTGCTGTCATCATGATTGTGATTAGCAACAATACATCGAGTGACCCTAGTAGAATTACATGTTTCAATGCCCTATATTCCGGAAAATAGTTATGCTTCATAAGTCATAATGAAGACAAAACTGTGTATACATATATATCTTGCAAATCATTTGTTTTAAATATATATTATCATCATTTTATTCATTTCCTGTTCTCCTTTCATACAGGTTGTATGGCAATCTCACAAATCATGTGGACTTAATAGATTTGCACATGTTCTAATACTAGCTATAACTTCCTTAATTATTTATGTAATGGTAGAGTGTGAAGATTACCTTTTATTTGTATTCCTATATTTTCCTCTTTATCATCATTCTCATCATTATCATCATCTTCAGTATTATAAAATCATCATCATCGCACCCTCATCATCATTGTCAGCATCATCATCATCATTACCATAAATATGATCATGATTGTAATCATCATAATCATAATCATAACCATGATCGTTTTCATAATAGTTATCATAATCATCAATATCATCATCCTGATCATCACCATCATCCCCATACCATTATCATCATCATCATCATCATCATCATCATCATCATTGTGAGCATCATCATCATCATCAAATTTATCACCAACACCTGCATAATGATGATGACGATCACCTTCATCATTATTTTAGTCATGTTGATTAAAGTATCGTAGACATTTATTGTTGTGTTTATAACTTACATTCCCTTCCAAGATAATTAATTCTTATCATAAAGTAAGGTTCATGTCTTGAAGATTGTAAAAATTGTCGGTTAAATTCATTTGTGAACTTACCTCTATTCTAGCGACAGAGATGACTCGAAAGACCTTCAAATCCTCTTCTTCGTCAAGTAAAAAGCTGAAATAAATATCCACACAAACCAAGAATATGGAAGAACGTCAAATGTAGAAATCTGAAGTCAACATTGACCCTCGTGATAGTAAAGTGCTGTTGAAACAAGAGCTCCCCTATATTGATCAGTTTGTAGTTGGAGCGATGCGTGTCTTTCGGTTGTTACTCCGAACCTGATTGTGAGCGAAATGAGAACATTTTCTCCTCGAATGAGGAAGTTTTACGAAGCAATCTTAGGGACTTTTACATTATTTTGCGACAATAACATATTTTCGTTTTGTATTTACACGTTCTCGTTCACTGCACTTGTTCAATAACTCATTTTGTTCATACAGAGTAAGAGGCGGTTGTGACGTTTTCAAGGGCATTTACCTAGCTCTATAGTTTTCGAATCTGTAATATTGCCCATAAAGTTGAGATAAGGTTTTCTTACCTCTGTTTATGAAATGATTGCGAGAATAAAATATCTTCTCTTAACGTTAATGATCAATCGCTCCGACTCGTTACAGCTCTGAGAAGACATTCATCTATCATGAATAAACCACATTCTCACAATCTGTATTTGTATCTGTACTGTTATGATCCCAGTCCTTATCCTAAAGAGGGATACATAGATGACCAATAAGAACGTTATCGTTCATTTAAAGAGAGAGTGTTTATTGCATTTAGAACATATTAATTGACTCCCATCACATTGCAGTTGTGGGGAGGGACTATGCTTGTATTACACCTTTGGATTGCCTCCCATAGTCTGGTTTTGAAGGTTTCAACTGATCTGCAGGCAACGATGCTGGGGAGGGGGGGGGGGGGGAGGGGGGTAAAGAAGGTGAGCCTATAAGTAGCACAGCTATTAAAGTTATTTTGGGGGATGATGGACATGGTGGTAACTGTTAAGAAAAGTGTTATGCTTATTTAAGTCACCCTTTTTTCAATTTAACTCTTTTTGTATGTATAATTTAGTGTCCAAACCACACTTACTTATGTTTTTTAAAATTCAATATTGAAATTGAAATTAAAAAGGTATTTATTGTTCTAAAACACAGGACTGTATTTCGATAGAATTTAATGTTGAATTACTTGATATAATAAGTACATTAAGAGCAAAGTACAACAATCATTATTCATGTCATATTTCTTAGAAGAAGGAAGTAGTGAAAATAAAATGTGAGCAAAATGATTGGAAGGTGGATGGTACATGTAGCGACAGAGGGGATACGATAAGTAAACGAAATAAGAGGTAGATCCGGTGGACATGAAAAAAGTGAAGTACACTGTTTCATCTTGTCTTCTTTTTTTTTTTTACAATTTTCGAAACTGTTTTTTGTTGTGGTAAAGTCAAGAAAATTATCAAAACGGAATAAAAAAAAAATATCTTTATGGGTAAAAATGGAATTCCTCAAGAAATTAGAACATTCTGTGGCTGTACATAAAATGTTGGTTCACAAATACATGTTAAATAGAGAGAGAGAGAGAGGGGGGATAAGAGAGAGAGAGAGAGAGAGAGAGAGAGAGAGGAGAGGGAGAGACAGAGACAGAGACAGAGACAGAGACAGAGAAAAAAGAGAGAAGGGAGAATAAAAAGAACGAAAGAAAATTTTGAAATTCTAAGTATGGAGGCATTGAGGTTGACAATTAATTATTATTATTCGACCTCACCGGCTAGAACTCCTGATTTATGAAGACACTGCCACCATTTTCTAAGAAAACCGAAACCATATCGTGGATTAATGAAAGTTTCAATTAATTATAGATATGTTCTTTATAAGTTCTTCAGGTTTTCAGTTTAAATGATCAAATTAAATCTAGCATAATGTGGGCATGGCCGGACTCATGGATATAATATGGAATTCTTTTTGTCACCGTATATTAATATAATTCTCGTCTACCTCTGAAAACACACACTTTCTCTCGAAACCAGGTTGTGTTCCTGATCTTTAAAGACGGATATGTTCAAAAGAAATGAGACATACAAGTTTATATAAACATATCAACATATTATTTAATGTGAACCAGCACTTTGAATAAAAATGATTACATTGCCTTTTAACAATCAACTAACAAAAAAATTACAAATAAATGCAACGTTGGAATTAATAAATTCCTGTATGTAATCTGGTACCCGCCATAAAAGTTGAAATGGATGCCCGCCGAATAGATTTACATTTTTGTAAGTACGCATGGACCTCAAGTTTATACTTTATCTATAAAACACATTCATCAGCTCTCATAACTTCTAAATATGTCACAATGACAGATTATAGTTTATCAGCCTTCATTCTGAATCTTTTTACTACTAAGAAAATTAAACCTTGACTAGAATTGTCCGTTTTATGACTTGCAAACGAATAATATGAAGTGAAGGTTTGTACAATGGTCTGTAGAGGCATTGATCTCATGCTTATAATACACATCCATCACCGGCATCATTTAATGCAGTGGAATATCTAAACAGTTTGACTAAGCGGTATATAGATTTACATGTACGCTTTACATAAGACAGTTCACATACTCTCCTCTTTAGGGAACTTACCAATTTGCCCCTTCATGTTTAGCAGACTATTAAAAAACTAGACCTATATATTTCATGTACACTGTTATTTATTCACAAGCTTGATAACTTCATAAGTAAATATATTTCACTGAGGGATCCCAGTTGTTACGAAAAGTATCTGGATTTTTTTCGGACGTTATTGTTGCGTTTACAATCCATATTTCATATCGGTATTAACAACATACAAGGGTAAATTGGCAAACATCTATAAATACATTTAAAAATAAATACAGCAATCTATTATAATCTACAAGTAACCATGAAAACAGAATACATAAATATTTAGAAAATAATTGTATATCCACTAATGTATTGTCAATGCATTGTACAATTCGGCACAAAGAACAAGATATTAGAAGCTCACTAAATGCGTTAACACCTTCATGTAAGGGCCATGCTGTTTATACCCTTATTATTAAGTTGTCATTTTGTGCCAAGCAAGGTCATTATATAATAAAGCTTAAACATCTGGATTGTTATCATTGCACAGGTAGACCATGTCCAATTATATTATTAAAGCAGTAAGAAAGCTTTGAAACCGATGTTCATAATGTAATCAATGTAGGAACAATTTTTTTCTTCAGATTGACATTCATTTTTCAGACTAAGTCATCAATTAAGGTTAATAACTCATAACAATCTGTGAATTATTTTCCAGCTTGTACTGCCTTGACTCTTCTTGGTGATCGGGGAGTAGCAAGGCTCTTGAATGATATTTGTTTTACAAGGTGTTTTTTGGTGTTATATGCGATAAATGTTGTATGTGGAAATAACAAACATCTTTTCACCATATTTACTTAGATTAGAATGCATTGTAAAGACTTGCTAAATTATAAAATGAAATAACCTGACTCAATAAATTGTATTGTGGCTGACATGAATCAGTATATCAAACTAGTATGTCTAGATATTATCTGTATTATGCTACTTTTTCTAATTTTTACACTCTGCGGCTTTCCAAGTATATGAGCACCAACATAATTAGAGTTTTCATTTTTTCTGTAACATGCCATCACTAATCTGAGTACACGATGTACCAGTGTGTATAATTACGTCTTATGCGACTTGAATATATGAGATATAACATACATATATGAATCATTAAGATTATATTTTTCTTTACAGGATTGCGATACCCTGCTTCGATATTAGAGTTATGTGTACACATTCATATATATTATCAAATGAGAACATTTAAATTACCGGGACATGAAATAATATGAAGATCTTTGTTATTTTCTACTCTGGTATGTTTGGAATTGAAATGAAATGCGAAGTCCACCCCGATATCAATTTATGGTCAAAGAAAGTTTTTTGTTAATATTTTGTTAAGTACATAGAGCAAATTGGAGGGGACCTTGAAAGATACGTAGCCTATACAGATTTGCTAGTTTGTATTTGATTGATCTCAACTCAAATAATTAATGGCTTTCTTATTTTTAATCGGAATTTGCCCAAACTTTCGCTGACCTGTCCCTCTTATTTTTCTGCTTCTATTAAAAACCAACTCGATATCAGGGTAGACTTCCCTTTTAAAAACTGTCAAAATGTCAAAATCTGAAATTAAAGATACGATCATGCTGACATCTCAACGGAAGAGATACAAACAAACATTGAAACAGAATACATTATACAAATTCAGTATATATATATACAAAAAATACTACAATATCAAACGAATTAAGTCGAAATGCCAAAGATTAAAGCACAATCACGATCACATATGACACAACAGTCACAACTCATCGAATGCCACATACACAATAACAATCATTTCAAGAAATAAGCCAAGAAATGAGCCAAGAAAAAGGCCAACTTTATGGGCGACAGTGTACAGTGTATTCAAACTTTTCTACTGTCAAAGATATAATGTACTGAGCCTTTAAATGCTTTTTAAAACAGAAATATAACGCCACATGGGTGTTGTGAACAATAATGCATTGTTTTTCTAACATCCCAGTGAAAAAACTTCCAAAATGTAGTTACATTTTTCAGAAATATGTATTGATGGTATAGGAAGGATGTTGTTTGTGATAATAATGATGATTTCATCGCGAAACTTTACTGGTATAGATTTGGACCGCAATTTGTGACTGTCAAACCTCCCGAATGTGCTCTGTATTTTAGCTGTTCTTTCATTGCTTATTTTCTTTTCACTGTCAACATCGTCGTGTCAGAAGGCACATTTCATGAACGTGCGAAACCAAAATCACAGTTACCAACCTGTTGCACAAGTTTAGAATAATATGTAAGCATTCCGAGACCACAAACATCAACTCATGGACTGGTAATAACAGAGTGCACTTTCACATCACCAGCCAACCCTGAATGGTATTTACTTTGTGCTGATGTCCTTGGTCATCACACGTTAAAACCCACTCTATTACATTCTGTGTTCTCTTCAAAATGGCAGATATACCTGCAAGTAAGACGTAGTTCTGCATCAAGATGGCAAGGAATGCCGATAAGGATATCGAGCCAGTGATCGCTTGATTGCGTCGTAGGGCAGTCGAAGGTGACGACTTTCAGTAGAACTGAGAGCCCCGTTTCTTCTCAATAGCTTCAGTAAGTTTCTTGATGAAGTCATGAGGTTGTACTACCATTGGGATTACTAAATGGTCCTCTTCGAGTTCAGCTTTCACCAAATCCTACAAATTGTCAACATCGACGAGAAAACAAAATACATTTCATAAATAATAGTCCTCATGATTATCATGTGAACAAATCAAGTTCGGTTATGCTGCAACGCTCCCTTCAGGGCGCACACCTCTCCATGGTTTAAGTCATTAAAATTACTCAAACTTCCAGATATTCTTTCTCAAGGTACTTCATTATTTATGTATTAACTCAAAAATACTATGTTACCAGTAGCATTTGATGACAGTTTTTGTTTGAACTCGGATGTCCACTAATTTCATACAAGAAAAAAAATGACTTCCATCTACCAAAATTCATTAACTCACTTTGGAAAAATAAATAAATTAGATATCAAGGTCCTCATAAATGGAACTCCATGTGTAATCATTTAAAGGGTATAACGAACCACAACGAATTGAAAGTGAAACTGAAAATAACAAATACTTGCCACTAATTGATTTATTGAAATACGTAATTGATTAATATTTTTGTTAGTATGTAACATCATTAGTATTGAATTGTATTGTATCGTATCGTTTTGTATTGTATTGTATCTGTATCTTTTTATGTTTGGGGTTGCGTGTTAACAAGTTTTTTTTAACTTATGTTAGCAATCCCGGTATTTGTAATGATGTAATTTTTATTTTGATCTTTTGCCAAATGAATAAGAATTGAATTGAGTGGAATTGAAAGTTATTAAAACCTTCGATCAAGGCGGAACGATAGGTTTAGTAATCATAAAAGGCAAAGTAATTTAACTTCAAATAAATCACAGTTGATTAAACTAAACATTTTGAAAATCGTTAGAACGGTTCGATTAGGAAGCCAAACAATTAAAAAAATAAAGGAAAAAGGTAGGGGAAACCCAAATCTAAAGAATGAAGGTCCTACTCTAATGCTTTATTTTTTCCCTTTGATACTCATGCAAGTTTAGTTCCTCAAATAAAATTTGTTTTATTTACCTGATTTTTGCTACTCTTGACGAGAGGAACGCGTTGGTGACTGATCTCGGTGATGACCCAGTCACAAGGTTTTCCCGAGAAGAAAGCCTTAGCCTTTGGTGTAAGCCCCTCCTTCACAGCAGGACCCTCCGCTAGCGATTTAATCTGCCAGAGACCACGATTGAAAAAGACAAATTTGTATTCATTGTACAGCTTTTATGGTTTAACCATGGAAAGAGCAAAAATCATACATTGAATCACAGTTTGACGTTTAGTATCCTAAAATTATAGCCCCTCGAATTCAGCAGCTGGTATGAAAAACTTGAAATTGTGTTTCTCCTCGTGAACCTACATATCTTTAAATATCGTGTTTCTACAACTTAACACTTTTATTTTACCAAAATTAGCCACTATGACTCGTTAAATTTCTAATTGACATTGTTTTTTTTTACAAATTCAAAGTGCTTTTTTACGAAAAAATAACACGATACATTTTATAGCATACTCTTCAAACGCTCATAATGTTTTGTTTGATAGATTGGTTTTCACAAAGGCTTCATTCACATTTATTTATTTATGACGATTTGGTCAGCCTGGGTAGAAAAAGTTATGTTGTACCTACCTCGATGTTAGACTTGAGATGAATACCCCACTGTTTACTGCGATCAGATCTGTTAAGGTTCAGTATGTTTGCATTTGGTAACCGATACAGTGTGATTTCTATCTGTAGGATAGAGAAAACAAATAACACACTTTCTTTAAATTTCAATATTATTCTACCTATAGAAGTACATTAAACGCTGAGATTGATCCTGGCTGTAAGTTGAGTGTGATAAATCATTCTATAGTGACAATTTAAATGTTGATTCTCACAGTGTCCTCTTATCACTCCAAAAACATAATCAGGAACAGTCCTAAAAGAAAAGTGGAAGACTCTAATATGGTCAACCCCCTCTCGAAATAAATTTGCACCATTTTAAAGGAATTAAATGAGGTTACATGGAAAAAATTAATTCAAAAACCCAAATCTCTCTCAGCCGCCCCAACCCCCGCCCCCACCCAATTATTCTTCTATAATTGCACCTGGGTATAATATGTCGGCATTAAAGAAATTGAAAATTAAATTAAAAAAAATTAAAGAAAATGATTATTTTTCAGAGTTAATGGATGGTCTTCAGCTATAAGTAATGTATAGAAAGGATATATCATTATCAAACTATAATTATTACCTTATCGATAGCTGTTGTTCGGATGAATTCCATGGCAAGTTCTGCTGATGTCACTACTTGGGTATTAATTTGACGCAGTTTATCACCCACATGTAGCCTACCATACAACTGACTGTTCAGGTCTTTCTTCCAGCCAGCAACCCTGAAAAGCAGAATAATTATGAATAGTTTAACTTTTAAATAGGATAATGGTTTTTCGTTATTGCTTAGTGATAACTTGGGGGAAAGAATACAACTCTTATCACCCTCTGCGTTTGGTGTGAACAACATTATCATAGGACAAAATTTACTGGACATGTTTAGGGGGCGTGGATACCTTACCGGGTCGAGGATACATTTTAATCCTTACTGTCCCTACATAGTCAAGATTTGATATTCCTTAAGCATGCTGTAGTTGAAAGGGTGCATGGAATAAGTATGTTATGATAACCTCAAATGATATAGCTATATGCTACAATGATAGCGGTTCAGTATCTCTTCTTTTGTTATTCACCAACATGGCCAACATGAATATCATTATATCACATGGTCTTTTGACCAAAAAAATCACGCATTTGAAGGAATGTGTCATTGTTATATCCTGCTAGTGGAGGGCAAATTTCTGTGTTTTTTAAAGTAGACAATAAAATTTGAATCTGAATCTGAATCTGAAAGTACTTTTGTACTTCTGTCAAAAGTATTTAACATCGGTATGCCTTAATTGTTTTCAATTTATTTGTTATTCAGGTTCAATATGACAGTTTTCTGATAATTTGTTGCATTGTCTATTATCATGGTTACTGTAATTTCTTTTCACGGCTTCGGAGGCAATGATCCTTGAATTCCAATAGACAGAAAGATCAAATAGTGGATGAAATTATTTTCATTGTACCAATACATCAATCATGTCAATTCAAACACTTTGTCATGCTACGAATAAAATCACCTACTTCCCTGTCCGCAATCTGCATTCATGTTCATTTCAAAAACCTTGAAATACAATTATCCAACTGCTATTAGGAAATCGTGACGGAATGTTCTTAAAACTATTTTTCTGTTATTTGATCCTAAATGTAACAGTTTAATTTCACGCTACGGAAAGCTAACAAAGTAATAATTATCTTCCTAACAATATGACATGTTGACGGCAAGTACACCGTGTGAGAAAAAGAAGAAATAAGCGTCTGATGTATGAAAACAGTCCCTATCCAATAATAATGAAAGAATAAGGGCAACAGGATACTGACAAAATGTGGACGCCATTTTATAAGCAGCCAAAATGGTTAATCAGACACTCGAATTTGTTAACCTCGGTTGCTTATTTTTTTTTTATTCATGTCTTCTTTACAAAGCAGGAAAGGTCATTCAGATAAAAAAAAAACTACTTTACAATGACGCCCTGCTGCAACATACAAAATACATGAAAAACAACAAAATTAACAAAAGAACAGAAACAGAAAACGTTTAACTTAAAATACCAGAAAATATCAAGTTACAAATAATAAATGACATCGATAAACAATAAAATTGCGAGAGTTACAAAAGTAAGGAACAAACTAAAATCGTAATATAGGATAACAACAATTTATAACTATCCTAACCTTAGGATATTTTTTGCGTCAGATATTTGAGATAGCAAATACAAAATAGCAAATTCAAACAAAAGGATTCAATATGAAAACATACCAAACTTCGTTATTGATGGTGATTAAGACTACTGAATCCAGTAACTCAGCTTTAGAGAATTCAACCACGATGCCATCCGCTCCCTTGGACTGCTCCCACATCAAGAAACTATTTTTTTAGAAAGAGAGAGGTCAAGTTAGGTTTGTTTAGTCACTATCACATCGAGTTGAAATCTTAAAACTGTTTTATTTAAAACTCTCCGCCAAACAATTAACATAATCATAAAGCAAATCGAATATAACTCAGACAGACGAAATCTAGATAAATTGGACGCGATTAAAGATGAAGTTGAGTTCTGGTCATGCGATTGCATTGTGAAAGAAAAGGTTGATCATCTAGCATATAAAATGTGTGTGTATTGCAAGGTTCTGGAATCATCAAAATGATAAGAAATTGGGCCAAGTCTTGGTAAAGTTACAAACACTGTACACAGAATGATGTATATGGGACTACACGAACACGAATATGAAGGCATTTGAAGAGCCATGCTTTTCAGGGAACATGTCTTATCTGATGTTCTTCCATACTTGCATAATAAGAATGATAACGCTCACAAATTATTTTTCACCTCTTCCCAGAACTCAACTTTCTCATTAAGGGCCATATTCGCAAAGATATATTTCAAAAAGATAATTTGCTGTGATTGTCCAATAACGCCAACATATGTTATGAGATATCTCAAACAAACGTCAACTGATCGGATTTTATATAGCTTCAAATCATTTAGTAAAGGTTTGATATTCAATTTTGTATCACATCTTACGAAATATTCAAATTGTATAATATTAATAAAAGAACATTAGTTGATAATGCAATTGATACTTTAATGGTCTATTAATAAAGTAATTAATTGTGGCTGTTTTGCGAAATGTTTTACAGGGTAAAGATATACTAAGTGTATAATCGTAAGCATCATATGTACACAAGCAATAAGAGAAGAACATTAACATGAAGTTATAATACTAGATACTGCTAATGATAATGAGATAATCATCACAAATACTTAGCTAGCAATTCGGGGAATTAAAGATAAAGTTGGGTTCTGGTCATGCGATTGCATTGTGAAAGAAAAGGTGTCGAATGAATCAGAAAAGGTTGATCATGTAGCATGTAAGTATCGGTGTGTACTGCAAGGTTCTGGAGTCATCAAAATCATAATAAATTTGGCCCAGTCTTGGTAAATTTACAAACACTGTACACAGAAAGATGAATATGGGACTACACAAATGGTGTCGGGCCTACTTATCTTGATTTCCTTATCTTTTTATGCTCATTACTCAGCCAGTATACATTTTCTACCAAAATTGTTTGGCACATGACATTTATTTGTAATCTTGAACATTCAGTGTAAGTTTTGTTTGATTGTTTGAGAATTCTTTTTTTAAAAACCAGAACTCAAGTTTATCTTTAAGTAAAATATGACATAACTAAGACGAAAACATTATGTTCATGCATAATGTAACTTGCTTTTCATATCAAAAGCATTATGATAATACGGCCGGAAGGAATCAGTATAATCCTATTAAGCAAGGAGGTAGTGAAGAAGGGCTTCTATAAATTGTTTAAATATAAATGTTAATGCAAGAACCCCCAATCACCCCAAAGCGCCCCCTTCCTTATTTTTCTAGAACCCCTCCTGAGTTGGTGTCGGGTTGGCCCGAGTATACAATAAAAAGTGATATGTTAAAACAAAAATAAGACAAAGACAAAAGGAATGGAAGAGAGGAACAGATATTTGTGGAGAGGGGAATAAATATAAAGAAAAATAAATGAAGTAAAATCTATGTTTATAGAGTGTATATACTGACCTGATATCTACTACTTTAGGGCCCTTTTCTTGCTGACTATCAGGCTTGTGTGAGCTTGGAAGAGTTGGAACAGACATCCTGCGAGTGTTCTCATAATAATGTGAAGGGGGTCTGGCTGGGAGGGGAGGGGGTGACCCCTCTTCAGGGATTCTTTGCCTGTCTAGTTTGGGAGAATGGCTCTGATCCCGACGATGACGAAATACGTCCGGTACCTGTAGATCTAGAACGTGGAGGTAGACATTAGAATTGCCACATTGATACTGCTTATTACTGTAATGTTATTGATTAGCATTTGTGTCATGGGTAGTATACACTTTATATTTTTGTAAAGAGAGGGAGAGAGAGAAAGAAAGAGATAGAATTTATGGTAAGTTTGATTCTTACTTGGTTCTGAACCTCGACGACCTCTTCTCTTTTGTGGTAAGTTTGGAGGAGCATCGCACTCGTCATCGCCAGCGATGCTTGTTCGAATCACAGAATCATATACCATATGACTCGCCTCGGTATAGTCATACTTCTTCTTACATTCACCAGACGAGTCTAGGAGAACAGAGACAAAATTATACTTTAATGTTATTCCCGTTCTTATTGTCATTATATTGTTTGTTTTTTATTTATTATTAAGTGTCATTCACATAGTTTGAACTCAATATCAAGTGCAATTTCTTTTTAATTATTCATTGAGAAAATTGGACACGACACCAACATAATTAGAATTCGTTTGTCGGCTATTGTCACGCTCGACAATATCTGACATGAAAATGTTTCCTTGAGTCAGGAGATATCAATAGTTGAATTTACTGAACATCCAGAATATTCGCAGTTTTCACATTATTTTCAGGCATTTTCGTGGCAATTATCAATCAGAATACGATTAATATAATCAGCATGATTTGCACTAATATGCAATAATTGTACATTAGATGCTATACTTTCTGACATTCTATTCATGTGTTTGCACATTGACAATATTTTATTATCGTCTTGTCACTTTTTGAAATTTAATCAAAGAAAATATCATTCATGTGTAAAAGTAGAGAGTTTATTTAAATTTACATGTAACACTTTTTGAGTTGAACCTACCACTTCGTTCTACCTTCTTGTAGATAATCGACCTTGCGAGTTTTCGCCGTGCCTTCTGCCCAGATGATAACGGTGTGATGTGATCCTCATCATCGTCCTCCCCGTGGTCCTCCGTTTCATCCATCTCGAACACGATGTTATTCGGGATGAACGATGGTGATGGAGGGCAGCTACTGATGATGTCACTATTACGACTACCAGACGAATCTACTGACGATCGCGCGGAGGATGCATCCGAACTTCGACCGCTGTCCCTACTCGCCGTGCTATTGGTGTTCTGAAATGGAATAGTTAATAAAAAAGGGTTATCAGTTTGACAGGTTTGGAATATTTTCTCAGCTGGTGTTAACCACTTTATTTATCCTGACAGAATTCAAACAATCAAAGAAAAATCGCCCTAAGTTTTCGGAATGTGCCCACAAGAAAAGGATTTCGTTTTTTTTTATCAGTAATATAAAATTATACCTTATTTTATAAATAAACTACCATTATTATTGTAATTGCCATTTAAATCATTAGTATCATAATCATTATTATCATTATAGCTATTTTTGAATTCTTTTTTTTATTATGACTATTATTATTTTGATCCTTATTATTATTATTATTATTATTATTATTATTATTATTATTGATAAAATCATCATAAAAAAAAAAAACACTGCAGTTGACTTACAGGATTTTTAACACGAAGGACCACATCTTCTGAAGGTTTTCTGTCTTCATTCCTCGTCTCCATGTCTTTAGATACACGAGAAAAAGCTTTATACCAAGGTTTGATGTCTTGCCTATCGAGGAATCAAAATAAGAAATTCGAGAATAACATTCAATCATGCGACTCCAATACCTTGTAGAAAACTGAAGCAGTATGATATCAGGAAAAGAGTTGTGACTCGTATGTGAAAGAAAAACAGGGATGCAACTCAATTTTAGGAAGCCCTTCTCATTGGCCCCCTCTCCTCCACCACCACCACCATCACTACTACCACCTCTAGCTTCAATTCACAAGGGGTGTTTTGAAGGATCATCCAGTAAGTACCATTATCCTGCCCGTCAGAAATATATTGTAATAAGGTTTTTCGAAAGGAACGGATAACATACCTGATATTAAACAAAAAAGGATTTAACAAATGTTATGAAAAGCGAGAGAAACCTGAGAGTAATATTTTGGTGAAGGGATATTTGTTTGTAAAGGAGACCGCATAAAATAATCGTCAACTAATATCCTCCAACAACAACAAAATCACAATTGCTTGCTCGTCAGGATTGTTCTGTATAGATTTCTGATTGAATAATGATTTATTTCATAACGTTGTGCAGTGTTTAATGAAATCATTAGAAGACGCATAAGGCGGAAAGCTACATTGCCATTCCAAATATTTTACTTAAGCTTAATGTAATTGCTAAATGTCGCACTTACTCTTTCATTGTTTTGAAGTAATAGGGAATCTTGGAGTGTATGAGAATGATCACGTGATTTGTTTTTCGACCTATCTTCATGTCCATACAATGAACGTTGACCCTTGACGTCAGAATGTGAGATGGGATCCTACTAGAACCGAGAGATTTCTTTCTACCTCCAAACACATTGACGGAGCTCTTCCTCCTCCCTTTGAACGCCGCTTCGTTTGTAAAACCTTCCAGATTGTAAAGATGTTTTCCACGCTTCCAGAGAACGAAATAGACCTTGTTCCGTTTCTATTTTTAAGTTATAAACGAAATAAAGAGACAATTAGGCTGACATTACTAATAAATCCAATCAGTCAAAGGAATGTATGACAAATCCCTCAAAAATCAACCTTTGGAATCATAATATTCAAATCATTATCCTAAAGCTGAGGCAGTAATCTTTCTACATTCATCACTAATGTATTATTGAAGTCAGTAATAATTTATAGAAAATCTATGTGATAACTAAATCCCTAAATCCACAAAAATCAATTTGTTTTTAATTGTAACGAATGTTTACCTTTTTAACATCTAAAGTTGATTTCTACGACATGACTTTTAATCATCGATTTAAGAAATAGATATACTGTTGCCCATGAAGTTTCAATACATTTTAATTAATGATTGTGATAACATTTATTTATTCTTGATGAATAAAGTCCATATCTTCCAATAACTTTGTTGTTTTTTTATCTAAAGAGTCATAGCAATTGATTTGTAATGTTTTTAGAATTTAGAATTTACCCAGTAAAAATAAATCATTTTATCAGAATCATTTCATGAAAACTTTATTAGCAACAGTCTACTAAGCCAACTAGTCACTGGGTACTAAAATGGCTTTCAAGGATAGTACATCATCATTATCATCATAATCATCAACATCAAAATCATCATCATTATCTCTTCATCATCATCATCATTATCATCATCATCATTATCATCATCGTCATCATCATCATCATCATCTCTTCATCATTATCATCGGCGCCGTCGTCGTACATAGATCATCAATGAATGTTTTAATTCATGGGAACTTAAATGCGCGATGTTATACATTTTGGTGAAAAAAGGATAAACCTGATTTATTTAAAGAATGGAAAATTTGTTTTACTGTGGGAAAATCGTAAATGTACACACCTTTAAAATGAATAGCGGTTTCAATCTACATCAAAATAACAGAATTCCTGAAAAGGATCAAATTTCATCATAAAATAGTTCACATTTTGTCCCTAGAACGAATTAAGCGTGTGTTAAATAGGTACAGCATTGAACCGCGAGATTGAGGTGGCAATGTTAACCTCTACTGCCATGAATAGGTTGTAAGAGCTGCACCTGAACAAAGGTTCAATTATGCAGGTACCTTAATGCTTCTATTGTAGCGGTTTAGTGAGCAATTTTGAACCACTGACATGTGCCTGGTGTCATCAGACATACATGAAGTGATAAGTCATTGCAAAATGATGTAATTACATGGAGAGTACAAATATTCAGTCGAAAACTGTAATATACAGGCCAAGTCACAATACTTAAAAAAGGTAAAATGACAAATGTTCTATATCTGGTTTTCTTTGCATAAACCATCTCGTGTCATAAATTCAAACATTTTGGATCCATGAATCACACAAATCTTGTGGTTTAACTATTGTCTATGTGGTCAATAATTCGGCTAGTTCGTCATAGACCTACATCCATCTGTAACTCAGTCGTACTTGACTTTTTCCCTAAATTTCAGTATTTGTTTTGATGTAATGTCAAATGAAAAAGGGAATGCACTTTTATGAGTATCATTTTTATTCAAAATTAGTAATAGCAGCCAATTTTGTTCTTTTATTTAGACAATAACACTCACGGCAGCATGGCACCCAAATGTTGTTTATGTCGAGAATAAAATACATTGCAATAGAATAAGTTAATATTTTGTAAATATTGTAGCTATCAATTGTATTAATTCGAGAAGTTCGGACTAAATGTAAAGATACAATGAAATGACATCGAATCACATCAACAAATTAATTTACAAATAAACTGATACGTGGCCTTCATTATTAATATGGACTATACTATATCACAGCTGCACCAAATAGTTATTTGTTTTGTCGCAGGAGATGGGTTATAACGGAGTTAAATTTATCTTGCTGGAATACAGAAACCATTCAACGCGATATTTCAAGGTTCATGTTACCCTAATAAAGCTCATTGCTTTTAAAAATATACACCTGTCACATGCCAACTGTTGTATACTTTAAATACTTATAGCAGTGTGTAGTAATAATATTGCATCATTGTCCTGCACTATTATCCTTTTTTGGTTTCGTATGTACTTGATCTTAAATACATTTTTGTCATTAAATAGAAACCGAGATCTTTGTGTATCCGCTTCCAATTTGTGCGTTTATTAACTTTGTCATATTAAAAAAAAACTTTCCGGTCTGATTATTTTGCTTTATAAACAAAAGAATAAACATCTTGATATGAACTTGATAATCATAATTCATCAGCATCAGTGCAAATGGGCATCCGTTAAAGAAAGTTTATTACTCGGATGGGATGAATGATTTCCAAGAAGGACGGTTACGTTCGTAATAGGAATAATTCATCTCGCGCACACACACACAACATACAACACGCACGCACACAAACTCACACACACACACGCACACTCACACACACATACAAGCCCAACGCACAAACACACACACACATACACTCACGCACGCACGCACACACCCACACACGCACCTTCCCATAATACATAATAAACGGTCCAATTGGTCCTAGGACAATCAATTCAGCTAGAATAGTGGTGATTATTTTGGAAGAAGCATCATGATTCATATTGGAATAATCAACCGGATGGAAGTTGTCTGGAAAATTTGCCCGCGAGCTTTAGCTAATTTTTTTTCCTATACAGATCCATGTAATATTTTCCTTAAGAGGAAAGGCGTATTTGCTTGGCCTTCCAGATTGAATGCACCTCATGCTGGTATAGACATAATATATTCAAGCAAAGAAAGACATTTTATTGAATTGAGCTGAACTTTGATTCTTTGTCACCCTTTATCTTGTCACGCATAGGGTAAAGGCCAATATCGCACATTAGGGACTTGTATATTTGCGTGGACTGATACGTGTGACGTCCATTCAAGGCAGTGCTTTAAAAGGACGTCGATCGTAGCATAGACCTATTGTCTTCGTGCGAATCGAAAAGTCCCTAATGTCACGCTCACAACCGCGTCAGTCTATAATGCAGTTCTAGGCCTGAAAATAACGCCTCATTTGAAACGAGAATAAGGTTCTTAGCGCAAGAGACGTCAGACGGAGTACTACGTCAGTCTGTGACGCGCCTCATGACAGTGTTATCGTCCAAAGGGTATATGCAAAGTGAACAGTGTACAATCACTGCTTTTAATTGATGTACATATTTATTATAATTTATTTGGCAATTTTGTACGAGTCATACATGCAATATACAAAAAGTAAAAACATAATTATAACGGCTGCCTAGAAGAGAAAAGTAATTCAAGATTACTATGACCAGTAGGTATTCTCTCCCGACTAGGAGGAGCATTCTTGGGAGCTCTAAATTCATTGTGCTTGCAACAGAAATACATTGAAGTAATTAGCACATAGAACAGTGTATTGGACATTTGGTAGTATTTTCATTATTAGTGATAAAGCGACCCAGTATTAAAAAAAATGCAATTTGAACACTTTATAGTGAACATAAAAAAGAAAGCTAAACAATATAAACATAATTCTTGATGAAGTAATAACCAAGTGAAGCGATAAACACCAAGCCTCACAATAATAGTCAGAAATAGTGGCCCCGAAGACAAGGGGGGGGGGGGGCTAGTACCCTTTTTCCTACCTTGAAATCAACGGTGGATCCTCCATCGACATTCTTCTGCTCTCCTGTGATGAGATATCCCTCATGGATTTTTTCTTGAGCATCGTCCTCCATTGTCTCACGTTACACTCCTGCAGGAAAGGAATACACATAAATTAGCCATGAGTTTATTTATTTGGTTCATAAAAATATCTAGTAAACATTTACTTGAGATAAGTTGTAAAAGAGTCACTGTATTTTTTTCACGTAATAAAGATAATATATTTTTATTTTATAGCGCATTGAATACGAGAGTGATAATGATAATGATTATATAATAATAATAATAATTATACTAATTATAATAATGATAATAATAACAATAATACAAAATAATAAAAACAATGTGTTTTCCCGAGGAAGCCTCAGCAGCTTATTCGCTGTTTTACTAGGGGCCGTGCAATTATGAATTACCTCAACGATTGCCAGGTGCCTATTTGCAACAGGATAAATGGTTTGCCAAAGGACGTTTTGGATTCGAACCCTTAGGCAAAGTCAATGAATAAGTTTACTGTGAAACATCCTGCGGTATGCGATTCTTTTTTTCCTTCCCGCTGGAGGTTGAATAAAATTCACCTAAAATCCCTCATAAATCGCATGTTTGAAGTAACTTATTCGTTATTACAAAGTTGAAGCACATTTGAGGGTGTGTGTGTGTGTGTGTGTGTGTGTGGATGTGGATGTGTGGGTGGGTGGGTGCGTGTGAGAGAGAGAGAGAGAAATGGAGAAAGAGAAAGAGAGAAGGAGAGAGAGAAAATTTCATAACAAAGAGCGGTTGAAAGGGTATTTCCCCTGCGTTCCCTCCTTATGATATTTCATTCAAATTTAATTAACTCGTTTCATTCTCATACATAGTACACATTCTTTGGTGAAATTATTTGTCATTTCATTGAAGAAAAAAATATTGTGTTGAATAAAATCCTGCAACTTCCGTTTTGGAAATATAAACTGGTAAATAAGTTACAAGAAATCGTGTAATATTACTATATCACACTGTTGATTGTTGATACGTTATGGATTTAAGGACAAAATAGCATATCATTATTTTCATATAGTTTGAGAGTATTGATAGACGCACCCGTCGCCTGGTTTGCTTCGTATTATAATGCAGCTTAGAGACATAAAGAATGACAACATACCTACAATATGTCGTTATTTGCCACCCTCCCCGTCTAGCAAACACCTGCGGAGGGGTAGGATTAGGAGTAGGAGTAGGGTTAATGTCTTGATCTCTAAGTTCCGTGAATTGAGGGGGGGGGGCATGGTCACCGTTAGCTCGTTAGCTACATATATGTCTATATATATTACCCGACTAAGAGCGAGTTCCATTAACAACTTCATAGTGATCATAGATTACCGTATCATTAAGTTATGCTATAATGATTGATATCCATGCTTAGATCCTTATTATTTTGTTTGCATTATTTGAACTTTCAGTCCATTTCATATTCATTCATCAAAATAATAGGATGAAATATAATCACAGCTTTCTTTTCATACCCAATTTATTATAAAATTGATCATATGACATGAAATCGAGTAATTTGCACTAGGTTTTACCAGAAACAACAATTATCAAACGCAGAAAAAGAGATATATAATGATTTCAACTAACAAAGAAACAAAAATCAAGATTTGTGTCTCGCAGATTAAACAAAAAATGAAAATTACATAACCTTTTAGTGGCGATTCAGTACTGAACTATCTTATTTTTACAAATACAAAAGTTGAAGATACTTTCACAATCACGATCGATCTTAAAGGCTTTCAAGAAATCAACTCAAGGGCAATTTCAAAACCCCATTGCACTGCGTGAAGGATTCATGTTTGTAACATAATTACGTCTTGGTAATCACTATGAATATGACGAACAAAGAAAGAGGACAAAATATACAGTTCCCCATTCTACCCTCAACAATTGCTGTGGTAGACAAAGGAACATCCCTTCACTGCTACTATGTAAAATGTGTTGAAAAGGTGAATATGCATGTGACACCTGTTCTACACATTTTTACATAATAGCAGTGAAGGGATGTTCCTTTGTCTACCACAGCCATTGTTGAGGGTACAATGAGGAACTGTATATTTTGTCCTCTTTCTTTGTCCGTCATATTCATAGTGAATGCTCGCACAATACAAAAGGTGAGGCGCAAGGCTTTTGAAATCTCCTGACTTTAATGTCTTTTAAAGGCTTTGCAAAGGTGGTCATCTTAAATGACTGAATGAGTCGTATGTTTATCCACGTGATGATAATATGTTTCTCGTACTTGTTTAAATATAAAGACCATATATATATGTATATATATATATATATATATATATATATATATATATATATATATATATATATATATATATTGTATCCGGACACCTACCCTCTGGACATCCACTCCTAGATAACCACCCCTAGTCAACTACCCTCTAGGATAACCACCCCCTAGGACAACCACCCCTAGGGCAACCACCCTCTAGGACGACTACCCCCAGGACAACTCCCCCGGACAACTACCCCAGACAACTACCCCTAGGAAAACTACCCCCTAGGACAGGTGTCCGGGGGTAGCTTTCCTAGGGGATATTTTTCTGGAGGTGGTTGTCCGGGGGTAGTCGTCCTAGAGGGTGGTTGCTTTAGGGGATAGTTATCGTAGGGGGTGGTTGTCCTAGGGGATAGTCGACTGGGGTGGTTATCCGGGGTGGATGTCCAGGGGGTAGGTTGCCTAGAACCACATTCAAATCAATTCAATTCATTCATTTTTTTATTAAATTAATTAATTAAATTAAATAAATTAATTATTTCCACAAAATTCATCAAAAACACAGTATAATGTGTGCAACAATGCAGACAAAATCGAAATATTACAATAGAAACCAAAAAAAGCGTGTGCTAAAGATGTCGAAATATATAAATAGATATCGATTAACAACTAGATCAATGGATGATTCATTAACCAATGTTTCTATCTGGTATTGGTTATGTCCCACTATTAAGCCCCACTCAATATATATATATATGTTAACATTTATTTTACAATCATTTTCTTTGATCTTGATTCAGGAACAGCTATATAATAGCATTTTGTGCATTTAGGGGGGGGGGGGTAAATAAAGTTGACCTGTGACCAAATAACCTGGGCCACTATCCCCAAACCACAACCTGAAACCCCCTGCTGCTTTCTTCCACAGGTATTTAACCCCAGACCACTATTCCACAAAACAGCCCGGACAACTAACCCTTCAAGACTGCCCTCGGACCACTACTACCGGACAACTATCCCAAACAAACAGCTCAGAGGTGGCTCATCAGACGACTATCCCCAGATACATGTAACCCGGATAATTTCCACTGCGAGCATGCGCCTGTCTACGCAACTGTCTAGGAAAATATCAAATATCACCAATACAATTTGTTTTCATCATGGTTGTGATTAGAAAGAATAGATCGAGTGACCCTAGTAGAACTAAATGCTTCAGTGCGCCATATTCAGGAAACTATTTATGCTTCATAAGTTTTAATGAGGATTAAAACTGTGTATTTATCTTGCAAATCATTTTTAAAAAAAATATATATTATCGTAAAGAGTATGGAGATTATCGTTTGTTTGTATTTTCTATATTTTCTTTTCTATCATCATTTTCATTCTCATTACTATTTTCGTCTTTATCATCATCTTCATCATCACCATCATCATCAATATTATCATCAGCATCAACGTGAGCATGATTATCGTCATGATGGTTACAGTATCGTGGAATTGACTTATCATCTTGCTGCTGGGAAGATGAAGAAAGAATAGATTATCTGGATCAGTTTTATCATCCAGCTCCGATCATCGGGAGTGCTTACTATTTTACATAAATGTATTTGTATAAGCCAGCCCCCAAAACAACTGGAAAACATGCTACACCAAAATATATAAATTGCTATGCCACTCCTGCTTTCTCTCCCCCCCCCCTGTCTCTCTCTTACTATTTTACATAAAAGTATTTATATAAGCCAGCCCCAAAACAAATGGGGAAAACATGCTACATCCTTCCGTATCTGAATTAATTACTGTATACTCTATGTTGAAATAATTGTTACATATATCATGTATATATACATTGTGTTTTATATTGTGCTGTTGAGAAGGAAATAAATGTTAATAAATACAAATACAAATACAATAACGTGCTATGCCATTCCTGCTCTTCTCTCTCTCTCTCTCTCCCTCTCTCTCTCGCTCTCTCTCTCTTTGTCTCTATCTCGCCCTCTCTCCCTACATCCACCCTGTATATGTGCAAGACTTACGACATATGTGTATGACGTGTATTCCTTTTTAATATAATTGATTCTTATCACAGCGCCCGTAAATGAGATTCATCTCTAACAAATCAAGTAAAATTATTCAGTCAAATTCCTTTGTTAGCTTACCTCTATTTGCGCGACAGAGATGACCTAAAAGGCCCTTAAATCCTCTTCTTCGTCAAGTAAAAAGCTGAAATGAATGTCCACACAAACCAAGAATATGGAAGAACGTCAAATGTAGAAATCTGAACTCAACATTGACCCTCGTGATAGTAAAGTGCTGTTGAAACAAGAGCTCCCCTATATTGATTGTAGTGGATAGTTTGTAGTGGGAGCGATGCTTGTCTTTCGGTTGTTACTCCGAACCTGATTGTGAACGAAATGAAAGCAATTCTCCCTCGAATGAGGAAGTTTGACGAAGCATCCAGCTGAATTATTTTGCGAAATTAATATATTTTGTGTTTACTCGTTCTTGTTCACTGCTCTCGTTCAATAACTCATGTTTGCTCACACAGCGTAGGTGGGCGGTTGTGATGGAAATATTAAAGGGCATTTACCTAGCTCTACAGTTTCCTAATCAGTAATATTGTCCGTAAAGTTGGTATGAGTTTTGTTTAACCTCTTTTTATGAAATGATTGCGATAAAAATAATGTATACTCAGGCGCGCCGGAAGCAGTTTGGGATTGGGGTGGCAAACATTCCAGGGGGCTCACCTTCCAGGGGCAGTGATGTAATGAGCCAAAAAGTTTGGAGGGGGGGGGGGCAGAAGAAAAATCTGCATCACCACCTCTCTTACAGGTTACATGCAGGCCCTGCGGAACGTTTTTCAAAGTGGAATATTAACGATCAGGTAGAGCGTAAATTGGCTTGGGGTCCAGGGCCTGAGCCTCGGCAGGGGGTCAAGGGGCTGAGCCCCCGGAAGCTCACGGTTTTTAGGCATTAAATTACGGTCAGATAAGCATATTAAGATACCTTATTTGTGACGCTGGCAGGTCACTAATTGGCGGAGAGTCCAAGGAGCAGAGCCCCGGTAAGCTCAGGGGTATTAGGTATTTAATTACGGTCAAATGAGCATCCAGGGGCCCGCCTTAGGGCCCTTGGTGGGGTCCAGGGGGCAGAGCCCCGGAAGCTCAGGGATTTTAGGTATTCAATTACGGTCAGATGAGCATCCAGGGGCCCACCTTAGGCCCTTGGTGGGGTCCAGGGGGCAGAGCCCCCGGAAGCCTGGGGGTTTTAGGTATTTAATTACGGTCAGAGGAGCATCCAGGGGACCGCGTTAGGGCCCTTGGTGGGGTCCAGGGAGCAGTGCCCCGGAAGCTCGGGTTTTTTAGGTATTATGGTCAGATGAGCATCCAGGGGACCGCCTTAGGGCCCTTGGTGGAGTCCGGGGGCGGAGCCCCTGTAAGCTCTGGGGTTTCAAGTTTTAATTACGGTCAGATGAGCATATTTTGATGCTTCATTTGTGACATTGACAGGTCACTTAATTTTTCTCCCTCTCTTTCTTTCTTTTTCTCTGTAACATACTTTTTCAAAAAGTGAGAGGGCTCGAGCCCCCGAGCCCAGCGGTTTTGCATATTTTTCGCCCGACTGTAAATTTGGGAATTTTTTGGAATTTCTAATTTTCGAACAAATGCATAAAAAGGTATGACTTACACAAAAATTGAGAAAAAATACTGGAAATTCATGTCATTTCAGCAACATTTATAAATCACTGGAATCGAATAAGAAATACCCCCCCCCCCCCATCAGTACGCCAGCGTTCAGGGGCTCATGTCTTCTCACCCCTATAACAAAAAACAGACACGCTCAGTTTCCCATTCTCTCACTAGATATCCACGATATGCGCGTATCGCTATTATAAAAACCTCCATTGATAAATATAGGTGGCATGCGCAATTTATAGGAAATTTAATTCCTGTTAACCTTCCTTTTTTTTAATGGAATTTTATATGTTAACCTTCCTTTTTTTAATGGAATTTTATATGTGATTTAATTCTGGTTTTTATTATTGTTCTGTACTTTTGGGTTAAAAATACAACCATCTTTACTCCTTTACTGCTTTTTTTTTTTTTGGAGGGGGCAAAAATGCGTTTTGCCCCCCCCCCCCACTTTTTTGACTGGGGGGGGGGGGGGGCAACTGCCCCCCCCCTGCCACCCCACTCCGGCGCCTATGTGTATACTTGATACTTTAGTTTATATCTTCTCGGAACATTACTGATCAATCGCTGCGAGTATACTTTTTTTGGTGGACAGTTGCTAAAATCGATTTTGATTTATCATTATTGATTTACCAAATTTCTTTATTGCTTGCAGCGAGGAGCCATTGCGATCCTTCAACTCGGTGATTGCTGTAGCAACCATCTCGGCAGCAATCTTTAAAATAAAGTGGTTATACAAAGAAGAACATCCCTTCGAAAAGAGGAGACAAGAAGGAGAGAAGATTAGGAAGAAGTACCCCGATAGAGTACCGGTAAGAAAGAAAAAAAACTGATGAACACGTCCCACTGGAAACTGGAGCCATGCACGGGATGAGCGCGTCTTTGCCTTGGTGCGGGCCTTTAAGCTAGACAAATATTAAGCTAGACAAATATTCCAACTTTATGTGCAACAGTGTATACTGTTTAAGAAAGGAAAAGGAAAAGAATAAGTCTTTAATCGCATTATGATCTAAATAAGCTTAACGAGGCCTGCTCATTAAAGAATTGTATAGTATCTACTGACATCCTGAGTCGACATGTATCCTGCGGATCACCTTAACGACACTTGGCAACAATTACCTCTGGAAAACTTCAACCAGATAAATAGAGATAGCTGCCTAAAACATTCTCTTAGAGAGGAACATGTCATGTTTAAAGTTACCATCTACATCTCTATTTTATCTTAGTATCAAGCTCTTTCTTTTTCTTTTTTGCTGCCTACACCTGGTGCCGACTGCACAATCCTGTATAAGCTATAGCTGTATTTAGCGAATACAATGTGAACATCAGGTTTAAATTTATAAATACAATGTTCAGTGCTTTCCCAGCCACAACTAAGAGAATCTTAAATAAAGCGAAAGGCAAACATACATTTAAATGTTTCTTTTGTTTTGCTTTCATGATATTTGCTTCAACATACCTTTCGCCTCGTTTCGCAGTGTACATGTATATCAGACGCATAACAATAAAGGCAAATGCAAGTCTATACATGATACATAGCAAATATTGAGTCATACGGAAAGTAATATGAAAACGATAGTTTTTGGGTGAAATATTCAATATTTTTGACCGCCTAATATAGAATGGATGTGAATGAAACTTTTGGTTTGATATTTTGGTTTACTTCAACATTATCTGTGTGTACTTTGCCAACTATAATTATATAAAAAGCAGGATCTAGTTCATGGAGCTATAATGTTTACACGGCGGTTAGATATTTGTTTGTACCTTAATTTAATATTTGTTTGTACTTTTAATTTCCTGAATATTATGTCCCCTAAATAATGATTATGGCTAAATATATCTGTATGAATTGATGATGATGTATATTAAATGATGTAATATCTTTAAAATAAAGTATGCTTGTATTCTGACATCGTAATTACAGTCATTGAATGGTTGAGGGCAAAGAAAGCATAACATGAAAAACTGTCACTCCACCAAGATGATTGTTGTTCTCCGTAGAGATATCGATGTTACATACACTTTAAATATTTTATAATTTTGCCTATGGGATATTATAACTGGTTTACTAGTTTGGTGAATAAACATTAGTATAAAAAAAGATCATCTGACTAATATAGCCTAAAAAATTATTCGTTTTTCTCTAAACAGATAATATTGCAAGGTGTATATTCGCTAAACGTGAACTATGAACTATAAGTTTGCGATGAATCCAAGACCTTATTAAACATATCCTATTTACTCGTGCAGTGTGCTAACTTCTATCATTTTAATTTTCTACGCATGCAGCCGCGATCCAATATAGTGAGATCTCCAAAAAGTCCTAGTTTGTGTTTACCTTGTGAATTATGGGCATTCTTTTCTTCTTCTCGAAGTTCATATTTGAACTGTACAGTCAGAAGAAGGGGGGGGGGGGGGGTAGCAAATAATTTCCCGACAGACTTTCATCACAATGGTTATGTGAGGAAGTATTGCAGATTAATCATGACTAGGTAAATACAGATCACAGAACCGCTGAATTCAAAAGAGAAGGTATTTTTGTGTATTCTATTGCAAGTTTTACAATATTCTGACAAGAAAATCTCTTAATCCGCCATTGGTACGTTTTTTTAAACATGTTGAAACCACTAAGGCTATGATTAAATAATAAATTGATTCGTCATCGCATGGTAGGTAAACAGTGAAAACATATTTATTCATTTATTTAATATCATCATAAAGCAACCGTTAACCTACAGGGGGCGTGGAGTGCCTCTCTAACGACTCTTGCGCGAGTATCATGTTTTCGTGTAAGGTTCGCCGTTTCTTGTCTTCTTCTCTCCCCATCTCATTTTCATTTTATTTCTGTCTCTCTCTCTATGTCTGTCTGTCTCTCTGTCTCTCTCTCTCTCTGTCTATGTCTCTCTCCATGTTTCTCTCTTTCTCTCTCTCTTTCTCTCTCTCTCTTTCTCTCCCTCTCTTTCTCTCTCTCTCCCCCCTCTCTCTCTCTCCTCTCTTTCCTTGCTCCCCCTCCCTCTCTTTCTCTCTCTTTCTCTCTCTTTCTCTCCCTCTCTTTCTCTTTCTCTCCCCCTCTCTCTCTCTCCTCTCTTTCCTTGCTCCCCCTCTCTCTCTTTCTCTCTCTTTCTCTCTCTCTTTCTCTCCCTCCTCCTCTTTCTCTCTCTCTCTTTCCTTTCCCCCTCTCTCTCTCTCTCTCTCTGTCAACCACGTTCATGTTCATGAAATAATGGTAGTTTGCAGAGTCTAATATTATATTCTTTTTATTCGTGCAGTATGCTAACTTAAATATATCGCTTTAATCGCTACGCATGCTAATGTGCTCTGTGAAATACAATGAGATCTCCTCGAATTCTAGTCTATGTTTACCTTGTGAATTATTGGCATTTCTTTTGAAGTTCATGTTTGTACAGTAGAGTCTCTCCCTCCTCTCAGCCACGTTCATGTGCATGACAATGGTATAGTGTTAAGAGTCAACAGACCCCAAAGAGAGCATAAACTGGCACGGCAGAAAATTTTGAAGTATGTTTACCGTGACGTCATTGTCTAATTGGGGATTTCCCCTGTATTTTCCTATCGTCATTTGTTGCCCGATTCAGCGGTTTTCTTGCATACATTTTTGTGGGATTACATTATTATAAGCTCTCAAGCGCCCCCGAACAATAGATGGTTCTGTAACGGTTTAATAATTAGTGCAAATCTATTTCTTTTTGAAACTGTTTTCATCAAAACTACACACCTTCCTCTAATCGCAAAAATTGACACGCATAATCATCGGAAGGCTAAGCAATAGTATCATGATCTATAGGAATAGAGGTGAAGAGTATGTTGATATATTTTTCACTTTCAAACATTAATGATTCCACATATTCCGAAACAATTGATCCGGGCTTTTATTTAAGAAAGATTTAGGGTTATGGTTAAGCTGTTTCAAGTTGGTTTTGTTTTCCGTTTCTTTTTTCTTGGCGGCGTGGGGGAGGGGGGGGGGTGGGTGATGTCCGTCCATACATTCGGCTCTCTGTTACATGAATTAAGTAAGAATAATAACGGGATCAAGGTATTTAAATTTAAACTACATATCAGTGCTAAATCCTTCGTCATGCAAGCAGCAGCTGTAGCTCCAGTCCCCATCCACATCCCCCCAAAAAAATCGCGAAGCACATGCAAGCAATTATCGCAATATCCCCCAAAGCCCTCGTCAACACCCCCCTAAAAAAAGTATTTTCTAGAATCACTCCTGAAAAGATGAAATTGTTATTAGACATTGACGTAACAATAGTATGTGGTTCTCTCCCAGGTCAGCATTTGACCAGTGCGTGTATTGTTAAACCTTATGTAAACTGTTGGGGTGGCATTACACGTGGAGACACCTGGCAAAGCAAAGAAAGAGTTAAAATCAACCAAAGCAAGGATACAAGGACTTCAACGAGATATGAAATCAAATCTGGCACAATTCAATCCCTGGATCCGCATTCAGAGACCTATGCAGAGATTACCTTTTCATGCTCTCTCGCTCCCCCATATAGCAAATTGATATCATCTTACTGCTTACTACATAATCACTATAGGCATATAGCCCTACCTCATCATCTATAACATAATAATGATAATGATAACAACAGGCATTTATATAGCGCCGTGTATCTAGACACTCCTATTTCGAGGCGCACAAATTAATTATTACCCTGGCTTGAATAATAATATTATTCCGCTTTTATTTAGCGCTTAATACAATGTCTTTAAGCGCTTTACAGATATACAAATACCCCGGTTATTGCATAGCCTAGCTACCATTGCAACGTTCTAGCATTCCAAGGAATTAATTCCTGCCAGGTACCCATATACCTCACCTGGGTCGAGTGTGGCAAATGTAGATTAATGCCTTGCCAAAAGACATTAGTGCTGTGCCTAGGATCGAACCAAGACCTTCGCATTTCAAGTCAGGAGCTTAAACCACTCTGAATTGTTCATGAGAGATTCATTCATTTCTAGTTTTAGTTTGAAGATAAGTTTGAATTTACCGGTACAATTAGCCCTTTCTTATCCCTGTGAATAGTTTGATATAGTTTTAAAACTTAATTGTTAAATGATCACCCTTCCAAACACTGACCAGTTAAAGCATTTTTTAAATGGAATTTTTGACACTTTTCTCATGCTGGATGCATCATTTATAGTAATGGATTCACCAATGTAAAGTGTAATGTAGAGCATTAAAAATACCACTATCCCTCCTCAGCCCTTTTGAATGGTGATTTAGCAAGCAAATATATTTTTGTTTACGTCTATGATCATTGCACAAACGGATGACATGCTTTGGACTAAATGGGAATTTTGGCTACCGTCAGTACAGCATCATGTAACCTAAAAAGACTTTAACTTTAGAGCAAACAGAAATGAAGGAAACGGAAAATCCCCTTACTCAACCTTGTGAACCCTGGATTTCACAACTAATAGATTTATTATTATTTCAAGGGGGAAGACTAAAACTTTGTAAGGCTGCAAATATTTGGGTATTTGGGGGAAATTCCCCATTACGTCACGTTAAGCAGCGTAAAGTGCGCATAGACTACTTCAAGTCGCTTCGGATATAGGTCAAAACGTAATTCTATACATCTCATTGATTGTGTTTTATCATCGCATTCATCTCAATCGTAGATATAGATTTTAATATGCAGTAAGGGGGAGGCGTTGACAAAATTGAAAAGCAATCGATTTTCTGATATCACTGCACTTGGTGAATCAGTTATGAAGAAGACATACAACATTAGAAGCCGAAGTAATCATTGAAACGACTTGATATAATACTACTCCGTGGGGGGCCAGAGGTCGATCAATAAGCTCCTCCCCCTTGACGTAATTTGAATGCGACTTGGCGATGTTTGTATAAAGTATAGCTGAATAGGTTTCGACAATGAATGAATCAAACTAATATACTCAGTCTCACAATATACTCAATCACCTGTTCCAAGCTCCAGTTGTCGGTTCGCTCTGGTAATTTTTGCATGCTGTTATCTTGTGAGTTTGGTTTGAATACTACATAGGCCTATTACTGTAACGAGCATCATACATCTAATTTTTCGTAACGCAGCTCTGTTTGAAACGCATTTAAAATCTCTTCTATTTACCTCAACTAAGTCCTCAAGCCTTCTGTTTATCGCACTAGCATCCAAAAAAAGGTAAGACATTATAGACATCTTGCCATGTTTCTCATTTGCTTATCCTATGTTATGTGTTAGTAATGCATTCTAAAATATAATGGAAGTCGATCTCATACAAACGTCGTTGTTTTTTACGTCTGTTGTTACGTTTACCAGTGCAATGTACTAAGACAATTTAGTTTCATTAGTTTCTTGCCATCTAAATTGATATGGACATTGCACTTTAGTTCAGTATTGTTATTCTTGCATTATCATCCTCCATCCTTGTAAAAGAATGTTTCGATTTTAAAGCTTCTGGTTAATCGAGATTTCGTTGAGAGTTATTGGTTCAATAATGATAGACAGATGAAAAGGCAGAGTGCTAAATACACTTTAAGAGAAGATTAATTCATTGAAATGATGCCAATCTGATGTAAATAATGGCATCTTGAATAATAAGTCTAAATTGTGCTAAAGTTTTATCATTTTCCTAATTTATTGTTTTCTCCATTACAAAAATGGTTTATGATCAATTGATATAGACAGTGATAATATGCGAGATTAAGAAAAGAGAGAGAGAGAGAGAAAATCGTTTATGTTTGCTACTTTGTCTGCCTTTGCAATAATAAGCATTACATCGAGTCAGTCATTTAATGACATTTTAAGACCGATTAAGGTCTTGTGTACGAACAAACATTCGTATCAGTCATTTGTTTCCTTACTTCGAGGACCACATGTAAGGTCAAGACCACACTCGGTCAGTCCGTGTGACCATCATGCAGGCGCGGATCCAGGATTTCTTAGGGGAGGGGGCCCAACTTTTTTTTTTTGGTCCTCGAAAATTTTTCAATTTGCACCCCCTAAAAAGGTAAAAATCACGTGAATTTACATGATTTTTTTCTCAAGGGGGGGGGGGGGCCCGGGCCCCCGGCCCCTCCCCCCCTGGATCCGCCACTGCCATCATGTTCATGTCCACTCGACGTCAATGTCAGTGTTTTTGATAACAAAGTTTTCAATGACCGTGCCATTGTCGAGATTAACGTCAGTCAATAAGAGCAAGGCTCCTACAAGGCCAAACAGACCCTGCCATCCATTGAAACAATTTAAAGTATTTGTTTTCATATTGTTGTATTAGTATACACTGATGGTGACGCTTTCGAGAAGAACAAGATATATATTTGATATAGATAGATTATCTGGTTTTATTTTAAATATATATTACTTGTACGAAGTTTTCTCGAGTAAGTCCATTCCATATTCATTCTATGCCAATTCTTCTCAAACTTCTTTTTGCTTTATCGAAGTCGTTATTTTCGTTCTCTATGATTGCTTTTCCTTGTTTTGAATTCGTTTTTCGTATGTTTCGTCATATATGATTCGTTTAGTTCTTTGTTTGTTTACTACCCTTTGTTTTATCTATACACAATTTTTTTCTTCATTTTCGTATGATAATAGCTTTGTTATCATGAAGCTAGAAAATCAATACGAAGTCGATCAAATACATGTCCTAGATGGAAAACTGCAATACGCATCACTTGAAAAGACCTTGAATAGTTTCGACTTGTATTGGTTTCCGAAGCATGCATTTAGGAATATTGAACATGGACAAATACAAATAACTTGCATGGCCGCACATGACATTTAACCAGTTTTTCATGGTTGAAGTTTGCTTTCTTTGGTATTACATCACCTGTAGCCACAACTAATATCAGGAAATTGGGTTTTCACCCCACTATGATTTCGACATGCATATTCACTCGTGCGCATCTATCTATCAATAATAAGTCATTTAAGGTTATATTTCAAAACACGATTTATGTTCAGATGGGGGAGGGGGTAATACCATAATCATTTAAAAACCGGAATTCGTGAGTTTTTGGCAGCGAAGTACGCGCATACATGTAAATCTACCTGTTATTACTGTACCGATGAATACCTTGTCCACTATTTGTGTTAGTAGTGATTGGGTAGACCCTATAGTGCCTTGATTAAACTTCACCAACTAATGTGAAAATAATAATAATAAAACGGTACTTATAAAGCGATTTCCACCGAAGTCTCTAAGCGCTATAACAATCAAAATACAATGATAAACAATTACATATTGAACAAAACAAAAAATTACAAACAAACCTACAAATTGCAATGCATATGAAATTTTACATCAATGTGAACAGAGTAAGTTAATCATTTAAAGCAATTTTTAATAAATGTGTCTTAAAGCTTATCTGACGTAGTTTACAGGAGGGATTAGACAGCCCTGCAAGGTCACTGGACAGGTGGTTATCTCATCAACTCAGCTCTCAGTTAACATAAGAAAAAGAGGATTATGGGGGACCAATGGTCACCGATTAGGCATTGTTTGTTATATAGAGGGCGCAAGTAGCTACAAGTAGTGCAGTGGGCCTTTAAGACAAGTTTTGTATTTCTTGACAGTTTGACAATTCTTGACATTTAAATGTAATTTGTTACAAAGTACAGCAGAAGCTATGCACAAAGAGCGATGACAACATGTCCAAATTGAATAAACTGAATTTAAACTTTATGTCGACCACAAATATACCCAGTATGTTTTTTTAAACTAATAACTAATAACAATAATACTTATTCAGGAGTTTGCAGCATATATAAATATAATTTATATGCAATGTTCGAATATGAATTCAATTGTACCCCTTCAAGCCATTGAACATGTATAAAGTTCGACACAATTTCTTACATGCTGATCTAGAATAAATATGTAATACGCTGCTAGATATTTAGTGTTTGCCATTTGATTTGAATTTGTTGTAAGAGGTATATTCACATGATAGTATAATCTTTGAAGAGGATTTACGAACAATATAATATCTCATTATATTATCTAACGGTGTTTTCTCCTTGCATTCATCTCTCCGATCGCTCTCCCCTTTCTTGCCGTTCGATGGGGACACGTGTCCCCTTGCCGCCCCCGTAGCTAAGCCACTGCACAGTTAGTTGTGTCTTCTGATGTATAGAAACATTTAAAGCAATTAATTTATTGAAATTGTTCAAGGTTGCCAGAGTACAAGATATGGTGATATTAATTAGAATCATGTAATGAACCGGAAGTAAGGTTATAGCATTTGTGTGACAACAACCAGCTTCTGAATCGACCGGGATCGAAACTTACGTTATAATTAAGTCGAGTCTGTTTCTATGAATAAATCCAAACCATGCGATAGTGAAAATAATTAAGATAATCATAAAGCTATCAAATAGGATTGATCGCTTTGGTTTCAATGACGTATAGTTACTTTGTGATTTTAATATAAATCAAAGATTTGTTTAGAATTATCGCCTCTATCTTTAGCTCCAATACCTCTTCCTTTTTACATGCATTTACCAAGAAGAAAAAAACGTTGATGCCAAAATGGAACAGAGATAGGAGGCGAGAGAAGGTGAGAAAAAGAAGGAGAGGTAAGGACCAGGAATATGAGAGAAAAACAGGGATGATGGCAGCCAATGTCCAATTGGCAAGACATTAATCTACATTTGCCACTCTCCACCCAGGTGTTAAATGGGTACCCGATAGGACATGTAGGAACATATTCCTTGAATGCTTCCGCGCCTAACCATGGCGACTCGGCTACAGTCCGGGTACTAACTTAATACGTATCGTAGTAGAGTATATTCATCGTACAGAGAGTGTGTCAGCGAATAAAGTATATGGGCGAATAGGAGGATGAAAGAGGGAGTGGGGAAGAGAGAGAGAGAGAGAGAGAGAGAGAGAGAGATGGGAATGAGAGAGAGAGAGAGAGAGAGATGGGAATGAGAGAGAGAGAGTGAGAGTAATGTATATAATATAGAGAGAGTGTGTGAGTGTGTGTGTGTGTAAGAGAAAGAGGGATAGAGAGAGAGAGAGAGAGAGAGAGAGAGAAAATGAGTTTGTGAGATAGAAACAGAGAGTAAGAGAGAGTCCTTAGTTAAATTGATGTCAAGTACAACCACAACCATTACATTTCACGAACTTGTTTATTTATTTATTTCTAATTTATTCAGTCTTCTTAAAAAAACACAGGGTAGCCCTATTTCAGTGCCACAAGGTCTGCTTTACAGGGAGGGGGGGGGGGGGAAGCCTCAGGTGGATATTACAATGTATAAAGTTAAACATGACATACAAAAACATAGATACATACATAAAAATCCATGGCAATTAAAGCATAAAGGTACATCAGAGGTATGACAAATTTAGATAAAACTTTGTAATATAATTTCAAATAGAATCAGTTGGCTTTAGTTATTGCGATATCACATTATAGACTGGTGTTGCCGTCTAGGCGGTTTTTAAATATATGTAATGTGGGTGATATTTAAACATACAATGTAAGTGAATTAAAAAGTTTGCTTGCAGTATAGAAGGATTATTTTTTACAATCAGTTCTTGGTTTCGGTAGGTATATACTTAGCAAGCAATGGTATATCGAGTATAACAGGCAATATTACGTTTATAGAGGTATTATGGGGCAACGTTGTTCAGTATACATGTAGCTTGTGCACCATAACAAACTAATGAAAGTTTATTCTTTGTTCAATTGACTGCCATTTAAGTGAGTGAAATAGTCCTAATTATGGCAGTCTGCATTCAAAACTATTCGAGCGTATTTATTACTGCATCTTTGTATCCTCGACATATCCTTTTTGTTAAAGATCCCAATTCTCCATTTTAAAAGCAGTATTCACCTACTCAGTTACTAGTTATCTTATTGGCGTCTCGTATGTATTTATCCCCACCATGTTTCTGCTTATCTGTAATGGTATGATAAACGTGAAAATATTTCACATAAAAACAAACAGTCTAATCGGTCCACCTTGGCATCATTATGAGTGATATCAGAATGCGGAACAATAGTTGCCTGTTTACATTATAGTTTAAATACTATTTGTATTGTAAACGTAGGTTTTAGGGACCTTAAGCCTCGGGGTCGGGTCAATAAAACCACATCAATATGACTATCTGACTATTTTTCATGGTTCAGCTTCCTCTTTCAACCATACTCGGCGGCGCTGCCTGCCTGCCCCCTGTGATTGTCATTCTGCTCACTAGCGTTCGGTTTCATCACACGCAGATCAGACCAGCTCTAGAACACCATCCGATATATACCTTAACTCAACATCAGCCCGCCAGCACTCAGGCGATCAGACCAAGGAGTTGATAGGGACTAACCTTGTGATTGTTATTATTCTCACTAGCGTTCTGTTCTATCACACACAGGTCAGCCTAGCTCCAAGCACTTCGATTCCTTGACTGAACATCAGCCCGGATTGGCGCGACCATGCCAGTAGAGACAACCATGGAGCCTGGTAGTATTCAACACAGCGGCTATCTCACACCAGGAGATGAAATCAATGTACAAGGAGGATTTACAGTTCATTTTCAGGTAAACATATATTTTCTTATGATCATTATTGATATGATGCAAAATTGAAAAACACGTAACTCATGGATCGCATTGGCACAGCAAAGAAGACATACCAACCCAGGACAAAAGCGAATTACTGGAAGACGCGCTGGGCATTCAAATTCCATCTCGTACAAGGTGTAGCATATAGAATGTTTTATTCAGATCAATTGATAAGAGATACTGTTGTATCTGTCTACACCTTCATCGTTTATGATATATGTTCTAATTGCTTTTAACTTCATGTTAAAGTAATTAAAAAAGATAAAACTACGTGTAGTTGTGATATTCTGTTATTCTCAATATCAATACAATTAACTTTGACCGTGATAGATATTAACTCACTATGTGGATACATGGATGGTGCTCTAGTATGGCTATTACATTAATACAATCACATATATACTCAACTCAAATTTTAAGTGTGGTCAGATATCTATTCTAAAAATGTTAAATGTGGTTTGTGACGTACGGTAAAGTAACTTGGGTTTGCTTGTAATTGAAAATGCAAAGATAACTGCAGACATAATTTTTATTCGAAAGTATTGTTACCTAATACCATTTCCGATACTCCTTTGGGCCGATTTTAAACATGAATTCTTTAAAGTAAAATATAAATCTGATCCGGGGAAGCTGCTATGCACCTTCGCATCGAAGTTGTCATAGCTTTGGTCATGTTGGTTGTACCTTGTCAACACCACCCCACTTAACCCGTCTTCTGGAACCTGATGGCGCCTGTATTACCTATGAGATCGAGAAAATGCAGTAGTGAACGGGTTAAGAGCTGGGCATATTATGAAAGATGATGATAAGTCTATATTTCTGTTCTGTCTGTGGCAAACAGATAAATTAAACTGTTATGAATGGAAGAAAACCGTGTAAGATTATACGAGACTATGTTTCACAACACTGAAGACGAGATAGCTCATCGGGGGGAGCGCGCGGGGGTGTTTGCACCGGAAGGTTCCCCACTCAAAAACACGTCATGCTTACCCTAATCATCACATATCTGTTGTGGTCAAATATATACTACAAATGTTAGATGAGGTTTGTGACGCATACGGGGGAAAGTCCATGTTACTTGGACTATACGTGCTTAAAGTCATATTGGTGAAATATTCTCTAATCATAATAAATTGTATGTACCAAAGAAGATTTAAGTTTTAAGCAAGAAATCGATAGTACAGGAATAATGATCATAAAACTTGCAGCTTTTTGAATGGTATTATTATGTACTCAGCCGAACCAACAAGTTTTAACACGCTTTTTTTAAGAATCACGATTATTTAGCACTTGTGTGCAGTTTATTACCGGTTAATTTGAAATGGTATCATTAAAACCTCAGCTTAACTAAACAGAATTGAACTCATGATGAACGACCTCATTTGAAATACTATATGTAAAGTACGAAGGTCATTATGTGATTTATGAGCAAGAGACATGTGTCTAAATGAAAGAGAAGAGAAACTGACATTAGGTGTTTCTTTTCAATTATCTTCTCTAATGTCCTCATTATAAGGAGTAAATTACCTATCAGTTTCAACGCATTAAGTAGAACTTTCGGTTATCTATTTTTGCTTGATACTTCCGACCGGATACAAGTCCAGATGTCAAAGGGACAATCTTATAATGATTCAAATTGTAAAAAAGCGCCACTCTGATTGCAAGATTATGTAAAGTCTGATTCAGAAAAGATGATTATTAGATCATAAAAATAAAATATTGTACTAACATTTTCGCGAATTGTGAACGATGGCTGTTTCCGAGGCAATACATATGAGGTTTTGATTTAATGATTTCGTCTCATAGAACACATGCAAACTGGGCCATTATCGAGATTTAAAAAGTGTCTGATTCCATTCGATATTCTTATTTCATAGTTGCATACTGATTACTATGACTGGTATTTAAAAATAATTTCCCTTTGATAACTTAATTCTAACTGCTGGACAGCGATAAATATCACTCGGTTTTCTTTCTCGATTGATAGGCGTACTTTTCTCACGAAAAGGACATATTTTTCAAACTTTTATAATTGATAAACGTAGGTCGGAGTGGATAATCTCAAATATAAACAGCAGAGTCATATCGTTCAAAAATAATCCTTACATCACGTATGAAAACCCTTCAGAAAACTGAAAGCAAACCACATAATCTTATCGTATACAATACAAAGATAACTATTATTATTTAGTATAATATTTATTTAGAGATTGTGATAAGTATTTATAAAGCATTTGAAAACAAAATCGCTTGGAAAGACAATGCAAACTTCCCGAACGAAAATGGGAATGCAAACACTTATTTGATTGAAAAGGAATCACAAACTTCTGTGGAATACAGAGGAAGTGTGACAAAGGGAGCATATCTTGCATTATTTTAGATTTTCTTTCTAATACCAACTTCCCGTTTTCTGTTTCACTCGTACTTCCTATCTTATCTCGAACTGTATTATTTCGTCATGGAACTTCTTCAAAATAATAAAACAAAAATTGGATAAAATTTGACATTGGAGAAGATTTAAGTTGTTTTGTTTGCCTCTTTTCAGGAAGTCATTGATAGATTCCTTTTTTATGTGACATTTTTGACATTCATGATATTGACACTTAAAACTTAATTACTTCCTACCGGTACCTGTTTTAATATATCAAACACACTGCAAGTGTTTTATCTTATCGATCAAGCTTCTTGTTCTTTCTTTAAATTCTCTGTCTTCTTCTCATCTCATATCTTTCTTTCTCTCTTTTCTTTCTCTTCTTTCTTTCTCCTCCTTCTCCAATGCTTCTTATTATACCCTTTTTTCTTCTTTTTTACGACTACTACTTCTTCTTCATCCTTCTTTTCTTCTCCTTCTTCCTTTTCTCCCTCTTTGCCTTATCCACATTTTACTTTTTCTTCCACTCTCTTTCTTGAGCTAATTGTTACAAATGGAATTCATCTATATTTGAGGTATACTTTCAGGAACCTATCATACTAACATAATGTTCGTATGCACATTGCCGCGTTATGCACGTTCATACATTTAGGTTTTATATAGTTTAACTCTACTTTTTCCTTATACAGAAGAAGCATCGTAGATACTGGACGCTCCAGTATTTCGGAGAGGGTAATCTCACACTCAGTGGCTATAAAGATGAAAAATCCTTCAAGAGATCGTCATCGTCAACGACAAAGACTTCGACATTGGGTCGTCAAAGAAAAACTTCGAGCGCACCAGTCGAGACGATTCGTTTGATGACATCACTCAAGGTTCACAAGTTTGAGATGAAGACTAAGAAGAAGGTGGAAAATGCTCTCATCATCGTCAATGGATCGCATCCTAAATTCTTCCGTCCAGATAACAAGTGAGTTGATAATCAAAATTTACTGTGTCTATTTTCTATGTCTCCCCTGCCCCCTGCCCCTCTGCCCCTCTCTCTCTGCCCCCCTCTCTCTCTCTCTCTCTCTCTCTCTTTCTCTCTCTCCCTCTCTCTCTTTCTCTCTCTCTCTTTCTCTCTTTCTCTCTCTCTTACAATCTGTCTTTCCTCCTTCTCCCTCAATTTATATATATGACACAATCTCTTCTTTATGTACCTCTTCAGAGGTAAATTTATTCAATAATTTGTTATGGCTTTTTCCATCGTCGTTGGGTGATTTTGAGGTCCCTGAAATATGAACGTGTTGTCCTCTGTTTTGTTGACTAATTCTTGTGCCCTGGGATCTTAATTCGGATTAACACAAAGTGGCAAAACCCTGTCGTAGCTGTGCGTTCGACCATAAATTAAAATGAATGGGTTCCATTCACAGAAAAGGGTCAAACTGAACGCATTGTGTAACATTTGAGGAACGTTCATTCGTAACTAGTATTCTGGTATAATCGATACACAAATACATGGACGAAAAAGGACAATTTGAATCATTTTGAACCCGGGGGGGGGGGGGGTAATACTAAAATGAGAAAAAAAAAACCTTCTGATGATGAAATTAAAGTTTGATATAGCATTGCGTGGCCACAATCCAAACTTTAATTAAATACTTAATGAAAGAATATTTATTTGCTTGCGTATTTAGAGGGATGTAGCATGTTGTGGTGATATTTAAGCTCTCATGTTATATATTGGTGTTCTTGTTTCGTCAGTGCTGAACTGGATACATGGCACAGTGTCTTTATGAAGTTCTCGAGTGATACCAGGTTAATAAAGAGACGAGTCCGGCCTGACAAGACACGCCTTTCTCCAACACATCAAGCACAGGATTCATCGGACAATCTAGTAAGCTCAACAAAATCAATAATAAAATACTATACTATACTGGTGGGCGGGAGAAATGTAGAGAGGGGTGAATTGAAGTTGTAAAGAGGGGATGATGGACTAGAAAAGATAGAGAGAGAGAGAGAGAGAGAGAGAGACAGAGAGACAGATTTGTTATTTTTTCAAATTGCTACGATTTTGCATAAGCAGCAAAGTAGTCGTAGTTCCATTATTTAGGCTATGCCCCTAAAATGGAGCTTCAAACGGATGGGAATTTTGCTTAAATACTGAAAAAGATTTCGTTCTCGGATACAAATTTATTTCCCCTTTGTTTATATCTTATGTGTTCCCTTTCAAGTTTGTTCCCTCGTCAAGTCTTTACGAGGTGAATTTCAAGGAATTTACCATTTAATGTTATTGCTTTCTAAATGGTCAAACATCTCCTGTTATCGTGCATAGCCCATAATGGATAGCTTCTCTCCCCCAAGAATGACACCAACGTCAAAGAATGTTTAGGGAACAAGTTCAATTTAAAGATATTAATTAGCTTAAAAGGGAAAATTCCAGTCATTTATCATGGTTTTTGAGCCATTTTATTAAAACATATTTCATCTCATAGCTTCCTTTTAAAAACGGATATCTGGCCGCACACAATAGAAATGAATTACGTCCTAAGGTGAAATGTATAATGCAACACAATGTCGTACATGTAATCAAACGGGAATCAAACATCTCTGCAGTTTTTATGTTTGCTCATATTTTGTAAATTTCTAGCAGGTAAAATGAAACAGATTTCGACAGTTTTCATTATCTGTGCAAAATTAAACTTCACAGTAATTCAAAGTAATATTGTATTGGTGGAAATCCTGGAGTGCAGTCATACATAGACACAGTAGGGTCGAAACAGGAACAAAAGCGTTATTTTTTCAAGAGCCATTTCCGTACCGTTTGCGATCTGTCCTATTTAAACGATTTTATGTTTCAACAGGAACGAGACAGCGGCATCTCGGCATCATTCACCAGATCGACCTGCGAATCGGAACGTTCGTCATCATCAAGCATGTCGAGTGAGGAGTTGAACGACCTCTCCCCTCAACGTTTCTTCCCGACTACTGTCTCCTTTGATCTCGAGGATGATAACACATCGCCTGTGCCATCGCCTACGTTACGTGAGCCATTAGGAAGACAAACGAACAGCATTGTGAGGAGATCGACTTTCTACAGAAATAGCGAAGGTAATACACAAAATATCTATTAATAATATGAAACAAGATTGCATGAATTTATTCGATCAGTAATGCATTCACTGGAAGCATTTTGTCGTTCATAAGCCATTGCTATTCAGTCAAATTAAACTTGTTTTATTCTGGCTGGATAAACAAATGAAGTTTGTAATAAAGCTATCGTCATTCAGTCTCTATATTATGTGCCATGAATCTGAAATTCATCTGTACCTTTGCAAAAATTATGAATTTTTGTGTCTCAAAATGCTTGTTAATAGTGTATTCATAAACTGATACAATGAAAAGGTTGATTTGCAAACAAATGGAAAACAGAATATAAAGGTTAACCATAATGTGGTTGCCAGTTAAATATTGTTTCTGTCATCGTGATAGTTATAACAATAATGTTGGCAATTAATTCGATTATTTTATTTTTTGTGATGATGCAGGTGTTTATGAAGAGAGAACTTCACCCTCCTCACGCGAGTCAACGGAGAGTGGGTTTTACGATTCCGCAATACATCGAAACGAGGATGACAGGTCCAATTCCGTGTACGATGCCCTTCCTTCATCGTCACCATCACCACCGCGTCGGTTCGGTGCGACCACCGTCAATAGCGAGCACCTTGTGATTCCAGCTAAACATCTAAGGAAAACAATGCACAGTTCATCCTCATTCGATAACACTGACAGTTCCATACCAGAAGAGGATGAAAAGGATCTTGTACATGATGTCACTGAGACGATTGCAAAGAGACTGGGGGTGGATAACTCAGCTGAATTACAAAGGATTTTAAACGACGATGGTAGTACACATGCATACATGAATCAAAGGCTCCCGTTCAAGCCCGCGAGCCCATTAGTGAGCAGGGCGAGTCCTCCCATTCCTGCTCGACCAGGGAGCCAACCACGCAGGAAGAGCTCTCTAGCAGGTCCCACCAGCGAGACGAACTACCACCAACCGGTGCTTCCAGGGGGGCGTAGGAGAGCGGAAAGCGTGCCCATCAGCCTTGAAGATAGTCTCAAGTACTCTCCACGCTTCAGTCAACTACCCGTTCCTGAAGTTAAAGAGCCATATTCAGATATCAAGTAAGTTAGTAATGCACGGCGGTGATTTTGCTAATGAAGTCAAATGGTTAATTAAGTTTATTGTCAAACTCTTTTTCAATTGAATGAAATAGGGATTTTAAAAAGTACAAGCTAAGGAATCAAAAGAAGTTAAAGTTAAAGAAAAATATTAATTAAGAAAATGAGAGAGGGAAAGAAGCAGATTAGGGAAGAAAACAAAAGGTAAATAAAAAAACTAGAAAGCAAAATCTAAGATGAATTAAAAAACTTATCACAGTTTGTCAGGATAGATTAAAGTTTTCACTTCAGTTTTATTTCCGTTTAATTGATAAACATTTCCCTCTCTCCCTTTCTCATTTTTTTCTTTCTCTCCCCCCCCCCCCCTCTCTCTTTCTTTCTCTCTCTCTCTCTCTCTCTCCCCCCTCTCTCTCCCCCTCCCTCCCCCTCTCTCTCTCCCCTATCTCTCTCTCTCTCTCTCCCCTCTCTCTCTCTCTCTCTCTCTCTCCCTCCCTCTCCCTCTCTCTCTCTCTCTCTCTCTCTCTCTCCATTTCTCTGTTTAGAGCGTTGATGGCTGAGCAGGCTGGAGATGCAATCGAAGTTCATATCGATAAGGAAGATTTGGTCAATTCAATTGCTCTGGTTGACATTCGAGGAAAAGTCATGTGAGTACATCAATTACTACTACGACTACTACTTCTACTACTACTACTACTACTACTACTACTACTACTACTACTACTACTACTACTACTATTACTACTACTATTACTACCACTGCTACTACTACTACTACTACTACTACTACTACTACTACTACTACTACTACTACTACTACTACTACTACTACTACTACCCCTACTACTAATACTACTGCTAGTACTAGTACTACTACTACTATTATTACTACTACTACTACTACTACGTCTACTACTAGTAGTAGTAGTAATAATAATAATACTATTACTACTTTTACTTGTACTACTACTACTACTACTACTACTACTACTACTACTACCCCTACTAATACTACTACTTATAATACATGTACTGCTACTAATACAAGTATTAGTAGTAGTAGTAGTACTACTACTAGTACTGCTTCTACTTATACCATTAATAATACTATATACTATACTATGTCACCATGCCTTTGTGTTGATTTATTTTATTTTACAATATTGATATACAAGTAATTCTATATCACTTGTCAACTGTGCTACTATACGACTATTACATAACATTATGATAGAAATATACCATCCCAAGCACTGATCCTCGTATGTGCACTACTCTGGCCTCCCCTACTGTATTGTTGCTTTTACGTTACTATGGGTTAAAATGCAGTTCAAATATAAATGTCAAGCTATAATGTTTATTTTATCAATCCAAATATTTCCTTACAGCATCGCAGGGTGGAAGAGGTCTCTGATTGGTAAACTGCATGTTGGTGATAATCTTGTTCAAGTCAATGACCAAGTCGTCTCACAAGCTGAATGGGCGAATACATTCATCAAGACATCATCTAGATCTCAGGTAAGTCACTGATTGGTCTATGAGTAACACGTGATTGATTATCATGTTTCTGAGTGGATGTAATTGATTGATTGATCATTGAACGATAGATTGGTTAATCAATTAAATGATTGATTGATTGTTTTGTCAATCAAATAAGTGACTATTTAAGTGTTTGAATATTTATGTAATCCATTATTAGATTTTGTCACTTGCTTAATCTAAACGTGTTTCATTTTGTCTGGAGAGCCAATTAGAATAATCGGCATAGCCTTCTTAGTAAAACAGTTTACTCTTTACTTATTCTGTTTTATTTTTTATTTTGTTTGTCCCACAGATTGTTTTACACGTGAATCGTCTTCCATTTGCCAAGATCATCAACTGTACGAGAATACACGAAGACACTCTGTGGGGTTTTGAATGCAAAGCAAATGAGGTAAGAGAATCTTCAAAAATATCGACACGTCAATTTTATACTCTGAACGACTCCTAGTGGCTTAGCCAGATAACGCACGGAGGCACATAGCGAGAGAAAAGGAAATAAAAAATACTGAAAAGTAGAAAAGAGCAGAAAGGAACAAAAAATGTGACAAGATCATGATAATGCATATATCGGGGGCTTTAACTCACATACCTTACTGTTTGTATGTGCTGGTAATGAGAGAACAGGAATACGAGATTACTATCTTGCAGACCTAATGTTTATGGTGTCGATAACGTCTATAAATATTCATGATAGGGGAGGAATGACGGCTAATAAAATATAAAACGACCCATGTCGATATTAAGAATGCAATGATAGATGAAAAATGACTGTTATACATTCGAACTATGTCATTCTTATTTCTTTGTTATTGTTTTATTGACTAGATCACCCATGTACGGTCAGGACCAGCCACGGAATCGGGTCTTACAGAGAAATCCGAGTCCAGTGCCTTCTCAAAGAAATCATGTGAGTGGATCATCACAGAGGCTGCGAATAAACCCATTAGACTCAACTGCCCCAAAGATGAGGTGAGTGACCATGCTTTCTGACACCTTCTCACTTACAAGACCGTCTTTAAACCGACTCCATACCGACTCCATACCGAATACATACCGAATCCATACCGAATCCGTACTGTCCAGTCGACTCCTGCTCATTGGGGGGGGGGGGGAATTATAATTTTATGTTCGGTATGTTGTGGGTCTGGTGTTGGTCACGGTGCGGCGGTGTGACCGTGATGCTACTCTGTAAAGCATTCAAATAGTTTGTCCATTAATCATTACGCAGTCTCCTCGTTTTATTTTATTCATCCATTTATTTATTGCTATATAACAAACTTAACCAGCAGCACAGGCGAAAATCATCCAACGACACGATGGAAAATGCCATAAAAACCAACAGCAACAACAACAACAGGCTAAAAAAAAATAACCAGTTTTACAAGGAAATAACAAAATATTTACAAAGCCATTTGTATTACCCTTGACATAAACACAGAATTAATATATTAAGTATATTTTACTAATTTACTCTATCAACGGCTTTTAGTCATAATTCCTGTTTTTCCGTGATATTTTTTGTTATTTCGTCCGAGTAATTTTTCTTTAGTTAGTTTCCTTTTTTTCGCATTTGATCATTTTGTGTATATGGTCCATTTATATTACCATTCATCATGCAGTGGTCCGATTCATTTCAAACTTTTGCTATTCTGTCTCTGTTTTTTTCTGCTTTCATACAAACCAACTTATAACAAGGGTTGGATTTCCCTTTAATGTAGTATTATGACCACAAAAAAAACCCCAGATCCCTGCCTCGAGAGAGTGCAAAAAGGGAAGTCGCGTAAATAAATGACGAATGGGTGAATGTACTGAACTGGAAAGGCAGTAATTGTCAAATACCGATCCCCGACTATTGTTGAAACAGTCATAATAGAGCTATCAATGCAACCTAGGGGAAAATCAGGGAAAATTGAATAAAACTTTGTTTGCCTCCAATGCGCGCTTGATGTTTGTTGTTTGAATAACAAGGTTATTGTGTCATGTACGGGGGTGCGGGATTTCGTAATTTCTGTCCACAACTTCCCCTTTTCTATTGTCAACTCAAAATCTAGACTCACAAAGAGGTACATAATGGGTGCTTTGGGTGATTAAACTGTACGTGTCCGCTGGTCCATTACACATAATATATCGTTGTTTAGGAATGAATAACTTCGTCGCGAGATGGCGGTAGTAAGAAACAAATGCAAGCAATCGTTTATCATGCCTTCAACATCTTTTCAATTAAAAGGTCGAAATACAGCAGCCTACAATTGCTCTACGTATATATATTTGACCCTGTTAAAAAAAATGTGGGTTAGCACTTCATGCCAATTGCAAATAAAGCGTTATTCCGATTGCGTTATAACCAACAACAACAAAATATGTTCATGTTTAATGTTTATTCAGGGCCCCATGGAAGACCACTACTTATTGGTGAATGGGCTACCCTGACAAAAGATTAGAAATAAATAAATAAATAAATAAATAAATAAATAAATAAATAACCCATGCTGACCACGAAGCATGCATTGGTAACTGTGGGCAATATGTTTGTATTTTTTCATTTTTCATTTTGTCCGTACGATATTACTCTCTGTTTAGTCCGGCAGCCAAATCCAGATTATTGGCCTAACCTTGTTTTATGGTCTATAGTTTTTTTTTCAATGGATTTTGATTGCTTAGACCTTCTATTTCAAGAATCCGATTGCTGACACTCTGTCAGCCTTGAGCAATTTAAGATATATGACGTCATACAAAATGGCCGCCAAAGTACATGATTTTCCTTTAAAAATGAATAATAAATATATAATAACGATTTTTTCTTCAATTTTTGGCAGCCAGATGTCTGTTTCTCTCTAGGACCATCACTAAAATATGTTTCGTGGTGTTGCATGGCCAGAGATGACCAGCTTATTTGCATATTTTGAAATAGCGCCCTCTATAAACATATTAATTTGAATAAAATATGTGTGCCAGCCAAATGCCAATTTCTTAAATCTATGTCACGTTGAAATCATATTAAATGCTTTTTGGGGGAAACAATTGCAGTTGTGCTGCATTAATCTTTCATCGTGTTTGGTACAAATTTAGATAGGGTAGGTGTGGGGAATGGAAGACCCTTATTAAGCACATTTGCATAATTTACATAAACATGAACAATGTTACACATACAGACATTTTTGTATTCTCTTTAGTATTTTTTCTCTTTATTTGGTAACGAAATTGTGGTGATGATGTAACTGATTAATAAGATAACAATGATTAATGACGTCATCACCAAAGGTCTCTCATTACCTACATGTGTAGGTAATAAGGGACAGTTACAAATCAAGACATTTTAAATACAATTTGAATGAAAATGGGATTGTTATAGTTAGTTCAAACACTTTTTGAATGATATACATGCAGCCAATGAACTTACTGTAATTTTGAAACGATTTTAAAACAATGGGGTCCAAAATATTTCTGTAGTTTTTTTGTTTACCGTAATAAAGGTGCTCTCAAATATGTTAAAATACTTTCAGAATAATGTTCTTGCAATATGACTTTTACATTTATCAAACTCACAGCATAGAAACAACTTCTTAAAATTAAATGCATTCAAATTAGAATGGTGACACGTACAACCAAATATGTTTCATGATAGTGCCTTTCAACATGAAATGAACAACCGGGGAGAAGTAGGCCCCCATCTTGGACCTGGTGTCCCCCATTACCTACACACATTTCTGATCAGACACCTATAATGTGAATTGCAACACCCATTCACAACACACAGTGGCCATAAACTTTCTGTGATGGTTGGCACATTTCATAAACTTCCTTTTAAAACTATTTTTTTTAAGGGCCACCCCTAAATATCTGCATACACCACAACATTCAGTAAAAATTGTGTTTTTATATCAGAGCAAAATTTTACGATCAAAATTGCTTATCTTGGTCAATTTTGCCAATTTTCTCGTAGAGAGAACGCACTGTAGTCTTCGAAATGAATTGGATATATGCAGTAGTGTTGTTGAAGGCCACATATGTCGCTATATCAATATTGGATCCAACACGGACAGACAGTGATGGGTTCAAGCTTGGTGGTCTCCAATTCCCTACACCTACCCTACATATGTCAAGAAAAAAATGGCTATGAAAGAATTTATTTTTCAACAAATCGGTGAGAAGTGGTTTTACGGCACACATTATTATTCAATTAATAGGCTTTATTTAGACCAGCATTGCTCCAACGTCAGTGAATGTGGATAAAGCAGTTGACATCTATACTAGACAGATGCATGATTTTCAAAAGAAATTACCTGGTGGATTCTATGTCACAATTTTCAAGAATGTTCAAACCGTGGCAGCCATGAAGAAGTCAATGTTGGGGTACGAAAGTCTATGAAAATTTGATCTACTCCAGAGTAATAGGACTGCAGACAAGTTCAAGATAGGGCAATGTCAAGGACATTTTGTCATAAGAGCTTTCACCAGTCCCAACAGCATTTTTTGATGATTCTGGAAACGAGCACTCCCATGTCAAAGACGGACTTATAGAATTTGACAAAAGTTGAGATGTCAGCCAGGCATGAGACACTGGAACAACCTTGTACAGTCATTGATGGTTGTGCTCTGCTGTGGATGAAAATCTGATGATGTTTGCTTGGTGTTTGACAGATCCGAGAGTATTTAGAGGTCATAACGGGTCGAGAGTCTTCCAACTGAGTCCCGCGTCACTGCTGCCCTCCAAGAAACTATCTCTTACTGTTCGTCGTCGTCGTCGTTGTCATAAAGATCATGGCTCACCCTTGTGACCCGTTTGATGAGACCTTTTGATCGGCATCTGTCTCCTGCAATCCGGTAGAGTGTCTTTAGTATTTAGAGGGTGGCTAGTGATTTCCCTAAGGTCGTCAGTCCATCTGAGCTTGAGTCTTCCTTTGTTACGTTGGTACCTTCAAAGGTACCTTGAATGATAATTTGTCAAGGTTGTCTCCTGATCTTCTGCTAACGTGACCAAACTATTGTAGCTTGTACTTGTCAATCCTGGTAGCAAGTGGCGGTTGATCTCCGATGATGGACATTAATGTGTACATTGGTGTTGTAATCTCTTCATGATATCCCAAGTAGCTTCCTCCAACACCATATTTCAAAGGCAGATTGCCGAGCTTCCACCCTCCTTGACAATCATTGACCCAAGAACATTATATATACTTGTCCACTTGATCAACTTCTTCTCCATCAACCACCATGCTCTGTTGCATGTAGTTAATTTCCACCAATCATGATCTTGGTCTTTTTCACATTGAGGTAGGGTCCAAATTATTTACTTGCATCCTTCACTCTTTTTTAAGGAGTTCTAGTAGTTCTTCTGATGTTCTTGTTATAAGTGTTGTCAGTGGCATACTGAGCAAAAACACTTAGAGGGGCAGAAAAACAATCTGCATCACCACCACTCATACATGTTACATGCAGGCCCCGCGGAACTTTTTTTTTAAAGCGGGGTGGGGGGGGGGTTGAAGTATTTACGATCAGGAAGAGAGGAGCGCAAATTGGCGTGGTGTTCAAGGGGCACAGCCCCCGGAAGCTCAAGGGTTTCAGGCATTTATTAACTGTAAGATGAACATATTTTGATACCTCATTTCACCTCGGGTCACTTTCTTTCTTTCTTTCTAGTTCTCTTTAACATACTTTATACAAAAAGTGAGGGGGGCTCGAGTCCCCTGAGCCCCGCTGTTCTGCGGACCCTGACATGTAGGCTTTTAAATAAGCATATTTTTTGCTTGACTGTGGATTTACTAAAAAGTGAGAAAAATCCAGGAAAATCATGTCATTTCAGCAACATTTGTAAATCACTGGTATCGAATATATAAAAAAAACAGTTTGAATTTTGTTTGGGGGTTCAACTGTCCCCAACCCCCCCCCCCCCCATACCCTTCCCCATTAATACGCCAGAGAGTGTTGTATTGTCGGCGTATCTTAGGTTGGTGATCGTTCGTCCACCAACAGAAACTTGACCATAAAATGCCTTTCTCATGATGAATTCAGCATAGATGTTGAAAATTTATGGTGATAGGTTGCAGCCTTGACGGACAACTTGACCAATAGTGAACCTTTCGGTGTCGCCATTCTCTGCTCTTACTGTTGCTTCTTGGTATTGGTAGAGCGACTGGATGAGTTGAATTATATGTGCTGGAAATCCCATCTAGCTCATAATCTTCCATAGGCGTTTATGTTGTACGCAGTCAAAAGCTTTGGAAAGATCAATAAAGCTAGGGAGAGAAGTTGTTGAAACGTGTCTCTAGTGTTGCTAACTTCACTATCTTTTCATGACAACAAACTACAGTTGATCGACATCATAATTATATGCGCGAGTCTGCAGGATGATTGGGTGCTCAGAAATAGGCAAAAGCACAAGCAGGCCTTTAACGTCAAGATGAGATTCTTGTTGAAGTGATTCCAGGCAGTGATGTCATGCCAAGGAAAGGTCTGTCCACAACATAGTTATAATGAAGCAGGCAACATCAAAGAACAGCAAGCGATTGGAATTGATGCTAATGAGAAGATGTATGTTAGGGCCTAGTGGATGACACAGACGTCTACGTACTACTTTTGCATCATTATCTACATGACGGACTTATAAAACGCCAATTACCATGGAGACGCCCCTTCACAAATCGAACTGTTATTGATGTTCCTGCCAATGTAGACAAGTTAGGAGATATCATTCCATCGATGTTGGCAGGACATGCGTTGACGGGATGCGACACTCTTGGGGCATACTTTGGCATTGGATAGGGTACAATGCTGAAAGTGATGAAGCAGAAGATTCGACTCCCTTAGGACTGGGTTGGCAATGTTGATGCAGCATGGTCATATGTCATCAGTCAACCTACTCAATGCTTTGCTTCATGTTATGGACAGTCAACAACCAACTGAATGTCAGAGGCTCGTATCAACGTGTTGCTATCAAGGGTCCGAAGACTAGGAGCTCCAAATACCCCCAAACCTTGCCTCACTACCTCAAACTACTGAAGCGTTTGTAGAAAATGTTAAGAGAACTCATTTGCAAACATGCGTGTGGAAGCACGCATTACAGTCACGACCTTACTTTGCAGAATTAAGTGTTAAATGACACCCTCTTCCACATGGAATATTTTAGGGTTCCCAACACTTTAGAGAGCTTTTAAACAAATTTCAAGATTTTGAAGCAAACTTATAAACGGATATAGTCCTGTATCGTAGTGGTAGTTCGTAATTTTTAGGTTAATTTAAAAGAATCTAGTACCTTAGAATACAAATCTAGTTTCTTAACGCTGTCACTGAAAAAGGGCATTTATCACCATATGCCACCTCATATCTATGGGACAGAGAGCATAAAATTCAACCGTGTTTTGTTCGAGTATCAAATTACAAAATAAAAATAAATGTGCAGCACAATCTTTACTCACTGTATTCAGTGCATCTGACTCATGACATATGATAATCTCATGTTAGAAATTGGTATTTGGCCATCATTTTGACCTATGCAAGTTAATGTGTCTATAGAGGGCGCCATTCCGAATTATGCAAATTTGCTTATCATTTGTGATCATACAGCATTGCAATTTTTATTTAGTGATGATTCTAGAAAAAAATCAAGATATTTGACTGCCATTTAATGTAGTAAAATGCTGTTAAAACTTTTTATATCATTAATTTTGGTTAAAAAGGGGATTTTGGCGGCCATTTTGTATGACGTCACATATCTCAAATTGCTCAATGCTGACAGAGTGTCAGCAATCGAATTCTTCAAATTGATGGTCTAAGGAACTATAATCCGAAGAAAAAAAAACTATAGACCCTAAAACAAGGTATATCGAGATGGCTGCCGGACTAGTTGGCATAGTGACGTAATCCTTCGTCATTATATGACACTTCGTGTTTAACGGACATTACGTTGTGCAATGGCACAGTAGTATCACGATGATTGTCTACGGTTATCTAATAAGCATATTCCTTTTCTCCTTTCATTTATTTCTCCGATTACAGATGATGCAATATCTGGCGACTAGGAACCTCGCTCTCCCCCTCGTAGTTCAACCAAAGGACTTCATCCACGATCTCAACAAGGCTTTGAACAAACTCAAACGCTCTTCATTTTACCGTGTAGGCTGAACATTCTCAACATAACAATCATCGACTTCGATGTTGATGACGGTGCATATGATGATGAACATGATGATAGTGCTGATCATGATCATGGCGGAGTCCAATGGACAAGTGACGATGTTGATGTTGATGAGGCGATGTCGAGATCATCTATGTTACAATCGACGCTAAAATGAGTTTGCCATTCAAACGTCATTCCATACTTGCAAGTCGTTAAATCTTGGTCCAAGTTGGCAGACATTCTCATTAAATTTCTTCGAAAAGGAATGAAATAAACGTTTTCTTTCAGTTATCCATGCACGAATCACTACATTACTCATTGAGTATGTAGTTTGTTTATATGGATGGATCGCGTATATCGAATATATCCAACAACTGCATGCTGTGTTCATCTATTACATGTAGTTTGCGTATAATATGATCTGTGAAACATATAACATCTGACAAAATAAATGGAAAAAGTGAGCAAACCTTATAATATGCTGACAAATGTACGGTTTATTAGTTTGACTCTTGAAAACAAAAGATTTAAAGAAGGCTTGTTGGAAGTTATTTTTTTTTTGTCTACGGTATTTTGGTGCTTGTCTGTATAACCCACAGCCATAGGCCGCGGTATTTGGTGTTTGATTGGTGGAAAATCTCTACATAGTTATTGTTTAATCGTCGTGTGTCTTTAATCACGGATTCTACCTTTTTATACAGTTTTTAGAATGGCATTATATACAATTGTGTGAAAAAATACCGTCCTATAAAAAATGACATGTAAATTATAATTCGTGGTCGACAAACATGCTAACTGGTTGTGGCATTATAGTGGCATGGTGGCATTATTATTCATGTGGTTTTATATTTAATCATTGTAAATTGATGTATTTATAGGCAATTATATGCTTTATTTGTGCTCTTTCTACATCTAGTCCTGCAAATGTGCTTCAGTGCTTTTCAACATCTTGAGTGTCTCGTATTTCAGTAGTGGATCCAGGAGAGGATTTTCTGAGGGGGTGGGGGGAGGGGGGCAGTTCTTCCCCTGATGTATGACATGTTTGATTTTGCAGAGGTCATCAGAGTGGGGGAGGGGGTATGCTCAATGCCCCCTGAGTTTGCTAAATCAAATGTAGCTGTAACTATATATATATTTTTTTTTAAATAAAAATAATTTTGATGTCAAGAACATGAAATGAACAAAGAAGAAATCCTAACAACATTAGCACTTAAAAATGTGCTAACAAATAGATATTTTGTTCATTCATTTTTTAATATAAAATAATAGTAAAAAAAAAGTAAATAGTAACGTGACCTAAATTTAAATGAATATAAAATCGCCTCATACTTAATACAAATTTCGGCGCCGGTCGTTTTCTCTGTCTTAATAAATGTTTACATGTGCTAGGGTAGGTTAAGAATGTTATTTAAGTTAGTATTGTTTGTGTAACTACAGGTATTTTGAGAATATTTCCTTCCAGTTGTTTCATGTGCTTCGCTACTATTTTTTGTTAATGTGTTTCTTTATTCTTTTACTAATTATGTATGATATAATATTTGTTTATCCATTTGAATTTGATATGCAAATAGTTTGTAAGATACGTTAGTGATACAAGTCACTTACCATAATATAGTTGTCTTAGTACTCTTATATATTTATCGTTTGTCCTCGTTTATCTTTTTAATATTGTTGTTAAGGTTTCATAGAAGTGATGTCTCTTAAAGCCCCACTGTCCTACTTATATAGAAAACTTCCCAATCGGTGCCTGTTGGTCCCCCATGATCATCTTGTTCTTATGTTAGTTAAGAGCTGAGTTAATGAGCCACATGTCAGTGACCTCGATGTGTGGTCTAATCCCTTCTGGCCCAGTAGTATTGACGGTCTTTAATAACAACCACAAATGATTATCTCTATGTCTATTGACCCTGTTCTTCTCTGTACCAAGAGCTCATACCCCTCGATTGCCAGATCCGAGTGTATGTAGAGAATGATTAGAAAATGTTGTTCCACATATTTTGATATCCTTTGCCAATGTTATACTTTGCCTACATTTGTATATCATTATAATCTCTAGCTGAGCTAGATTGGAATTAGTAATTTTTCATATTATGTATTATAGTATGTACTATTGTGGTTCTTATCGCTAGTCGATGTAGAAGAGTACCTATATACGGTGTATATTCTGTCGCTTTGCGATCCAATAAAATTGTGTCTGATGAAAAAAAAAATGTTTTCTATTTTTGTTTCATTGGTTCTTGTTTTTTGTTTTGGTTACATCAGGATGAATCAATGCACCATCATTTCTGAATAGGCCCCTCCCTCTTTCTCCCCTCCCCCTCTCTCTCTCTCTTTCTCTCTCTCTCTCTCTCTCTCTCTCGCTCTATCCTTCTCCTTCTCATTTTCTCGAATTTTCTTTTTTTACCTTTCGAGTGGAGAACGAAAGTGTCCCCGTGCCCCAATTCTGCCAAACTATTTCTCATATCGCTTACTACAGACAATTTCACTGCTATAGACACACAAAGTAAATATCTCATCTGTTATAGTTTTTGAAATCTTAAACTGTATTTCATAACATCATTCATCCTTCGTAAATCAAAACAATTAATTGCGATAAATACTATGAGATTGGCAAATATACAAACTCTTTTGCTAAATAACCACTCAAAATATATATTTATATATGTTACACTAAATATATATAAACATCAAACAATGATAATCTGTTTTGTTGCACCATCAGAGGACGCCATTACATACATATGCCCATAAAATGCAAGAACAAAAACATCTGACGTTCTTCAAATATAATAGAAAATAATTTGGCTTTGTTGAGCTTGAGGCGTCACAGCTTGAAAGTTAACATTGTGCCTCAGATGTCCACTCATAAAATAAATAACTCTAATGTTTAAAGTGGCCAGTTTCATATGAATAATTAAGTGCATTAGAATGAATTACAGCTACATCGAATGAAATCAAACTTGGGAAGAAAATCAAGTAAAACGTGATTTAGATTTGATGAGGTGTTTTTTCTATTTCAATGAGAAGCAACAACCCAATCACCCAGTCGGAAATTAACTAAAAAAATATATATATTTTATGATAACAAAGTTGAGGACACAATAGTTTTCATGATATCAGACTTGTAATATCTTCCATGATTACCTTGTCTGAAAGGGAGTGTATCATGGCAAATACTGGCCATCTACGTCTTCTTTTGGACAACTGCACGGAAACGAATGGACTTGATTAACTGGGTCAGCGCGCGCTAGCGTTCGCGAAACAGACCGAAGTTCTCCTTACGCTTCGGTTTCGCGTATGTTGCACGCAGTTGAATGCTGCGGTCGCGTCGTGCGTAGTCGTTTAACCCGATTGACCCCGAGTAGGGCCACGGGAAAGAAACTCGTCATGATACACTCTCTTTAAATGTGTCACATTCATTTTGTAAAAGAAAATTGAGAGGATATATCAAAAATGAATGCTTGGTAAATGATAGTTATCCTATGAGTATGATGTTGTTTGTACATGAACATCACAATGAAATAAATAAATGCCATTTTGTAACTATCTGGATACACAAAGTAGCGCTTGTTATGCCGTAGATAACGGATTCGAAAATATATTAACGTCTGTGTCAGGGGGTACATTTGGATCGACAACTGTTGGAACATCAGCCAGCGGTAGAGGGCGCTCGTCGTCTGGTGTTTGAACGTCATTGACCTTAGTATACTTGTCGACCATTTCTCCATTTTGGGCGTATTTCATTGTCAGGTATCCATTTGGAAAGGTTGATTTTTTCTTTTTGCATTGACATTGTTCCGGATCAGTCTGGTTGGCAACACCTGTGAGCTGTGTTTCCATCATGGTTTTGTCGTTACGAGACGATGGTTCAAATCCCTCTGTCAAACGCAGTGGTATTCCCCTGTCGTACTGTTCATAATCATCAGTTTGGTGAATGTGGCTGAAAGCCCAATGCCTTTTGACCGTGAGGAATATCCACAGTACGAACCACATGACGATGTATAAACTATCAAAAACAACACAACCCAGCATCCTCTCATCACCAGAGAATCGATAAACGGTCATGTATTCAAGTATGAACGGGGTCTTGCATGAGATGAAGACGACAAGAGCACATATGGCTGCAATTTGTGGCAAAAATCCATTATACTTGAGAACGAATAATGTCTCAATCGGCACATCGTCATCAGATCTAGTTCTCCTCATCTGAACATGCTTCAAACGACCGTACCCGTACAAATACAAAATGGCCGCTGCTACGAACACGGCGATATTGTTGATTAAATATGCCGGGATTAAAGATGGACCGGATGAAAAGACGGGTTGCGTGCCAATGTTGTACTTTTCCCAGCCAAACCAGTGTAGTTTATAGAGCAATGACATGCCAATGAAACCTAATGCATATTGCACTGCATTCATCATGAGTTGTATTGAAATTAAGAGCGCGAAACCTTTGTGACACGCCCAAAATACGTCTGCGTAGCGGATGGCGTAGATGAAGAGTGGTATCACGTAATTGAGGTAGTTAATAGTGACTACAACTGCGCTGAAGGATTCATCAAGGGATGAGACAGGATTAGACTGGTTTTGTGCTGACGGTGTTGTCTCGGTGGGTAAGATCGATTGATACTCGATAGATGGAGCGACGAATGCATGGATCCGGAGATGGGTAATATTTATGGAATCCTCGACGAGAAATATCTCCCCAACTTCCGATTTCCAGATCATTTCTGAAAAAACAAGAAATTTACAGAAAAACGTAACCTCGAAATTCACAAGTTAACTTTCAATGCATGAGAAAGTGAAGTTTTGTTTACAATTGGATATCAAGATCTAATTACCTGTCATAATACTTATTTTATAGTAAATGGAAGGAAATGAGAGTGAAAAATCAGAGAAAGATATTGGCAGAGAGAGAGAGAGATAGACAGAGAGGGAAAGAGAGATCAAAGACAGGGACAGAGAGTGGGGGTAGAACGACAACAATATTTCACAGATATCTCGTAACTAGTAATGTTGATCTTAGTAAATGTTGTTCTTATATCAATACACATCACTGTAGGCCTACTGAGGTACTAAAATGTGTGTAAATGGTAAGGGCTCAAACCTGGAGGTAGAATGCCGGATTGAATGGCTCTAGCTTGGAGGAAGATGACAGGTAGAAGCAGACAGAACGCTGATGTGATATGAATAGTCGCTCCAATCGGTCCAAGATGCTTCCTACATGACTTCACGGTCTGGACCACCAGGCGGATGACGTGAGCGATGGTCTCCTCATCATTGTCGCCATCGTTTCGTTGATCGTCCTTTGGAGTCTTAGTCTCGTCAGATTTCTTTTTCTTTCGCTTTCGTTTGGTAGCTCCGAGTTTGGACTGGTCATTAGCATGGTTTCCCACCTTGAAGTATTGGGTAGGTATGAAGGCTGTGATGAGGAGAGCCGCCATGATGATCAGGCACAGGTACAGCCTGCACAGATGGAAAAATTTTAAGAGGGAAACAAGATCAATGTAAATTTCTATTACACTCGTATTGTCGAGCCTAGCAAAAGTAAAATGTTTGCATGAAATAACTCGCCATTGCACATACGTCGCCGTTTTCACGAACCGGCACAAGCCACCGAAATCCCTTCAAAATGTAGTTTTTATTTTTTTTGCATTTTTAGCATAAGTTATCAACAATCTTTCATCTCACCAAATTTCAGCATCCAAAACGCTTTAGTTTTTGAGATATCCATGGTTACACAAATGACAAAAACGACACACGAGCCAAAAAGCACGATTCATATTTTCACGAACCGGCACGCGCCGTTATAAGTCAATGGGCTGTGCCGGTTCGTGAAAATATCTTTGCGCTTACAAGACCTAGACGACGCGACACAGGCGGTTGTGCCGGTTCGTGAAAATAAAATACGCGCTAAGACAGCGCGAGCGCTTTTGTCTTGCGCGTAAAGTTACATAGGAAAAACGACACAGTGGCTTGTGCCGGTTCGTGAAAATATTTTTGCTACGTAAACAGCAAAATAATATTTTCACGAACCGGCACGAGAGTCCAAAGCTTCGTAATATTAATAGTAATTGTCATTATGCTTAACAAATGGAATGTATAGAAAATACAGAATATTTTCCTTTCATTGATATGTATAATGTGATATAAAATTTGACATAAGGCATGTTTCTGGCGAATTCAAAACGGGCTAAACGTAAAACGCGTTTTTCTCAGAATGTACTTATTTCGTTGCGCGTTGGGCTGTGCCGGTTCGTGAAAACGGTTTACAATACTGTATTGTTTAACGAAGTTATACTGTAACAGTATAACTTCGTAAATGAAGCCTATGACGACAGTGCGTACTCATGATTAAAAATAAACGACTATGGTACCGGAAACCACTGGATCATTGTTCCAGAGTAATAGTAAAATCCCAGAATACTGGCAAGGTTGGTGGTTTGAGTAATTAAGAAATGAGAAGGGATCGTTAAAATGGCAATCCTTGCAACATGTATTCCACTGTCGTTTTCTGTATGTAAAGCCCTTCTGCACTAGTTTGGCCAGGGGGATTAGACCTCCATGCAAGGTCACTGACAGGTGGCTATCTCATCAACTCAGCTCTCAATTAACATAAGAAAAAGAGGATCAAGGGGGACCAACAGGCACCGATTAGGTATTGTTTTCTATATAGAGGGAGCAAGTAGCTACACGTAGTACAGTGGGACTTTAAGCATTGTATATCAAATGTTGGCTGTTACCTCAGCTCTGGAGTGGGTCGTTCTCCTTCCGGCCATGTGAGTGAAGCATAGTGTTGGTAGCGACGGTTCCCATCGAAGACCAGGAACATGGTGATCACCACGGCAAGGTTGCAGTACCATATAGACTCCAGAGAGTTCAGTCGCATGCTTGAAGGGTTACACGACATTGCTGATCTGAAGACACCAACACCTGAAGCAGTATACCTCTAACACCTTAGCGGACTGAACACGGCCTGACTTGGAGATCAGAGTGGTGAAGGTTGATAAGTTCACTGTCTTCGGTATCACCGAAACATTACACGAGAAGTAGGAGAAATAGGAGAAGTCTTCAGTCAGTTTGATGTATTCACCCACCTTTTGTCCATGTAAGTATAGTGTTCATGTGTCTTGTGCATGCAAGTTTCACTATTTATTGTCAGTTTCTTTTTGAAATCTTCTTATTGGGAGACGTCTCAAGATAAGGAATGTGAGAGTTATGCTTCTCTTTGAAAGGAGATAAACTTCTTGAAATCGATAAGGAACGTTTGAAACACCAATCTACTCCTGATGTAGGCCTTGGATAGCAGCCATCAATGCTACATGAGGTTATAATCAAATTGGGTTGAATGCGACGTCATTGAGGAGGGACAGGGGGCATGTCTTGTGACGTCAAGGTATGTTGGTATGTTGAAACGAGCGGTATCATCTGTTGAAAAGAATAAGGATTAGAGACATAGATCAATACGACTGAAACATTATATGTATTCTTAGGTAGTCACAAATATATAATCCCATCATGTTTACCTTGTTGCTCATCTATGTACCAATCAATTATTTGGTCCAGAGGGGACCCTAAAACTTACGAGCTCTGTTCTTACCAGGGCCTTTTCGTCTTTCTGTTAGTTCACTTTGGTTTTATCATTGCCATAATTTTGTTTGCATTGTAAATGTGTAATGATCTAATGTTATGCTCTACATGTATGTGAGATTTAAGAGAAAGACGAATACATATTATCTTATCTTATTAGTACCTTTGGTCAGTCATCACTCGTTGTATGTCTCCAACTATAGCTTTTACTTCTAATCACAGTCAAGCCCGTTTTTAGAGGGCATCCTCTATGTAAAGGCCACCTGTCTATAGCGGTCACTCATACTGCCTCCTTGGGGAAGGCAATGAGTGTTGAAGGACCTGCCTGAAAGGGTCACCTGTCAACAGTGGCCACTTTTTTGTTGTTTCCCGTAGATGGCCTTTACTATACAGGTTTAACCGTTCAATGAAATACATTATATGCAGGACTTATTGAACGTTCATTGATTAAATTAAAATGATTCAATTGATTCAAGATGTAAACACAAAACAGGAACTTGCTGTACTACAAATTCATAATTCTTTGATTAAATAAGCTCAGTATAATATGAAGATGTTTCAATTGTTGTGCAGTCAAGCCGGGGAAGCGGTACAGTCGAATATTTTATTGGGCCATTAACAGAATTCATGTTTGCACAATTAGACGTTTACACCTTCGGGCCCTAGACGTGAATAAATTCCCATTGTATTTCACCTGCTACGTGTGATCGTATAATTAATGTCAAGTCAGACTGCAAAATGCATGCGATGGTTGGTGCTACATCTTTCCAGCCACGCCTCGGGCAAACATTATTTTACCCATTACATACAATACATCAGTTTTATTGCGTTCTTAACTGCGCTATTGAAACCTTTGCGTTTGGAAGCAATTCATGCTCAACGCAATGATTCATTTTGCATTCACTTTGTATATGGTATCACTCTCACACAGCGCATTAAACAACGTAACAGTTGCTGATGCCGCCATGCGTCAGGTCATAACGCCTTGTGTGCAACAGGCAATAAGTTCGTGTTATAACTACCATGAACTATTTCCAAACGTAGTAGCTGGTCTATTTTCAATGGTGAACGAATGAAATAGAACCTTGATCTGATTGTGAACTATAACAGCCAAATTGCGGACAATGAACTACCAACATGAGAAGGTTAATAATTGAACATTGGTCTCTGGATAATGTAGATGGTTTTGCTATGTAAACATTCATATGATGGAATGCTATAGTTTGCATTGGAAACATGTATGCTGAATTTTCCCGATCAAAGTGCGCATTATAGGTATAGAATCATTCATAAACGGATTGATAAATGATATTAAGATCTTGCATTCCAAATGACCAAACGAAAATAGACCGGTTTACTAACTTATTCGAATTGTGGCATACATACTTTTGAAACAAAGGTTGTTCTTGACAACCCGAAGGCTAGTCAAAGTTTTGCGAGACACAGCAACAAATAATGTATGTAGCCTGGATTCCAAGTATTGTAGTTCATAATTAATAATAGGTTAATGAAATACCTTGTCGCTAGGTCCCCATGAAAGAAACATCCATACATTTGGATTATGTAAGTAAGCCGGTCAGCCCAATGTTCGACTGGTCAGCAAGGAGACCACGAAAGCAAAACCTTAAATTATTTCTGAACAAAATGAAATGTATGGGCAGTTTCATGTAATGGTTTTTTATGCTATTCCCTGTGTAAAAGAAGTATCACACAAGATACAACAGAAGGGAAAGCGAAATGTTCTGTCAATTCATTTTCACGCTTTGGAAGAATCTCTTTGAAAATTACATGTAATACATGCATCTCCTGAACATGAGTACAAACCAAATGGGATAAGGGCGTGTTTGAGATAGGGCTATGCAACAGCTACCATCGTACAGTGTATATTTGCATTGATTACTTTGTCCGAAGAAAGAAGCGAATTGACACAAAGGAACATAAAACACATGTAATTGTTGATTAACTCAACGTTTATCAGGTAACATAAAGATGCTACTGATTAGGTGAAGTCATAAAATGTTCAGTTTGCTCTATATAATCATTATTTTTAAATTCCTGCCGAGGGGTGGTGGATCGAGTTACGTCATCAAGTAACATTTTAAAATGTTAAAACCTACTGTTTATAGTGATAGAGAACACAATAAAACGAGATGCTTATTGATGTCCTTCTACCACCAGTAGCGTATATACAGGGTCTCGAGGGGCACGTCCCCCAAACAGAGACAGAGAGAGAGAGAGAGAGAGAGAAAGGGGGGGGGGTGAAAAGATGGTAAGACCCCCTTTCAAGCCCTTCATCAAGTCGACGGCCTTGTTAATTCGCATTTCATTATTACAACTTGTTACCGTTATCACCCCCCTCCCTATGCTGCTAGTATACCCTCTCGATCTCTTTAACCATACTATGCCCCTGTCCGCTACAATAAGAGGCATATCTGAATGCAACACTCTCATCCTCAAACCCGCCATTTACAAATTATTCCAAACTGAAAACAGGATCTAATAGTTTAGGGTGATGTACAAGACATCTCTAAACCTGACGCGTGCTCCATTTTCCAACCACCTCCTTAATAAACAATCGCAAATTCGGTATAAACATGACAAATCGTAGGCATGGTAGGCGGGAACATTAGAACAGAATTGAGGAGATCCATACAAACGTCTGGACTTATTAGCGTTGATTGTTTCAGTCTGCAAATCACTGTTAAGGAATTGCTTACATAAAATTACCGTAGAGTTTCGGCTATAGGATTCCACAAAAGAAAGACATTTTTAAAAGGGGCACAAAAACGGTACAATAGTAGACGACCTAAAATAGGGGATAGATTTTAACATCTCAAATAGTAAAACTTTGCATCCTAAGCTAGCGACATCAACCTTCAAGAGGTGCAAATCTTGTGCACATCCATGGATGCAGAGTAAAGTCTTGTTCAGATAATACGAGGTCAACCGCCCAAAACCCGCGGTTTACCGGGGCATATATGAACAAGGCTTCAGAGTCGAACACTCAGGTTCAACTTGCATCCTGGGTAGTGCTACGCAACGCATTTTGCGTTTAAAAAAAATGTATATAGTTATATGTTTTCGAGTTTATATGAATATGACGAAATAATAGAAGGAGGTTGAAAGAGACAAGTACTTAAACGAGATATTATTCAAAAACATATGAACACTGTTATGCCTTTTCATAAGGAAACGGAATTACCGTAGAATGATCCGAGCAAATAGAGGAATGACCTTCAACTTATAATGACGTATACATGTGGTCAAGATGACTGATAAATAAAGTATATATGAAGTCTAAAGTTCTGTTTTGTTTTAAATTTAATCATGAACTTATCTTGGTATAAGGTCTATTCCAATGTCGAATCTAATTCAAGGAATTTGTTACATATTTGCTCTGGCCTTAATCAATAACAAAATACTTAAACATGGGTCTCTGCCCCCGCCTCCAATCGGCTCAACTTCCTGTAAAGATCTTTTTGGAAAAATGCAAAAACCTGATACAATTAGAAATTTAATCGAGATCATGAGAGGCGCGATGGCTCAGTGGTAGGTAGAGCAGTGTTCTCGTAACCAGGAGGTCCTCAGTTCGAAACAAAGTCGATGCGATAATGCCTCATCATAATCCCCTCGAAGGGGACTTAAAGTAGTCGGTAATCTGGTTGCTTATACCTATACGCATACACATGCTTTCTCAGCAGTGGGGTAAAACAAACCAGCAAACAATCTGTATCGAATTGAAGAGGAATATCTATTTTCTATCAAATAAATCAAGATGGTTTGAATTTTCAATAAATGATAATGCGCTTACTTCTTCAACGTTGAGCAACCAATGTGAACTATAGTCTGTTCATAACTTCATATTCTTCCATCATCACCATTAAATTGTATTCATGCTACTTACTAACCTTTTCGACATTCTATTCTTTTTTTATCTTTATGAAGTATCGTAAAAGATAGATTACATGTTATAGATGGGTTGAATTTTAAGTACCTGATTTATTAGTATCAGCTTATTTACATTTTGATTATCTGCAGATCTCCATCTATAATTTTCCCGTCTCCTTAAATCTATTTATCGTGTAGGCAATAAGTAAAAAGAATTTTGTTTTAAAAATAGAAAACTTCATTACGAGTGGCCGGTGGCAATTACAGTATTGTCTAAACGTGGTCTAAGCATGTCTGAGGCAAAAATAAACAGAAGTAAATTAAAATTATCGTATATTTTTAGGACATAATTTGATGTGAAAGGTCACTTGCGACATTGGCAAGGGATGGTGGCAACTTGAGACCTCACCCCCTCCCACACTGTCCTTCTGTTCTGTTTGAACCTAATCATGTTAACGTATATACATATACATATGGCTATACAATAATTCTTTCAATTATGGAATAAAATAACTTTATATTTAAGGCTTTCATTAATTTACAATATTGACAGGAATAAAAATAAAAGTAACAAAATGAATCTGAAGGTTATCATTACTCTGCTTTAGAAAGAAGGTGAAAGACTGATACTGAGAGAGAGAGAGAGAGAGAGAGAGGGGGAGGGGGAGAGAGAGATAGAGAGAGAGAGAAAGAGAGAGAGAGAGAGAGAAAGAAAGAAAGAGAGAGAGAGAGAGAGAGAGAGAGAGAAAGAGGGTTTTTAATATTTTTTTTGTTGGGAGGGGGCAACAAACTTGCAACGGCTTATAAAAACCAGTTTGCCATTCATTAAACATTATTACAAGGCAAAAATGTTGGCTTCCAAAACTGAATAAAGGCTTCAAAATCTAAATAAATACTTTCGAACTACAATAATCATTTGATTATCCAATCGCTTTTGACTGGAAAGCCGTATAGCGAATTCATTACAAATTACAAATCTCTACTTACATCCTTTTCATCCCCACCGTACGTAGGCTAAATAAAATGAATTTGGTTTTTGATTAAGCGTTGAATGTTCAAATGTCACGACAAGTATAGAATTGACTGATTTTTATCGTTATGCCTTGCATGACTGTCTATAGCAATGGCCTTGTACGTGCTAACATTCATTCATGCATTCATAAGGAAAGTACAACAGACGCGTCAAGATAGATTGCACGCAGAGACCGTGACATTAGAAATGTCAAATCCTCACAACCACCCCTCCCTACATTAGCTCCCCCTCCCTCTAACCATCCACCCTCCCTCTAAGCACCCCTCCCTCTAACCATCCATCCTCCCTCTAAGCTTCCCCTCCCTCTAAGCACCCCTCCCTCTAAGCTTCCCCCTAAAATAAAAATTTCCCTGTGCGAATTATACAAATGCAAAACAAATTGGCATCATAGAAGTATAATAATGCCATATGTTGTATTAAATTTATTATGATAATTGAATTCAGCACTAAATAGTGTTGCTCAAATCAAAGAAATTAATCGGAATAGAATTTATAGGCCTTGGCACAATATTTAATTAAATATACCGCTAGCAGCGATTACTGAGTAAAAGCGTAATTATAACCACCAATGCCGTGTTAGCTAACCCAGCGCAAAACCAGGGGGATACCAATTACATCTCGACATGGTTGGAAATCTTTCTGGAGGCGTTGCTTGTTTGTTGGTCTTCTAAAACATGACAGACAATGACATGTGCCCCCTTCCCACAAAATTGACAAAGGAGGAGGGAGATATATAGAGAAAATGGACAGAGGTGGGACAGGGGAGAAAGGGAGGGGGAGAGAGGGAGGGGAGGGAGAGAGAGGGTGAGAGGTAGGAGGAAGAGAGAGAGGGAGGGAGGAAGAGAGGGAGGGAGAGAGAGAGAGAGAGAGAGAAAGAGGAAGAGGAAGAGGGGGAGGGTGAGAGGGGCAAGGAGAGGAGAGGGGCGTGAAAAGATGATCACACTCCTCTTTCCACGCCCCGTACAATATTTATTTTAGTCAAATACATTTCACTATTAATGTCTTAATACCTGCATCTTTCTAAATAATTACTCTCGATTAATCGCCCAATCATCATGCTAAAGGGTACAATATAAATGCCAGCGAAAGGTAATTTTACTTAGTGCATACCGTTCTGAATCAAATCAATACCACATCATTCACCACAGAGCCTGATAATCGTGTTAATCTATTCGTTCTTACATGTACATACCTGCATCAATAATTCACAATTTAGCATACACATTAACATATTATTACAGTAGAGTCTAGACATTGATGCAAACACGAACGTTTTTTAATTCGCTGTGAACAGAGAACTGAATTATTAAAAATAACCATTCCTCGTGTCTTTATCCTGATTGCTCAATATCGTCTGGTGTTGTTTTTTCTTGTCTTAAAAGCTTTGACTTTATAATTATGTTTTTCTTTTTGAAAAATCAAGAGGCCATATGCGTGTATCATTCTTTGATTCAGGGAAAAGAACACAGTAATATCATTGTCATTGCATCCGTCATTCAACAATTGATGTCTAGGATGTCGGTAATAATAAAGATTCTGTGGTTGAGGAATTATAGTGACAGGAATAATTATCAAAGATTCACGCATACTTTATGGCCTCGGTTTGTTAAAAAAATGATTTAAAGTTCAAAGTACCATATTACGAATAAAATTACAAAATAAGTCATAAAACTTTAGTACTTAAAGCAATTTTATACTATTTTGTATGATGTATAAAGTTATGGTTGATTATATATAAAAAAATATAATATAAAAATAAAAAAACATAATTTTCTTAAACCATTTATCATTCAAGTAGTGGTACTGCTGCAGTTACGAATCGTGCTGTAGTTAACATATTCATAATTTGATTTGATTTGATTTGATTTATTGGTTTCTGCATCTTTTTTTCTTTTTTTTCATCATACATTTTCATGAACATAATATGGTTTGATACAATATTTTAAGTGTATATAATTTTATACAGATAATAAACGAGATTAAACAAATATATTGAATGCATAATTGACATACATTAGATGCATGAGGGCTACAGAAATAAGCAGAGTAGCTTGACGTGCCCGCAGCCCTCAACTTAGATTCAACAATAAAAAAAAAAATAAAAAAAAATGATAAAAATAATGATTATGTAAATACATAATACACGTCGATAATCATTTTTGGGCGCACGGCCAATTACAAATGGAATAAAACACCGGAAACTCGTGGTATACAATAGCCCTTATAAGCAGTACTGTTTTTCTTTCTATTGAGCATTCAATCACGTAAGAGGATAATGTTATCATACTACTATCAACATGCTCAAACAGTATCAACTAAGTGAAAATCAAGATCTTGTATGCTTTGATAAGACTGACACTGCGGTTACTATTCTATAAAGCCCTGTTGGTTAATTTGACAGTAGACCCTACTTGCTCCCTCTATATAGAAAACAATGCCTAATCGGTGACCATTGGTTCCCCATGATCCTCTTTTTATTATGTTAATTGAGAGCTGAGTCGATGAGACTCTGGGTGGTCTAATCCCTCCTAGCCAAACTAGTACAGACTACATCGCCGTTTGAACTCTTAACATGTTTAGTGAGCCCCCTCCCTACTAAAGAATCGGTAACATTTCCTTTTGGTCCTATATTTGCCCGGGACATACGGCCTTGATTTCGTGTTTTCTTCTTTCTTTCTTTCTTTCTTTCTTGTTGAGGGCGGGGAGGGGGAGGGGAGGAAGAGGGGGAGAGGGTATGCCAAGTGTGGTTTCGCTAGGTAGAGCCCCCTGAACATAATGGACCCGTAACCATGGTAGCTGAACGTCCCACCAATACAATCGATGCTTCCCCAAAATCAACCAATCGAAATTACACTAATTTTGTCCATCACCTATAGAAATTTGCAAACATTACAATGATGTATTAAATACGTTTTCCGAGGATGAATTCTATCGGATGTACACTAGGTTAATGAAATTGCACTTTAGTCGATTTCTCGAAAGTCTTCACGATTATGTTTTCCCATGTTTACCTGTTCTATTTCGGGTAAGTGTATGAAATACGTCAAGTTTCTCGTTCAAGTTCAGGGCCGTGCAATGACCGAGAAGTTCAATTAAATAGTCATATAGCAACGTGCTTTATTAATAAACTATGCATTAACTATCAAGCAATCGTTTATTTATTTCATTTTCATAAAAGTACAGTCAAAGCAAATAAACATTAATACAACAAAGCAATGAAAGTATAGAGTAATCAATATCATCGGCAATGTATAACAAATGTTTCACTTTACAATTTATAAAAAATGTTTCACTTTATAATTTATAAAAAGTGAAAAGGAGATAAAGTTGCTAGTAATATATTCGATTAATTGTTATGGAGCATAGATTAACATAACAAGGTTACTAACAAAATTAAAACAAAAAAATATCTTATTTTGGAAAAGAGGGATTCAGAAAATAAAGATTGGGAGGATTTTCCAATTGTATTTAAGATAATTCTTTTTGTTTAAGTCTTTTTTTAATGTTAAACTATTCTTTGTTTAAACATATTTGTGGCTTACACCCAGTAAATTGAAAACTGAAATTTCTCACAGGAAGCATTGATTTTATGTAAACTATTCTTGTTTAAACGTATGACCTGTGGTATAGTGATTTTCTTTTCGAATGAAGTTTTTACGTCCCATAAATGAAACAAATTACGAGGCCTAGTTTCATGGGCATGGATTTGGTTATTAATTGAGAACATGGCTGATATTTTATTAGGAAGCAAATATTGAAAATATTGAAAACCAAGCGGTGCGTTATGATATTTGAATAAATCAGAAATATTAAACGGAATAATAAAGTATAGAATGGGCATATTAATTAATCACTTACTGCACCTGTTCCCTTTGTATTTGTAATAAATCAATCGTAGTAGGTCCACAGTAAAGTTAATCAAGTTGGTCTGTATCATTATAGGTTTCTACCAGCATATCGAACACATCAAACGGGCCTACCATTTAATAACAGGTGCTGGCTATCATCAAATGATATCTCCCGTCACCTTACTCAGTTCAATCCACACACTATCACCATGCACGAAAGTGGTAAGCCTACAAGCGCGATGGATAGGAAAGCGAGATTCACACAACGCACCACACCAGACTCACAATTAGCTTCCAAGGTTTGTATTGGATTTATTGCTCGGGTTGTTAATTAATCGACAGAGAGAGGGAGGGAGAGAGATAGAGACAGTAGGATTTCATGTCATTACCATGTACGCGTGCTCAATCAGATTGAATCGTAAAGGGAAGCAATCGATATTATACCACACTCATACATCTGCATGATATGATGAACATAACGGCATCCATCCACTCTATGTTTGTGTGTGCTTGCTTAAATCAATACACAAATAGTTCGACGATGATCAACAAGCTTTCTTGTACTTACCAGATTTTTTGCGGGGCCCCGTAAAGCTTAGCTCTGCCATGTGTGGTTAATTCAAGACAGTGGATCGCATCTTTCTTGAACGTAACAAGAACAATAATGACACTATAAACCAAGATTCACGCTCCGTGTAATTATACAGTAGGGTACTAGGATACAACACGAACACCTCAATATGTGTTCTCACACAGATGCTACCTATGCATCGCTGTATATGCGTGTATATTCCTACCCCCTTGGGAATACACTGCACGCAGAAACAACTCAGCCTGCATGAAGACGTTGCGGAGGCTAGGAGGAGGCGTGAGAGATACTCGACTGCATCGAAGTTGACCGTGCTCGGCAAGTGTCGAAGTTCACTGAAGCTGACCTGATAGTCTAGTATGCAAGCTATTCACGAACTAGGCGCCGTTTCCTAGCCGACCAATCTTTTGAATGCATAAAATAATGCAGGCACATTGGCATTGCATTGTCAGTTCTACGTTTCGTAACGCGCGCGCGCGAAGGTTGTATGCTCAATGTCGTCTGCTCAGACACGACTGTGCTCTGAGGTCGTGGACTTTGATCTGTAATTCCTCCTTAAGAAGTTTGATTGTATTTGAAGTTACTCAGAACAGATTAAAACTTATGAAAGGCTTATCAACGACTCCTGCAGAAATGGTGACGCATAGGCTACTATGACTAACGGATATGTGTTAAATATTAACCCGCAACTTTATCATTGCTGTCTCTGTCACTCAGGGACTAAAGATTCAAGGTTTTAAATGATACATAATTAAATCTTATTATTTCTGAAGGTACATGCTTGCCGTTGTAAAATTCTTCATGTGAATACATGTGATATGTAAATTAATGTAATTATACAAGCTGTCAATACCCAGATGAAACGAAATATCCCAACTTAATGTTAACATCATAACAAAATGAAATTTACTGCTGTCTGCTGCATCATCTCTCTAAATCTCTTAAAGATAATTTCATAGAAAGTTCTCCTTTCGTCCAAAGTCTTCGTAGGCCCATGCCGATCCAACTTATCGGCAATGTTATACAACGCTTTAGTCATTCATGTATATCCTGACCAACTGAATATGATTGATGCCCCCCTCCCCCTCTCCCGCCCCTCCCCTAATCTCGTTCTACTTTCATCACACATTTTCACCTGTCTTTGTATCTGCATGTGTTATTTCTTTGTTTTATATTTATATACATGAATGTGTTTATGTCTTTTAACTGATTTTATAGTGATTATTGTTTTAAGTGTATAACCTCGTCTCATGTCTTTATGCTCATATCCTTCTTTTGATATTAAATTATATATATATTGATATCTTTTTTTCAGTTTTATATTTTTCATATACTTAAATTTGTATTAATATTCTTTATGGTGGTATTTTGTATTACCATTCATAATTTTTAAACTCAGTATTATAATTTCTTGATTCTTTGGAGAGGAGGAGGAGAGGGGGGGGGGGGGTGTGCACATATATGAACATCATGGGAGACCTGAAGCCCTGTTCAAAAGAGACCGGTATAATTTTTCATAAACTGGGAATCAAGAGGGAGACATACAATAATTGAGACGGATGGGAAAAGCCTGAGAGTGGGGGGGGGGGGGGGGGGCACGATTTGAAATACATGTACAAAAGTGCGTTTCATTATATAACTACTACCTACCGGGGAGTTTGTGGGAAGGAGCCACCTCAAATAAAAAGAAAAAAAATGCTGCGCCCTCTCTGTCATTACTCTTGTTGTACATGTTAGGCGATAATAATGATTATTATAGTATTTTTATAGCTGACATCAGGAGGGAACAAAAAATGAACTGTGTCCTAGGGGTCAAGGTTATAGCTGGGTCGTAGCTGACATAAATCGGAGGGGCTTCAGGGGAGGCAGTGACGGTGGTGTGGTAAAACGAAAAGTGAGGGAATAGCTGACATAAGACATATTGAAGGTACTATGTCCCCTTTTTGCAGGTATTAATATGTCACGTATGTCTAGTTAAATGTTAGCAGTGTCCTATAGTATTCAAATTATGCAAGGAAACCCGTTTACTTTCTAGACTTCACTGTCAGACACTTTTGAGTGAATAACTTGAGGGAAGTTCTGCATTAGTATTATCTTTCAAATGCCGTTTGAATTTAACCTTTTCATTTTTGTTTGGCCTGCAAATGTGACAGAGTACCAATAAGTGAAACCAGAGCATTGTGATTTTAATACTAAAGGCCATTCAATCAAGTCGGTCGAAAATGATATATTGCGCCCTCTCTGTCATAGCTCTGCTTGTACATGTTTTTGTTTAATAATAATAATAAACATACTTGTGGGCGAGACTCTTTCCATTTTTAGCCAGTAAAGACAAATGTATATTTGAAATCTGTAAAAAAAAAAAAAAAATATTGTTATTTGGAACTCTATTCCTCTTGGAATATCATCATGCAAGTTTGTTTGTTTGTTTGTTTGTTTATTTTATTTTAGCACGGTGGCATACTTCAGCGAATGGCTGTTCTTCAGCATGGCCGTGTATATAAAAGCAATCACAAATAATACAAAGAAACATACATTATAGATTAACATGGTTTTATCCATACAAACAAAAACATATATATATATACAAATATGTTGGAAGGCGAGAATCGGAATAAGCCCTAATTTAGAAAAAGAAAACGAACAGAGATAAAGAAATAGAAGAAAAATAAATCAGTGTTTTTGTTTGCTATTAAAAGTCAAATATGGTATTACAAATATTTATAAGCTCCTTTTGAAAGCATAGTAAGTTGGTTTATATTTAGTTTCTACCGGCAATTCATTCCATAGTTTTGCACCATAATAACTTAACTTTTCTTTTTGTCTTTCACATTATTTAAAAGAAACTTGAAGCAGCATCTTATATCTAAATATCAACATACATGCAATCATTATATTAGTTATTATGCTTGATGGATGAACTTGAATTATGTTATGTTATTTTACCGTTACTTCTTAAATCTATTTATATGTAACACCAGTGGATGTGGAGAACCTCATGACAGAATGGAAATTCTTTTAGGTAATCCTCAGGCGTCCGCTGGTGGCTTTTTCACTGTCTTGTAACTCTTAATGTTATATGCTCTGTGTTGTCATTTCTATTTTGTTTATACATGTACTTGGAAATCAAATAAATTTCTAAATTTCAAATTTCAATGGTTTTTGTACCATCATACCCTTGTACATAATATCATACAACGTTTCTAATGATTATTTCCATTTGTATTATCTGCCATGAACGATGTCCCTGTCATGTTTTGTCATGTATGTTTCTTTTTAGTTTTGTTTTTATATGTAAATCTCTTAACTACTGTTCGGGGAACTATGCCTCCACAAGACTATTTGGCCTTTTTTTTAAAGTTCCCTATTTTCATTTTGTTATATATTGCAAATGCTTATTATTGTATACTATCTTTGTATTGTATTTGTCGAAAATGGAAAATGAATAAAACGAATCGAATTGAATAATATAATTACATAAATAATAATAATAATAATAATAATATTGTTATCATTATGATATAAATTATGATTATAATATCAGTAATGTGATTGAGTAATGCTGTTGTAGTTAGTGTTGTTGTTGATATTTAGGTGGCGCTCTTCAATCGTATGATTATCTGCGCCACATACTTTCCATCTCAATTACAAGTCAATGTCACTGATTTCTTATAATATCTTGATTTCTGTTTCAGTTCGTTGTTTTCTTTTGGCATCTAAGATCCGTTTCCAATCGTGGATAAACATTTGTAATGCAACATGCAAACGAGGTTAATAGTTTATTCATCATTAGTAGTGTTTTATTGTCTTTTTCACTTTCTATTTCTTTTCAATTTTTTCATTTCTTTTTTAAAATTGTATACTCTCTTTCTTCCCTTTTTTGTATCACTCATATAATTTATGTCTTTTACTTTATGCAAATCTATACAAATACTATATTTCGTCATATTCAAAAGCGTACATATATTTTTAGGATTTATTATTGAAATACCTTTATATTACTCTTTTTTCTTTGACTTAACATTTATACCTTTTTTTAAAGTCTCTAAAGTTTGACCAGCTTCACATAATTCATCTTCATGTTTTTTTACATAGAGGCAATAATTCCGCAATCTACATTTGTTTTAGTCTCAACTGATGAAACAGTATCTTTTCTTTTCTTGTTATATTTTGGGTCTCTAATTTAATTGGTTTTGTTACGTCACTTTGTCCTGCTTGTACGAAAGTGGTAAACGCTATTGAACTTTAAGAAATACCATTTAAGGGCCTTTGACAAACGTCTATGTTTAACCTTCTGAAATGGGACACATTAAACTGAAACCGAAGCAGAATGCCTCTCAATCAAGTCAGACACGATTTATATATTGCGCCCTCTCTGTCATAATTCTGATCGTACGTATGTGAATGTGAATCGCTTATCTCATTCTTCTTCTTTGTATTTTCTTCTTCATCATCTCCTTCTTTTCCTCTTCTATTTTCTCTTCTTCTTCTTCTTCTTCTTCTTCTTCTTCTTCTTCTTCTTCTATTTCTTCTTCTTCTTCTTCTTCTATTTCTTCTTCTTCTTCTTCTTCTTCTTCTTCTTCTTCTTCTTTTTCTTCTTCTTCTTTTTCTTCTTCTTCTATTTCTTCTTCCTCTTCTTCTTCTCCTTCTTCTTCTTTTTCTTCTACTTTTCATTCTTCTTCTTCTTCTTCCCCTTCTTTCCCTACTTTTTCTCATTTACCTTCTTCTTTTTCTTCTCCTTTTTAAAATTCTTCTTCCTTGTATCATTCTTCTAATTCCTTTTATTTTACTCTCGACTTGCAAGGGTGGCAATTGATGATTGAGGGGAGAGCATTATGGTAGGAAAACAGTATTGACAGCCACTACCCTGGGTAAGAAGACCAAATCGGTATTCATCATTAATGAGAGAAAGAGAAGAGAGAGAGAGAAAGAGAAAGTAAGAGAAAAGTAGAAAGAGAAAGAGAAAGAGAAAGAGAAAGAGAGAGAGAGAGAAAGAGAGAGAGAGAGAGAGACAGAGAGAGAGACAGAGAGACAGAGAGAGAAAGAGAGAGAGAGAGAGAGAGATGCTTCGGTTGCCATTTCTAACCCTCTCCTCCTACCCCAAAATATATACGCAAAATATAGTAACAATAAAGAGAAGACGCAAAGGCCATTCTTTTGCTGGCAAAACACGAAAAATCCTACATTCGTTAGACCTATTGGTACTTTTATCGAATCACCATCATCTTCCATGGCGCCCGATGTATGCAATCTCTGAGGAGCATCGCATCCCGATGAATGCATCAACTGGTAAGATTGGCGCCCTAACCCTACCAGATCGCATTGCAGTCATGGTGCACGGACGGGAAACACTTTTTGACCTGCAGAGTTATTCGATATTCGCCTGATAAACAATTTGCGCCACATCATCGCGTAATACTAAGCATTTTTGCTCAGTCCAGTACTGCGAGACAAAGCTTACCAAAAATGAATCGAATTTTAAAATATTTTTAAAAAGATACAGTAAATATTCGTTAGGACAGAATGGATACAATTTAATGGATAGTAATAACTTCGATCACCGTAAACATAATCAACTCTTTATTAAT